TCTTCGTTTCGTCTTTCCGAATGACATACTGAAATATGTAAGTGGCAGGATCCCTAATAAGAAAGTTATAAAATATTGCTGGCCCCTGTCCGGCCCTGGACGCCCGGGTTAAATATTCTGATACTGTACATTTCTTCGTTTCGTCTTTCCGAATGACATACTGGAATATGTAAGTGGCAGGATCCCTAACAAGAAAGTTATCAAATATTGCTGGCCCCTGTCCGGCCCTGAACGCCCAGATTTAATAATCTGATACCGTTCATTTCTTCGTTTTGTCTTCCCGAATGACATACTGAAATATGTAAGTGGCAGGATCCCTAATAAGGAAGTTATAAATTATTGCTGGCCCCTGTCCGGCCCTGGACGCCCGGATGAAATATTCTGATACCGTTCATTTCTTCGTTTTGTCTTTCTGAATGACATACTGAAATATGTAAGTGACAGGATCCCTAATAAGAAAGTTATAAAATATTGCTGGCCCCTGTCCGGCCCTGGACGCCCGGATTAAATATTCTGATACCGTACATTTCTTCGTTTCGTCTTTCCGAATGACGAACTGGAATATGTAAGTGGCAGGTCCCTAACAAGAAAGTTATCAAATATTGCTGGCCCCTGTCCGGCCCTGAACGCCCGGATTTGATATTCTGATACCGTTCATTTCTTCGTTTTGTCTTCCCGAATGACATACTGAAATATGTAAGTGGCAGGATCCCTAATAAGGAAGTTATAAATTATTGCTGGCCCCTGTCCGGCCCTGGACGCCCGGATGAAATATTCTGATACCGTTCATTTCTTCGTTTTGTCTTTCTGAATGACATACTGAAATATGTAAGTGACAGGATCCCTAATAAGAAAGTTATAAAATATTGCTGGCCCCTGTCCGGCCCTGGACGCCCGGATTAAATATTCTGATACCGTACATTTCTTCGTTTCGTCTTTCCGAATGACATACTGGAATATGTAAGTGGCAGGTCCCTAACAAGAAAGTTATCAAATATTGCTGGCCCCTGTCTGGCCCTGAACGCCCGGATTTAATATTCTGATACCGTTCATTTCTTCGTTTTGTCTTTCCGAATGACATACTGAAATATGTAAGTGGCAGGATCCCTAATAAGGAAGTTATAAATTATTGCTGGCCCCTGTCCGGCCCTGGACGCCCGGATGAAATATTCTGATACCGTTCATTTCTTCGTTTTGTCTTTCTGAATGACATACTGAAATATGTAAGTAGCAGGATTCCTAATAAGAAAGTTATAAAATATTGCTGGCCCCTGTCCGGCCCTGGACGCCCGGATAAAATATTCTGATACTGTACATTTCTTCGTTTCGTCTTTCTGAATGACATATTGATATATGTAAGTGGCAGGATCCCTAATGAGAGAGTTATAAAATATTGCTGGCCCCTGTCCGGCCCTGGACGCCCGGATTAAATATTCTGATACTGTACATTTCTTCGTTTTGTCTTTCTGAATGACATACTGAACTATGTGAGTGGCAGGATCCCTAATAAGAGAGTTATTAAATATTGCTGGCCCCTGTCCGGCCTTGGACGCCCGGATTAAATATTCTGATACTGTAAATTTCTTCGTTTTGTCTTTCCGAATGACATACTGAAATATGTAAGTGGCAGGATCCCTAATAAGAAAGTTATCAAATATTGCTGGCCCCTGTCCGGCCCTGGACGCCCGGATTAAATATTCTGATGCTGTACATTTCTTCGTTTTGTCTTTCTGAATAACATACTGAAATATGTGAGTGGCAGGATCCCTAATAAGGAAGTTATAAAATATTGCTGGCCCCTGTCCGGCCCTGGACGCCCGGATCAAATATTCTGATACTGTACATTTCTTCGTTTCGTCTTTCCGAATGACATACTGAAATATGTGAGTGGCAGGATCAAATAAGGGAGTTATAAATTATTGCTGGCCCCTGTCCGGCCCTGGACGCCCGGATTAAATATTCTGATACTGTACATTTCTTCGTTTTGTCTTTCTGAATGACATACTGAAATATGTAAGTGGCAGGATTCCTAATAAGAGAGTTATAAAATATTGCTGGCTCCTGTCCGGCCCTGGACGCCCGGATTAAATATTCTGATACTGTACATTTCTTCGTTTTGTCTTTCTGAATAACATACTGAAATATGTAAGTGGCAGGATCCCTAATAAGAAAGTTATCAAATATTGCTGGCCCCTGTCCGGCCCTGGACGCCCGGATTAAATATTCTGATACTGTACATTTCTTCGTTTTGTCTTTCTGAATAACATACTGAAATATGTAAGTGGCAGGATCCCTAATAAGAAAGTTATAAAATATTGCTGGCCCCTGTCCGGCCCTGGACGCCCGGATTAAATATTCTGATACTGTACATTTCTTCGTTTTGTCTTTCTGAATAACATACTGAAATATGTAAGTGGCAGGATCCCTAATAAGAAAGTTATCAAATATTGCTGGCCCCTGTCCGGCCCTGGACGCCCGGATTAAATATTCTGATACTGTACATTTCTTCGTTTTGTCTTTCTGAATCACATATTGAAATATGTTAGTGGCAGGATCCCTAATAAGGAAGTTATAAAATATTGCTGGCCCCTGTCCGGCCCTGGACGCCCGGATTAAATATTCTGATACTGTACATTTCTTCGTTTCGTCTTTCCGAATGACATACGGAAATATGTAAGAGGCAGGATCCCTAATAAGAAAGTTATAAAATATTGCTGGCCCCTGTCCGGCCCTGGACATCCGGAAAATCTGTTTCGATTAGTACATTTCTTCCTTGAGTATCCTCAATAAACATACTGGAAAATTGTTATCGCAGAATGCGTAACGGAAAAAATAAAAAATATTGCTGAACTTTATTGCTAAAGTAACTAGGCTTACATCATGACGTTTCAAATCAGGCCCTACAAATATTAAAAGATTCTTGTACAGGTAACAATTTCATGTTTTTAAAATATTTTTTTATTTGCTCACGAAATGTATTCGAAGAAGACGCAGTTTGGCAGGTAACGTGGCGAGAAATCAACCAAACGCTAAGTCCCATCCCATGGAATAGGACATAAACAGACATTAAGTGTTCTAATGATTGTTATTTCGAATTTATTATCTCATTTTATTACATATAATCATTTATTTTAAACTTTTATACCAAATAATCATCATGAATATAAATGAAAATTTCTAAAGTTATTGAAAAATGCGTTCATTACACATTATCTCGAGCTTTCATTTGATCAACATTCCGACCTGTGTTTCAGCACCGCTCAACATTCTGGTACGAATTTCGGCACTCCGCCTTCAATTGGTCAGATAAATCAAAATCGGCCAATAGAATTTAAGCAGGTGCCGAATCCTATACCGGAATGTTTAAATGCTACCGGGTGAGTCAATAGTGTGTTCTCCTAGGATATGGTATTTTGAGAACTATCACCTGAAATTATATTCATGTCTATAGGGTGTTCGAGTATCTTCTGCTGATGAGTTTTTTTAAATGGACACCGTTTTTGATCGCATTTTCTATGCACCATAAAAATTGCTATTGCTACACAACGATTTTTTGTTTTCTGGATTTGGTTCCACGGTTGCCAAGTTGTTCAATTTTTTTGTGAAAAACTGTTTTAGAGACCTACTATAAAAAAGATTCAATAAGTATTGTGATTTTCATTTGGACATAGAAACAAAATGAATTCACAGGAGTAGACCCCAAGATGTGTTTCAATATCATCCATATGAAATGGGAACCCTGTTTTCAATTGCATCTTCATATGCACCAAAATTGTTTTCTTCCACGGTTGCCAAGTTATTCAACTTTTTCCGTAAAAAACTGATTTTGTTGAGGGCTATAAAAAAATTAAATGCGTAAATCTACCGATAAGACGTTATTCCAATCATAAAAAATCTAAAAGCCATATAAAATTTAGCATCTCCAAGTATCCAGTGTACTTTTTTACTGGATTTATACAGGGTGGGTCACGGTCACGGCCTATTAGAAGTATCTGAAGAACGAAAAAACAGAACATTCTGAAAATTAGGATGCTTTGATAATTAAACATTCTCTATTCGTCTAGAATGTTTTCATCGATACAGTGTTGCCACTTCCATCAGAAACAACTAGCAACTTCGTTATTTTGAATGGAGCACCCTGTATTTTATTGCATTTTCAGATTCTTCCTAAAGAGCTGATTTTATCAATGCATCACACTTAGGGTCTAGCAGGAATGATTACAAAGATATAGGGTGTTCAACATCGAGATTTTTCAATTTTGGGATTTTTTTGTTTCGAAACTATTCATTATCGATCGCAACGGTTCACATGTCCCTATCTTAACTTTCGATCCACTATCTACTGACATTTAATTGTAACAGATACAGGGTGATCAGAATTCTGAATCATGAAGCACCCTGTTTTTTTTCCAATTAAATTCCAGTAGATAGTGAATCAAAAGTTAAAATAGGGACATGTACGCCGTTTTGATTAATAATGAATAGTTTCGACACAAAAAAATCCTAAAATTGAAAAATCAATAAGATTTTGAATACCCTATATATCTCTGTAATCATTTTTGCTTGACCCCAAGTATGATATACATCGATGAAATCATCTCCTCAGGAAGAATCTTAAAATGCAATGAAATACAGGGTGTTAAATTTGAAATAACGAAGTTTCTAGTTGTTTCTGATAGAAGTGGCAATACTGTATCGATGAAAACATTTTAGACGAATAGAGAATGGTGAATTATCAGAGCATCTCAATTTTCAGAATGTTCTTTTCGTTCTCCAGATACTTCTCATATGCCATCCACCGTGACCCACCCTGTATATCAACCCCGTCCAAAGAAAAAAAAAATGTTTTTATCATTTCTGATGAAACAAGAGAAGAAAAACTTATCCAAGTTGGAAACAGCTAAATAAATGAACAGGTGTAAGTACCTGAATTCCTGATCACTTTGTATAGTAACGAGAAACTCCATAAATTTGGCAACGTTGGTATTGCTCCCAATATTGATTACTCTGGAGCTTGGAGTGGAGGGAAGGGGATTGTTTTCCCCAAATAATTCCACACGATGTAAACACCTCAATATGACGATGTTGCAGATGTTGAGCATCATTTTATTAGTATATCAGCAACTTGCTGCAGAAAAAGTAACATATACTTTCGCTGAATTTCCATACAAGGAAACCAGTAAAAATGTAAGCGATCGTAGTACAATTTTGTCCAAATATAATGAATGCATTTTCAAATTGGAGCACCTACCTGACATTTTTCTCTATAATTATTAGGAGGTAGTATTCAGGGAAGTGGAAGCAGCTTGCGAAAAGGGATGTTTGGGGAAGGAAGGAGTGTCTAAACTACTCTGCATCAGACAGTGTGTTTCACCATCATGCTACAGGGATTTATATCAGCCAGACTTGGTAAATTCGCGATAATCTATCCCTTTATTTCAGAAAATTTAGGCATATATTGGTCAGATAGGTAGAACTTTGTACCACCGCATTCACGAACATCATATTTTGAAACACAACAAATTCAACATACTCTAACCACATACAGTGTGTCCACCTTAAGGACTTACCACCCCTGTAAAATCGTTATTATCCGACCAATTTCAAAAAACCTTTTTTTGTTGGATAGGTATTTGAAATGCCCATCCAACGAGAGAGTGATCTAATTCTTGGACTGTTATCGTGGCCAACTACGACAAATTTCAATGACCCATATTCCAGAAAGTACTATTAGGGATTTTTTTCCACGAAACTTGATGATGGATTCTGGATCAGTACCACTTGAAATATACCTGTACCGATTTTCATCATCATAAAACACAGGGTGTCCGAAAAAACGAATCATCATTTCTTTCAAATAGGTGATCAGCAAATGTAGTTCTGTGGTTTTTCTAGAGGGAAATAATCACAAATTATCATTGAGGATTATTTCAAATATACCTGTACCAATTTTCGTCATTTGAATATACAATGTGTCTGAGAAAAAAATTAAAAAGGATAGGTAAGCAATATTTTTCATCCTGATAATTCTTCACTCAAAATAGAAAAATGAATCAGGATCACTTGGAACATACCTGTACCGATTTTCATCATCATTAAACACAGGGTGTTCGAAAAATCAAATTAATATTTTTTTTGAGTTCATGAAAAAATATTGGCTACTTTTCCTTTTTAATTATTTTCTCATACACATCGTATTTTTGAATGATGAAAATCGGTACAGATATGTTCAAAGTGATCCTCAATAATAATGTGTCATCAATTCTTTAAAAAAAAAACACAATACTACATTTTCTAATCACCTATTAAAAAAAAACAAAATTCGTTTTTTCGGACACCCTGTGTTTTATGATGATGAAAATCAGTAAAGGTGTTTTTCAAGTGATCGTGATTCAGAATCACGATTACAGTTCATGAGTAAAATCATTCTCTTGTTGGATAGACATTTCAAATACCTATCCAACAAAAGAAAGTTCTTTGAAATCGGCCAGATAATAACAATTTTACAGGGGTGGTAAGTCCTTAAGGTGGACACACTGTATATTGGAAGAAAATCATAGTTTTGATAGCAATTTCGAAATTTCTTATTTGCAATTTATTCCTTATGAAATGTATTCGTCCAGAAACATTAGAAATCATCGAACGCAAAAATTTAAGTAAATGTGTAGTTTCTTTTCATCAATTCAAATCCAGCCAAAAATTTCCAACCCTCTTTTTATCACTTCATATATTATATAGAGTTGAAGGACTGGGTGTTTGTTTAGGTTGACCATTTATTTATAATCGGGTCACAGGCCACAATCGCCATATACAGTGTGGAGACTTTAATTGGAATAAATTCGTTAGCGACGAGGTGAATACTTTTTCAAAAAATCCCCGGCATACTTCAACGATTTGATTTATTCACCCACCTTTTGCAAGCAATATCGAGGATATATCCCTCCAGGGGTGTAGCTGAAACCACCCTCAACATGATTTTTTCAAATATATCCCTATGGCTTGTGACATCTCATTGGAAAGATGGTGGAAAGAGGAATCCAGCTTACTAGTCGAATGCTAGTTTTTCATACGTTTGAAGGTTGCAGAAAATTGAAATGTGATTTTAAAGTTCAATTTTCTTAACGTATCAATAGCTCAAATGTGCCTTGAATAATTGTTGGCAATTTTTTGCCACAACTGTTATCTACTGTTGTATTCCAGTATTATAGAGCCACAAAATGAAATATTTAGTTTTATTGCCGTATTCACAGTTCGAAACGAAGTGTTATTGCAAACTGGTGGAAATGCCCTTTATCACTGTCACTAAAAGTCGAAATTTTGATGAAAATACGTTGCAAATATATTAACTTCGAAATTATATTTTGGTTTTGTGCGACCCCCAAACGTACTGCAAACTGAAATATGAACAGATCGCTGAATTCCCCTTTCAACCAGCTTTCCAATGAGGGGTCGCATTTGAGAAAAACATGTTGGGGATGATTCTAGCTACCCGCCCTGAAGGGTTATATTCTCAATATTGCTCGCCAAATGAAGGAAATAGTATATTACATAACAAGAGTTGTAAAACGCAAACACGATGCCGCATAGCGGCGAGTGTGTAACTCCACAAGTGCGTAATTGCTTTACAACTCGAGAATTGTACTATACATTTTCTACGACTACACTATATTTTCTTACGGATAATGCAGATATTGTATCAAGGCACAAATAACGAATATATACACTTCTCCCGTCACTAAACCAGCTGCATGAAAAGTTACAAATCAAAATTCTTGTGTTTGTTCATTGATACATTGCATACCGAGATATTTTCCTCAATTCGAACTTAAATGGAGCCGTTTTTCATATCTAAACAACTTTAGTAATAGCAAAAAACACATATTATATAAAAATATAAGATCACATAATGGTTATTTATTGTAACAGTGCAGAACGAGAGATTCTGTAATCGTTATTAAAAATAATAAAAAAAAGTTCTCCAATTGCGCTCTGAACCGCCGACCTTTGGTTTCGGAGCCAGCGCTTCCAACAACTGAGCCTTCACCATTACTTCGTATAAGTAAATATTTTATAAATATCATTTCGAAGGCTGATCTTTTCTAATTATTCCTGTTATTTAAAGAAAAAGGAATTCATCAATTCAATGTATTCGCGATAGAAAATAAGCGTACACCACCTATCAGAGTTCTTGAAAGCTGTCAAAGCAGCCTGTTTACTTTGTTTTCATTGGTTCAAATTTGTTTTTCGTTTGTGCCCATTGGCCATGCCATCAAAACAAACCGCTCAGAAGTGTTCTAGTTGTTGCCGTCAGATGGGGCAAAGTGTTATTTTGTATCGCTAATGTATGTTATTTGAAAAATTACCTTCATGAATAAATATTCATCAACAGGAGCATTCTATTTTCGATTTTTTACTTCGGAATCCATCCGATTTCCTTCCGAGGAAATGGGATATGTTGCTATAATAATATTTTGATTGATATTTAGTGTTTGATCGTAACATGGAATATATCGACCAGAGTGAAGATGATTTCATCGAATTTGATAATTCATGAAAATATACTACAAGGATATGTTCCGAAAACGACACGGTATTATTTCTAATTCTCCAGTCCAGGAATTTTTGATGTGCTATTTCGTATCATTCACGAGACTTAGCGGGTAACAACTCATTTTTAGCCATTATAGCTTTTTCCAACATTTCTGGTGGTGTAGAAATAATCTGCTCATCTTCATTGCTTGATATAATTTTTTTAAACTGAAATTGAGGAGTATCAATAGAAAATAATCATATTTTCAAAAAATATAACTTACCTGCTTTCAGTTTCGGTGGATAGCTGGATTGATTGATGAAAAAATAAGTATACCTACTCACCTAGCTACTGACATTAATGAAATTGTTAATGGGCGTGTACACCTTAGTGGAACTTTTAACTCAAACCATTTTTATAATGATCCTTTCATACATAAATAATGATTGACAGCATAATTCGATCGGAAAATTAACTGGAATGTTTTATTTTGGGACATAAATAATAGTACCTTCTGAAAACGGACCCTCTTATGACGTAGAAACCTCATCTCGCCATAGTTAAAAGAAAATACCAAACGCCCGACGGCGACTGAGGCAACTGATATATTAATTCTTTCAACTGTGATTTCGCGCTAATTCACTTTGTCAGAAATCATGTATCATTCATCTCTGTCTGGAATAGTCTTGTTTCAGTATTAGGGTTTTGACATCATCGCCTCGTTTTCTGAGGTCCGAAAAATCGGGGATTTCAATAATTTTTGATAAAACGTAGGGAGCTCACAGCAAGAAACTGTTTGCGGTGGTGAGCTAGTTTGGGTGAGTTCTATCGAATTATGAAATAATTTTTTTTGTGATATAAGCCTATTGTTATTGACACATCGCCTAAGCAAAAAAATCAAAGTCATCTATCAACATACCTATGAAAACCGTGCGATCGCTCTCTTACGCACACGTGTGTAAGGAGAAGCTTACTGCCATTTTTTTGTATACAATATTCATCACTTACAGTAGTAGTCGTAGGAAATAGTATATTATGTAACAAGTGTTATAAACGTCCTTTTAGTAACGAGTAGTTTAAGCACGAGCGGAGCAGAGCGGAGCGAGTGTTTAATAAACGAGTGTCTAGAAGAGTTTATAAACGCGTTACATACTATGATTTTTCTACGAACTCCGAAAATTACATTAACATACCTGCAATTCCTGCTAACCTACAAAATAATTCGAAAGGAATGGGAATTGAGAACATAATAAATACAACTGATGCATGCAACCAGCGAGACACGTATAAGTGATATTGGTTGTAGATGTGTCCAGTCCATTGCTTACTAACCTTTGTTTCACGTTTATTATCATGCTTAGCGCAGAATAAATAAATTGTTCTCAAAGATGGATGCTTCATTTTTACACTTCTTGAAAATATGCAAGTACCAGAACATTCTCTTCGATTTCACTTTCGTCTACTTTTCGCATATATTTTTTATGAAGAATTCTGATACAAACGAATATTGTTTGAATAATTCTAATACAAAATTTGAAAATAACAGTTGACAGTTAATACAATTGACAGGCCAGACACGCCTCAAATTACTGAAGCTGTGTTTAATGAACTGCGTTGCCATGGTAATGTGTTTAAGAAATCGTGTTGCCATGGTAACGTGTTTAATATTTTGAATAAATCACATATCGACAATCCGTGATTAATCGATCATTTAGCGTGGTACATATCCGTACGCTAAATGCCATATTAGTTATGTGAGTAGAAAAATACATTTAAACGTTGACGTGTCTCGCGAATTTTCAGAAAAATCATTCACTCCCCCAGTAGCAAATTTACTCCAGTTAAGGTATCCACCCTGTATAAAGTACATCGACTTCAAATCTCATACTTTTTTCACTTCAAACATGAATCATCCTATGAAAATATATACTTAAATATACTCAAAATGAGGAAATGTGAAGCACACCATTCTTATCATGTTTCTTTCTCCTTAGCCAACACATTCACATTACTGGAGAGTGAGTAAATTAAAATAAAATTGTGAATTGCAAGATCCATTACTCAATATATTATGCACCAGCAAATAAAATGATCAAGTGTCATTGGGTCAAAGACTGGATGCGATACTATTACAGTTTTTTGGGGCTGTGTCCACTTTATTATTGAAAACCTCTCATATAAATTTATTGCATATTGCAGTTACACTTTGCAGCAATGTTGGGCGTTTCAGGCAACAATTTGATGAATGATATATCATAAAAGACCGTTTTGTAAACCCGCATGATCGATGCGCAACTGTGATGAAAAAAATTGACACACCCAATATTATTGTAGTACAAGTGAAAAATTCATGTGCTTACTAGAACCCGCTTTATTCATTTGCAGAGATTTCCGATGAGTTATTGGTGGTTTGAGATTGAAACATTTTCAGTTTGTCCTCAAATTATAGTGTTTTTGTTCGAATTCTAGTTATGAAATCTTCGATAGTTTTCTTATGGTAATTTTGGCAGCAAATATTAATTTTGCTGACACATATCAATCAGCAAAGTATTACTTTTCCTGCCTAGGCAGCAAAGTGGGTACTTTGCTGATTGATATGTATCAGCAAAATCAATAATCCATAAATCGTTTATAATTTCCTTCATATTTCATCCGAGACTTCTCCGGCAACAAATTCAACTCTATATTTTTTGCCACCTCCCTTATTTCTGGAGGTTTAAGTATTTCCAGGTCGCTATCACTGTCCATTATATAATAATTTGAATATACCGATATTTTTTCGCACAACTGTCAGAAATTTCAGGAATTGTCAAACTATAATCATTATGGACATTTCCATAGCAACCAACCATTCCAACAACGATTTCTATCAAATTTTATTTTGATTGAACACTACGGGAGAAATAAAGTATGAACAATCGGAGAAAAAATTATATGTTCAACTCTGCAGCAACGTAGATTGACTGCCTTAGCTGGATTCCTAGCCTCGCTACGCTCGGCTATGAATTCTGCCTCGGCAGTCAATCTACTACTTTGCTGTCTAGTTAAACAAATAACTATTTAATTGCAATTATGACATTTTACTTCGTAGAGATATTCATGTCCAAAGGCATACTGATGAAGTCTTTGGAAAAATTAAAGTCATCATGTTCAAACCACCCGAATTCTCCATTGCGGAGTCAGACTCCGTAGCGACAGACTATGTCCTATCAAAGGCGCGACTACTGGAAGGTTAATGTTCTAATATGCTTTCCATACATCAATGACATTGAATCGATTGAATCCGAGAAAATTCTTCCATCAACATTTTCCTCTAGCCAAGTTATCAAAAAAGAAAAAACAGGTAGGTATAGGTACCTAATTGTTACCTGGTTATTCAAAATATTATTTAATAAGTACCTACTCACCCTAATAATAAACTGTTTTGTCAGATAAGTACATCATGACAAACAACATTTATTCATAGAAATAATAATTTGAGACGTATTTACTCTAAATATTACATATTTATATTCATTAATAAGGGCATTTCCACCCAAAAAACTGTAATATAATCAACTGGAGCTTTGAAGGAGCTATGTTTCTTCTTTTGTTTCAGTTGGAAGAAGGTGAGGTAGACGTAAGACTCAACTCATTCAAAGGATGTTTTATTCAACGGTACAACAAATCTCAACCATAACCTGGCTAATTACCAATATAGGAATAATAATAACAAACACCTACGATTATCTGTATTCACAATATTAATATCTTGCATCTCATTATATGCATAGTTATTTTATCTAAATAAAATGGATTCTCAATGAGGTATTGGCATTATTTGAAAACCAAGAATGAAAAAAACAATTCAATATTAATTAGAAAGAAATGAATCGGTAGCTGTATCACTTCTTATGGAAGTAACCCCGTAAATTCCGTGATTATTAAGATATGATCCTTTCACCAGTAGCGAGAGAGATGCCAAAGGTACAGTCAGAACCATCTTAAGTGATATACACTGCTCGCCAGCAGCCAAGAAATCACTGACTTACGAAAAATCCTGTTAGTACGCATGGAAGGTTGAAAATCTCTTCAAATTTGATTCAATGGCTGCTGGCGAGCAGTGTATATCACTAACTGAGCTTGCTCCACCTCCATAATTACGATAGACATACAGGGGTGCTTAAATTAGAAGTGAGATGGGATTGATAAAATCACGGAAGAAAAAAATGTGTTCTTTGTGGAGTTGGTTAACTTGAGACAAAAAACATAATAGATCATTCCAAGCCACTTCATATTCAATGTCAACTCAATATACGTGTATAAAAATAAGTTTTAGTCACGTTTCTGTTAAATCTATTGATATTAGATTCGAATTTTAAATACTAATTGCCAGTGAACACAATTAACGGACTATATACTACAGGTATTTATATAGGAGAAATCCACATTTAGATTATATAAACCTTGAATAAAACTAGATTTAAAAATATGTATACTTTTTTCTATGTACAATGTACAAGTAATATTCTTAATACTTTAGTGGGAACAAACTTTTTTTATTCAATTATCATTGAAATCTCGTAAGTTGATAGAGCTTCAGCGTCGGTCGAATTAGAAAAAAAATTGATATATTTGATGCTGGTTATGTGAATCACTTCGATAAACTATTGGGTTCTCAAAATGAGGGCTGGCATTTTCACTCTCACCAGTATTGGCGTTGGCGCTACTAAAACGTGAGGTCAGTGACAAAGTAAAAAATCCCAAAAATTTTGCGGGATAGCCCTGAAAGCTATGGCTTGTTTTATCGAAAATATACGAACAAAGTGATGTAGATTATTTTGACAAATAGAAAACCTCAAGTTATCGAATGACGTGAACCCTCTTTTGTTCTATCAAGACGACAAGGCATGGTATGATCGTATCTTGTACAAAATGATCGATATGGGCTCTCCCGACGATTTGATTCAGTTGATGTATTCATTTCTGAAAAATCGAACTTTTCAAGTGAAACTTGATGATCAATGACAATGATCTGGTATCAAGTCCATTGAAGCTGGTGTTTCTCAGGGTGCAGTTTTATCGCCGCTGTTGTACAGTTTATACAGTCTGTCCAAGATAAGGTTGAACAGCATGGAGATCTCGAAAACGGTAAGAGATACGAAGTCGGTTAAATGGGGAAAAAGTTGCGCATTCGGAGGCTCATGTCAAAAGCCTTCGAAAATTTCAAAAATTATTCTTAGTTTTTGAGTTATATTGAAAGAAGTGAATTTTTGGAATATCTATTTTTTTTTCTCCGTTATTATTAGAGATACAGCAAAACTGAGAATACTTTTTCATAGCAACTTTTGGTGACGTTCAACGTGGTGATACCGACTTTTTTATGCGACGTTTCGTATTCGTGGAACCATCATCAACTCTTGTTTTTTAAATACAGTCCTGATAATTTTTTCACAGATTCTGAAAGGTTTTTTCATTCTGATTTCAACCATGTATTATATAAAGTGGTTTATGTGTGTTTCGACCTATTTTTAGCCATCATCAATGTTTTTTCGAAATTCCAAAGAAAAATGCCATCAGTTCCACTTATTTTGAAGGAAAATTAGTCAACACACTAATACCTCATCAACTGGTTTCAATCAACAACCCATTTCATTTTGCGGAAACAAAAATTATGTCCATAAAAATTCAGAATATGTCAAGCGCTAAAACCAGGCGATGACGAAAGGCGCAGGACATTCTGTAAGTGGTATACCAGGAAATTTTAAAATTTTGCAGATTTCCCTCGAACAATCATCTGCATGGACTGATGAAAGCATGGTCACTAATCATGGTAGCTTCGATAGAAAAAATACACATTATTGTTCACGAGAAAATAAACATTTATAAATTACAGCGAGATACCAACACCGTTTCGGCTTTAATATGTGGGTTGCAATATTTGGTACACGAATTATTGGTCCTTCGATTTACCATGAAACACAGACTTCCGAACGTTATAGAAATTCGCTTGAGAATCATCTTGAGGAAGCTCTGGATAATTTACCGATTCCGGAAGTTCAGAACTGTTGGTTTCAACAAGATGGCGCTCCGGTACATAATTCCAGAGAAGTCGGTGAGTTTTTATCCCTTGGCCGGCGCGGTCGCCTGATTTGACACAGCTGGATGTTTTCTTAGGGGATATATCGAACTTCGTACACGCAAATAACTTTGATGATGAAGAAGAACTAAGGGACAGTGTCTTCGAAGCATTCAATAGAATAACCCCAGAGATGCTTAGCAATGTCTTAGAAGCAACTGTGAGAAGAGCATATCTTTGTTCAGAAAATAATGGTTATCATTTTGAACATTTGTTATGAATGTCTCTGTAGGTATTGTCAAAGTAAGGTTGGTGAAGTAATTCGTGTAAGAATTCATCAACAATTTTAAACGTTGCATTGATCGAATGATGTAGTGAAATATTTTTCATTCACTTTTCAGTATTGAATAACTAATCCATCAAGTTTGACACTAAATGATCAGAAATAAGTGGAACTGGATGGCTTTTTTTCTTTGGAAGTTCGAAAAAACATTGATGATGGATAGAAATAGGTCAAAACACATTCGAATCACCTTGTATAGTACATGGTCGAATTCAGAATGAAAAAACCTTTCAGAATCTGTGAAAAAATTATCAGGACCGTATTCAAAAAACAAAAGTTGATGATGGTTCTACGGATACGAAACGTCGCATAAAAAAATCGGTATCACCACGTTAAACGTCATCAAAAGTTGCTATGAAAAAGTATTTTCAGTTTTTCTGTATCTCTAAAAATAACGGGGGAAAAAATAAAATAGAAATTCCAAAAATTCACTTTTTTCGATATAACTCAAAAACTAAAAATAATTTTCAAAATTTTCGAAGGTTCTTGATATGTGCCTCCGAATGCGCAACTTTTTCCTTATTTAAGCGACTTCGTATCTCCTACCGTTTCCGAGATCCCCATGCTGTTAAACCTTATCTTGGACAGACTGTATACTAGCGATTTGCCGAGACCAGTGATGTGCAAGATGTCGCTTTTTGCTGATGATACGGCAGTTTTTGCATATTCGACAAATGTCGAGCAAGCAGCTATGAACCTCCAAATCGCGCCGAATTCTATTCAGGAGTACTTCCTAAGATGGAAGATCAAATTAAATCCTACAAAAACACAATTGGCCGCACTCGGAAGGGAGTGGAGGCTTTCCAGAACCAGAATAGTCCTAGATGGTCATGAGTTAGAGTGCTCTTCACAAGTTAAATACTTAGGTGTGTGCATTGACAAAAAGCTCACCTGGGTCCAGCACATTGAACAGCAAGCTTCGAAAGCTAAACGAGCCATTGGAGCCCTGTATTTATTTCTTAACAGACGAAGTAAATTGGGTTTGAGACAAAAATTGAATATTCACATCATGGCTATCAGGCCAATTTTACTGTATACCTCGGTTGTCTGGGGCCACACAGCTAAATCTCATATCACCAGATTACAAACATTACAAAACAAAATCGCAAGAATGGTGACAGGATCTCCTTGGTATGTTCGGAATAACGAGATCGCCAGGGATCTGAAACTCCCTTCAATCGTTGTCCGCCATTAGAGAAAGAAACATCGAGACTTTCGAAAAAGCTGAGGTTCATGAGAATCAGCTTCTTCGAAATACAATTGATTATGACCCAATCAAAGTTCAACAGACCGAGATTGTCCATAAACACAGCGTGCTGAATAATTATCTATGGACCAAATTTACTCTTCCCAAGTTTTTGGTATTTATTTATTTCGTTCGATCTTTTTCAATACTCAAAATGTATTTTTGAAACTTATTTGGGGCAAAAGGGCTGTTCACATCAAACTTCAATACCGTTTTCATTTTTTTTGTTTCATGATAGATATCAGGATAAGAGGGACTCTTTCCTGGTTTGAATCAAATAAAAGGAAGATCCAATAAATATATAGACGAAGAAGAAGATATCATAGCAAGAGGCCAAATGACATGAAATTACGAAGTATATTTATCAGTTCTACCAACACTGACCTCATGTTTCAGTGGCGCGGTTTGATGGACAATAATTAATGTTTACCCTCATTGTTTAAAAATGGAATGAAATGTTAATATGAAATCTCAAGATGGACATCCTAGTATATCATTCAAGTTGTGTGTAACAACAAACAAAAAATCTGATTTTTTTACCGATTAATATTCAGATTGAACACTTATTTCAACTTCTATAGGCATCTCTATTATCTTAGGAGATAATAGTAAAAAAGCCAATTTGTATAAATATAAAAATTAATAAACATAATAGGCAATAAAAAGCAAGACCCAATAATAAGATGAACATTCATCATTGGATATAACATTCTGTTATTGATCTCACCACTGGTAAGTACTCTGATAGTCGAAACAGTGAAACTTTGTTGACATTATTTCTCATTACAGCTCTCTCTCAAAATTTTCAAATAAGTAAATTATTATTATGATCTGTTACAAAAAAACACCCAACTATTTAAACAATAACACCTAGCATAAAATGAAAATCTGATATCACATTCAACAATTAAAATAGTGAACAAATATTTACACATATTGCTCATTTATTTAAAACTTCATTTCTGCCTCATTAATAGGGTATTTAGCTGAGCTTTCATCATCAAACCAGCAAATGATTCATTAAGAGGGCAGAAATAAGGAATTTAGACATTTCGAATTATTTATTCTTAAATTGATGCCCAAAATAAGGAACAAATAGTTATTTAACCAACTAGTGTATTAATGAGGGCGATTAATGATCGAGATATTTTAACGTGCGAGCGAAGCGAGCGCGTTAATGTTCGAGATCATTAATCGCCTTTTAATATACGAGTTGGTTACAAAATTTTTCCGTCGACTATATTTCTCATTTCTCCTGCAATGAAGAAAACTTGGTTCGCGAATTCATCATTCATCAGAAAACTACTAAGAATCACCCAGTAGCCTTGTTACTGACATTAGTGACATTTGACATTTGTCGAAATGATCAACATAGAAAATAAATTCCTTGTGTTGAAAAACAGGGATTAAAATCGTTTCAGAAACTTGGAAAGGCGAACCCGTTAACGGAAAATCTTCGATGAAATCCATATTTTCGATTTAAATGCAGATTCCGTAAGTACGATTTCATAAACATTAAACTTACTGGTTAATACGAGGTCGACGGAAAAAGTATTTTCATTAAATCTCTTTATGTGAAAATTATGTTCTCATTGACTCAAGTAATTTTTATATGATACTTTTTGACACAATAGTACATTATTCAACAAGCATATAATGAGGGCTATTATTCACGAAGGTTAAGTTTATGTCACGAGCATAGGGAGTGGCATGCATAATTAACCTGAGTGAATAATAGCTCATTATATGCGAGTAGAATACTATACTTTGTCCACGACTACTATTGTCTTCGATATATACATTTATTTCAAACAATTGTTTTATCCTAACTCATTTGACATTAAGAAAACTAAACATTTAAGATACCTGTTATATTAATTATTTGTCCACGACTGTTGTACTTCCTCAAGCAAAACGATAACCATTTTTCACACCAGTGAATAATTGCGGTGAATAACCATTATTCACTGGTCTAAAGTTCCTTATAATTATGTAATATCGCGTAACACAGGAACTCTAGACCAGTGAATTATGGTTATTCACTGCTATTATTATTCACTGGTGTGAAAATAGCTACCGCTTATTCAATGTGATTAACATGCTGTTAGACGACTGAACTGGAGACGAAAGCCTAAAGTTTTCGAACCATTCCCAAACCGCATTGTCAGATTCGTCACAGTGAATCACGTGATACAATATGGACGCATTCGCTCGAAGAAAAACTTAAACGAATTATTAACGAGAGAAAAAGGAATAACATCCTTGAAAGCCTGAATCACTATATAAATGATCACAGTGGGTTGACGCCATGCTATTAGTGGACCAGAATGAAAATCCCTTACCAAACTTAGCCTCCACAATTTTAATGCGAAAAATAATCATCAAGAAACACGAATCTCAATAACATATCACGATGATGGGAATGGTTCAAAAGGCGAAACATGCTAAGGAGTACGCCCTCTGTCGTCCTGAATATAACTAACGTATGGGCCATGTAATACTTTGTTCAAATTAATTTACATGTGTTCCATTTGAGAAGTTATTGAATAAATTTGTTTGAAAATATTCAACACGTTGAAAATATAGCATAATACCGCCTGTTAACAAATATAAACAATCCAGGAATGGCCCATAGAGTAGTACCAGTTTCGCCGTTCTGGCGCTGCGATCTTAATCTCAGTCGCCTATAGTACCCGCGTTCAATAAATTATTTTGGTATTAGGTAATAAAAATCACATTCTGATTTGGGTCCTGGTTATTTATGTCGGTTCAATAATCAGGTTGGATGTATGATCCTCAGATGGCGCCACTCAACAGTCGAGGCATCATCAGTTCTACCAACCTTGAGCCAAGGTCTAGAATTGCTTGTTAATTGTTTGAAAAGGCTATATTCATTAATGTTTCGTTGGTTTCACGAAAGACGACAAATGATGTGAATATAGTTATTCAACTTAGGAGTTTACTCACCTTCCTCAATTATAATTTGGAAAGTATAACATGAATTTCAGATTATATTCTCTATTGCATTTCGTTCCCAATAGAGAACTCAAACTCAGGAGATGTCTAATGATTCTGCAATGATGAACCCTACCTCTCTACGCATGGAAGTGCCTTCCTTGGAATACAAAGTTATGATCTGGCGGGAGCGCTCATCTACTGACGCTATTTCATGCTTCCAAATGAGGTTTATGCGTTTGTTTACGTGGGTGAGGTTATGTTTTTTCATCGCTCTTGTATGGATTGCGTGCAAGAACTGTCAGATGACCGACCCTGGAGGTGAAACATTGAAACACAACCTCACTTCTCTTATTCAGAAATGATTGAAATAGTTTTTCACAAATATTTTGGCATATGAATCGTGTTTTTCGGCTATTCATTAATTCGCGCAAGCCATCACATTGTGAACATTGCACAAAAAATGCAGCGAGAGACGAAGGAATCCGGTTGGTACATCATGATTTAAAAATAAGTACCTACTATAGTCACTCACATGTAGTTATCCTTTTGAAATTTGGTAATTTCTCTGATTTCTCATCGAAATTTCATCTGCAATAGAGGCTAATAGAAATACTCGTGAAATTTATTCTAAGAGCACGCAAGAAGATTGGATTTATGCAATCAAACAGGAGGACTGGTCTGACATGCTGACGAAATATGATCGTGTGTGCTCTAGACATTTTCAATCTATTAGAAGTATTAGCTTCTAATTGCAGAAGTGGCAGAAGGAATTTTAATAAGAAATGACAAACTTTCATAAAAAAAAACTATGTGAGATTACTATTTATCTGAAAAATCATATTCCTTCCTATCTCGCTGCATTTTTTGTGTATTGTACAACAGTACAATGAGAAGGCATGCTTGAATTAATGAATAGCGAAAAAACACGATTCGAATGCCACAATATTGTGAAAAACTATTTCAATCCTTTGATTCCGTAAAAAAATAAAAAAAGTGAGGTTGTGTTTCAATGTTTTACAGAAAAGTGAGGTTATGTTTCAATATTTTACCTCCAGTGTCGTTCATTGTGCACGCGACCTATTTTTTGCTGTTTTGTTAGTGAATGAAGGTGATTTATAAACTTTCAAAAATACTGATTGGGTACATGTCTATGTAATAAATGTCTAACTATTCAGTCAAGTCAAATATTTTGCCATTTATATGTGTGCCTGCTCGGGAACATCATGCACCGAGAACAAAAACGTATGGATATATGGATATGACTCATACTGAATAATGTTTTTTTTTTCAGGCAATGGATCCAAAAATATTTCATTAACATAAAATCACCACGCAAGAGTTTAGAACACGACAAATTCCTTCTGATAGTAGTTTCTTACTTCATTTCATTACTTTCAGTCAAATTGTCTTCCTCTCTTTCAAATGTACACGCATAAAGTATTATCCCTTAGAGGAACAGAGAAAAAAAATCAGGTATTTTCGAAAAAAAATTGACATTAAACATTTTTCCAGCCGATTTTAAAAATTCGAATTAATTCATGCAATAGAGGGTTTTAATGTGATTCGGAAAGTGTTACTTGTAAATACCTAGTTAATTGTAACCCAGTAAATGTGAATTATAATCCAGAGAGCATCATCTGTCATTCAAAAATTACCAAGAAATTGAACAAGGGTAAGGAATGATGAGAATAATGAATCGATATTGCATAATTATCGACCAACAGGCAGCTGCAGCATTGAAAATGATTGTGTTTGTGCAGCCCAAACAGAAACACCATCAACAATTTTATATTTTTAAACTGATCAACCATACTATGAATGTAAAAGATGTTCCTGATCCCAGTTTTGTTAGGTGTTAAGTGTCTATCTAGTCAACTTTGTCTTTGTCTCAGTCTCAATCTTTTTTGTTTGTTCTTAGACTATAAACCAAGTTGTTTCTACAAACTCGCATGAGCATTTCTAGAAAAATCGCGCCAAAACATAAGTAGGTCAAACTAGGAGGCTCAAAGAAACTGGGTTCAAGGAACATCTCGCACATTTAAGGTATGGTAGATTTCAAAAATCAAGAGTAGCAAATCATGTTATGTTCGATAACAACTTTCACACAAATATCGAAATGCGAGAACACAAAATTGATCAAATAACTTAGGTTCTATAGAAAACTATACGCATATGGAAGTACAGTATTCCGTATAGCTAAGTAATTATACATTTGGCTCAAGGTGTTGATTATATTAGACCATGATGGACTCCGATACCAAGTAGTAAAATTTGTCTGAGTGTTAATTGTGTTAAGAAATAAAACGATTCACTCGCGCGGTTTCTGCCATGAAAAGAGCTAGGCAGTACCGCAAAATAGACCAAATTATAATGGTTACCTTCACAAGCTTTCAAGTAACTTGAACAACTCTTTCCACCGAACATGCCACCCACATACAGTGTCTTCAATCAGCTCTTCAGGAAGAACTTTCTAGTAGAAGCGACAACACTGCATTGTCGAAAATATTTTAGATGAAGTTAACGTAATCTCAAATATAAGCATGCACATGTTCATAAATTTCTTGCGACTGATGTTCAGTCCCATCCAGTACATAACACTCGATATACAGGGTGAGTCATAGGCTAAGGGTAGATTTTTTGGGCCAAATATGTCTCAATAAAATATTTCCGTGGAAAAAGATTAAGGGCGTTATTATTTTATGCGTTATTCTACAGTTTGTTACAGAGGGCACCACCTGAGTGATTCCTGATGATGAAACGACTGGAAACTTTTTGCCAAAATTTTTAGGGTTATTGATTAGACAATACGACATAAACATCATTTCTATGTAATAGTACAGTGAATACTTTTTTTATTGAAACGCACTATACATTTTTCCACAGCAATATGTTATCAAGGAATATTTTGGTCCAAAACAGTTACCCTCAGCCTATGTCCCAATAGTTATAACTCACCCTGTACATATTCCCAGGACCTTGAAGTATAATCATGGTCTCCTCACTTAGGCCAATTTCACATAACGACAGTGGTAGTTAACGTCACCCCTTCTATAATTGATTTGACATATTGTAATTCACCAAATATTCCCGTTGTTCAACTTCACACAAGTCAGTTAAATTGAGAGGTTGACGCCACTGCAATACTGCCTATATGTGAATAAGGCCTTAGTCTGACGAAACAATTGAAGAGTGAAACAATTGACAAGCGTATCCTCAGGCGGGCAGCAGACTAACATACTTGCATACTTCTTGAAGTTTGCTTTATAAAGTATGATTATGTTCGATGGATTTGTACTACTCGAAAGATGAGATGCACGAAACGATTTGAGTGGCACTTCAAGCGACGTGACACGACGGCAAATGATTGATTGATAGTCTGCCGCCCGTCTCACTTTTCCAAAAGCTTCAAACGTCAGATCCAGGAACTCTAACCTACACCTACTTCGCTCGCTACACGACGCTCACGTGCACCGAATGATTCCCCTCGCCACCCATCGCCTCCCCTCCCGTCTCCCCGCCCCCTACGGTCAACTCTATCTGCTGGTCCGCGCCTGCGCCCTTCGCCTTGTGCTTCTTCCCGATGCCGGGTATCTTGGGCAGGTGCTTCAACGCCCCGCCCTTCGCCCGCCCGGCCCGCTCGCCCTCCTCCTGCTCCTCCGTGATGGAGTCGAGGGCGGGGTCGGCAGAGGCGGGGATGGGCGGGGCAGCGGTCTGGTGGGCGGGGTCTTGGATGGGAATGTCGTCTGCGAGACAGAGAGAGAGATAGATAGTTTAGTTTAGTTTATTTATTGGTAAAGTATAACACATAGTGCTTTTACAGGTCAATAGGGTATATAAAGTATAGAACTTGTTTGAATGATAATAATATAGTAAGAAAATACTTGAAAATTAAAAAGTGAATTTAACGACACACATTTTACATATTAAAATTGGTTTTACATATTAAAATATGTGTTACATATTAAAATAGGTCTTACATATAAAACTAAAATGTCCTTAAGTCACTCTCAAGGTACTCCTCGAGGGAATAGAAGGCGTTTCTTAGGAGATAGTTTTTGACTCTAGATTTGAAGCTATTTAGATTTAGCTGCTCAACATCTGTCGGTAGAGCATTGAAAAATTTGATGCCATAATAATCGGTTCCCCTTCTAGTACGTTGCAGCCTGTGGTAACCGGGCACCAGATTCCCTCCCCCCCTAGTCGAATATGAATGAAAATCACTGTGTGTTCTGAAGTTTTCCCGATTTTGTTTCACATATACTAGACAGTGAAAAATGAAAACGCACGGAAGAGACACTTCTTGACAGACTCCTTATCAAGAAGGTGATTCTAGACAGTTTGGAGCTGAGCTGAGTGATATGTGTTTCCCAGGACAGTCCAGGATCTAGGTGAACCCCCAGAAACTTCACAGATGCATCACTTTCTAGGTTCGGTGGAGAAGTTTGTAAAGTGAAATTAATGAATTGAGTTTTACTGTTATTGAGGCTAAGCCTATTGGCTAGAAACCAGTTCTCAATTCGTACCTGACTGCTTTGAGTCCACTGCAGAATTGGATCAGAGGGATGGTAACGTAACAATGATGTGGTATCATCAGCAAATAGGATTATCAGTAAATTCATTAGATTATTGGTATTTGGTAGGTCATTGATATATACAAGGAACAACAGGGGACCCAACACTGAGCCCTGGGGGACACCATGCTGAATCCCTCTTATTCCTGAGGGTTGATTTTTAAAAAGAACATATTGTTCCCTTTCTTCAAGATAGGACTGGATAAGGGATACGCTGCTCATATCGAAGTTGTAGTAGAATAACTTTTTATAAAGAATTTCAAAGGATATGCAGTCGAATGCCTTAGTCAGGTCCAGGAAAGAGGCATATGTATTGATAGAAGTTGGGATAGGTTGAATTGGATTCAAAAGCCATTTTTCCTCGAAATTAACCACCCTCACGAAAACACGGGAAATTGGCTCTCGGTCGAATTGGTTGAAATTTTACTATGTTGTTGTGGGACGGCTCATCAGAAGAATATGTGAGTTTGAAAAGTTTTGTATGTTTACTTTCTGAGATATAAGCCGACAAAGTTCGTAAATACGTCGTATCGGGGTAGGATTGACAAAGAAAAAAACAGTTTTTTTAGTATAAATAAGACAAAATGAGCTAGAAAATGTATTGATCGGAACTCGAATACATGTCTAGTTATGATCACATAAATTATAGTAAATCAGGGTGTATACGAGGCACGGTTAAAAAATTCATTTTTCGGGAAAAAAATTCGAGCACTATTCCAAAACCAACAAGTTATATTTTGGTGAGACATTATAGTTTTAGTCTATTGTAGGCTTCGAAAACGTATTTTCATTCTTGATAACTATCTCTGTTCGAAATATGAATTCTTTGAATTTTGTGTTATACCCTTTTTGGAAAACAATTGACAGCTTGTTTTTGATCACAAAAAAAGGATTGATTGATACTGTTGATTGAATGAAAGCTGCGGTAACTCACTAGCGAATTTAGTTGTTCAATATTGCCTTACATTTATATACAGGGTGTGTTAGATTTTGTTGAAGATTATTTTAAATGTTTCAATTGAATATCTCGAAAAAATTTCCGTTAATTTGGATCTCATTCAACTCACACTATTTTGAATATGTTGACTATCATATGCAAAAAGTTTTTCAATTTTTTATGTTCCGTTTCTGAGATATGCATTTTTGAGAGTACAGTATTACAGGTATTAAAGGGTTATTACCTAGGATATTACTATCGATTCAACAGAACTTTACGTTGTTCATAGTAAAAATTCTTGATTTCTGATAGTTTCATAATGTGATTGAATAATCGAAAGATTCCGTAAAGTTCAATTATGACTACTAAAACCAAACAGGGAAATTACCAATAAATAAATAACAACAGCTGACAAACCGACATCTGTGGAGCTCAAAAAGTAAACCGTGATGTCACAATACAGTTACTGTGATGTCATGATGAAGTTGACCTGGTTTGCCCGATTAGGTTCGAGCAAAAATGACAAAAGTGTGGCAGACTTGACAGGCGGGACATCACCCTAACATTATTATTTATAGTCCGAGAAACTCTTCATGGATTGAAAAGCATGAAGAATAATTGTACTTTAGGATGAACTGACAGTTTTTATAGACCAATATTCGATCCTACTGTCCTCAGACTATATAACAATGAATAGACACCGTGATTCATTCATGAATCATAAAAGTATTCGGCAACAATTGTTATTCTAAACGCCAAACACGAATGAATGAACGGAATCGCGAATGGTCTAATAATGGATATTCTTCATAGATTCATTCAATACATCCGATAAATATGAATTTTTATCAATGTGTGTATGTGCATCAATAAATTATCTCTTGCGTGTTGTTTCATAATCATGTCATTTTGTAACATATTAGTGAGATTAAGTGATATTTTAAATATTTTTTACACGGTTTTCAAAGCAAAATCTCTACGTTCCTTTGAAATATCAGGTTTGGATATTTTTGTAACTAACTTTCCTTCACAGTTTTTGACACTGACGAACTATATTTATTCTCAATAGTCTGTTTTTAAAATATATGCTCAGTTGACAAGAAATAGATGTTTCCATGAAATTTCGATATGTATCATTGAATGTGGCATTTGCATTTCAAGGGCATCAGATGTTTTGTTCATATGTTTTCTTCACGTAGAACACTAAATTTTATGTTGCCAAATAGTTTGATGTTCTTATCGTGATTTTGTTAATCACTATCATTATCGGACGGATTCGTATCAATGTTGAAAAATTGCTAATAATATATATGATTTTTGGAATTTTCACCCTCAATAAATGTCGAAGTAAATTTGTCAAAATCGGATGATAAATAAAACATTTAAGGTGATGTCTTGCTTGCAAGTAGGAAACACTGTGTACTTATTTTATCCAGAAATAGTATACAAAATATGAACAAGTATTTCCTAAAATTCTCCTGATAATGGCAATAGGCAGGCCAAAGAGTAAATTCAGTTAGAATGTACAAACAACAGGAATATAGTATCAAAATGATATGTATGCATAATTTTCTAAACACAATAAGCCGTGATACTCGGAAAACTATAGTCTCGTTGAGCCAGTGCTGACGTCATAAGTTCTATTGGTAGCATTTCTTATCAAGATTGTGGATGATATACCCACCACTCGCTTACATAATTGTTATTGAAGTAAGTTACAAACTGTTTCTTTGTAGCCCAGTTAAATTATGGAGAACTTTCTATATGATTTCTAACTGAAGGATTGATTGATCTCCCACGATATTTCATTTATTTTTCCATCATAGCAATCTGAGCTATTGTTTAGGTCTCAGAACACTTGTACAATAGAAGTGAATTCCTGTTCTCATTGGTTGTTGAGAAATATGTCACTATTGATCAGTTCATGGATAGATTACATCATCAAGAGCATTTTCCAAAGGGACAGATGTTCATCATTGACAGAAGTATTCGTAATGATTTTAAATCATTATTGATTGCATCAAAATACCATCATTTATACAATACATAATATGAAGGTCAATATAAAATAGGCATGTGATGTGAATTCCACTAGTGTTTTAAACCCCATTCTTGGGCGCCATGTAGTTTATAATCTAATAAATTATTAACTGTGATTACAGTCGTGCATTTGACTTGATCCATCATAAAATATTGATTTACAAGCTATATAACTATGGTGTCAGAGGGATACCTGGTTGTTGGCTATCATCCTATTTATTCGGACGATCGCAACAAGTCTGGAGGTGCCAAGTATATTTCTGAATCCCGGTCCGATTCTCGCATCCGTTGGAATTCATTCTCATGGGAAAAACTCGATATTTCCCATGGAAATTTGAGATGATATATTCTTGAAATATTGTATGGAAAACTATTCCTACACATTTCAGGGGAACTGCTTCCCATGGTAATTCTCATGGAAACAACATGTTTCTCATAGGATAAACTCATGAAATACCAAGTTATTCTCATTTGTGATGGGAACTGAACCTTAGTGAAAAATCGAAAAACATAAATGTATTGCAAAACATGGCAAACATAGATGAAACTGATCATCTTGAGGCTTCACAAAATTTGGAAGTGGCTGAAATCCTTGCTAGAAGACTAAGAAGAAGTTTTCTGCGTAGAAGGGACCAATTGAGTGTTTGTCTGCTGCACAATTTATTGAAGTTTTTCGTTTGTCCAATGACGTTACTAGAAAATTGATAGGTGTATTATACTATAACCTCAAAATTAGTCAAAATCAGAGTGTCAACATTTTTTCATTCCAATCATCCACCAGTTACCAACATAAATTCCACTTACTTCATTGGTGAATTCATGTAAGTTCAAGAATCTATCTGCAACATACGGCACTTTTTCAATCCCCTGGGAAAAACGATTCCATCTGTTTCAAGAATAGGTGTCATGACAAACTATCATTTCCTATGAGAACTGAAAGCATTGGATCATTCTCCTATAGGATCGAATTCCTACAGATTCGAGAATAGGGCCCTCTGTCCTATTTGCGGATGATATGTCCACCTTATTGACCTCTGAATGTATGAACAACCTTAGGTCCAGTGTGGATGAATGTGCTAGACAGGTTTTTGAATACAGCACTCAAAATAACTTAATTCTCAATTTGTCGAAAACAGTGATGATGGTTATTAGTACTAGAGACAATGATCAGTCCCTCTATGTTCATAAAAATGAACATACAATCAAACAGCTATCAACTACCAAATTCCTTGGGATCAATATTGATGAGAAGTTGTCATGGTCTTCACATGTCGATTATATTCTGAAGACGCTTTGCTACCACAACTTTGTCATTTGGAAACTCAGAAGCTGTGTCGATCAACATATCCTAATAACATACTATTGTGCATATTTTCATTCTTATTCAAGTTTTGCAGTTGTGGTCTGGGGTATCTGCAGTAGAGTTACAGAAATTTTACTGGCACAGAAAAGAAGTGTCAGAAGTGTGCTTGGAAAACCTCCTCAGCAGTCTTGTCGGCCGTTGTTCCAGGAGCTATAACTGTTGTCTATGGCTTCCATTTATGTATTACAGTGTGCAGTTTATGTCAAAAAACATATTGGAAATTTTCAGATTGTTGGCAATATGCAAAAATACTCTTTGAGACTCCGACAAACTGGTTATTCCCCAGAAAAGGTTAACCTTGACTAATAACAGCTGTTACATCATGCCACTAAGGATTTATAATCACTTACCCATGAATGTACGACACATTGACAGTATTTACAAATTCAAAAGAGAATTCAGGAGAATTCTTATAAAAAATAGATTTTATGGGCAAGATGAATTCTTTGGTCACTCCTGCTAGGCATAATTTTATATGCATTTTATATTTATATCTGTAGTTAGGATAAGGTACTATCATTATTAGTTGTAGTTATCTGTTGTAGTTTTGTGTCATGTATGTTTAATTTAAGGATTTTTTATGACAAACCCATTGTCCTGTAAAGGAGACCAATACGGTGAATAAATGAATTGAATTGATATAGACACACGACGATAATAAAGAACTTGTGACGTCAGTACAGAAGGCGCTCTACCACTATGTAAAAATGGGTAAATTTATATGGAAATCCGTTCCGACGAAAGCTATCATGAAGGAAATAGAAAATAATACGATAGTGATTGACACAAATGTTACTATCTAGGAACCAACCTCAAATTGACCAGTTTTCGCGTACATGCAAATACGACTTGCCAATTCTCCATTCTTGAGGAAATAGTGATATCTCGATGCGGTTCTCTCAACTTTTCTCAATTTCCTTTCCGACCAACTTACCGGGAAGCTTCTTCGTTCTGAACGACGCGTTGGTTATCATCGATTTGGACACGCTGGGCACGTGAGACGGCCTGGGGGCGGCAGAAACGGCGGGCGAATGGTGAAGGAGATTTTTGATAGCGTTGGCGGCCAGTAGGACTTCTGAAAAAGCGCAAACATCCGATTCACCGATAAAGGCGAGGATACACCCCGTTGGGGATGTGACGCTTGGAATTGAATCGCTTAGGAGAAGAAGGGAATAACTAACATTTTGGGTCAAACTGAACTAGCATAGCCATTTTGTTTATTGGATATGTCCACATGAATCTAGCCGAAAATGGGAACTGTCACGCTATTTTTAAATGCACTGCCTCGCGAACAAAATATCGTATAGTGGAAGAATAATTATGTATATCTATAATAATAATCAAATAATTCCCTTTTCCACTTTATGCTGATAACCGCCAACGGGCATTCGATATAGTTCCAATCAGCTGTTTAGTGTTTCCTCCTTCATCAGCTACAGTCTTTTGTTTTTGACACCGACCTTCTTTTGATTGAGGTTTGAGATATCATTCAAAGCATATTGGTTTTGGGATTTGTTTGATCAGGTAAGCAATAATTTTGTTTACCGCAAATTTTCGGTATTTACCCGACTCGAAAGTGGTTTGGTTGTCATGGTTATTTCATTGAAAAATTGACATTCAAAGCATTTCCACTTATATTCCAGATGAATATAAGGAGTTTTATAATGAAGTTATGGCATGGATCACTCACGACGTAGGAAACAGCGATGTTCTGTGTTCTTTTCGACATTTATGTTTTTTGTTGAAAAATAATACAGGATTTTTTTTTTGTTTATGGGCATCAGATTATGAAAGAAATTTAGTGGTCCTGAGTCATTTCCATTGATAAATGTGTGGAAAATGGAAATTACATGAAAATATGGTGGAATAAGGGAATAACTTTTCAAATTTTCATCCCTAATATCCCTAAGACAAGACTGAAATTGAGAATAACTAGAAACCTAGACATTCAATGAATCCATGATACCATATCCTAAAACTTTTCTGTGTATGGACTTCTTGTAGAAATTACTGTCTAAGAGTTATTAATTTTTTTTTGTTTTCCCAAAACGTCAGATGTAATTATTCTCTTCTTCTTCTGAGCGATTCAATTTACAACTGATAATTGCTTCTCTTTCTGTTTCTTTCTGCCTCTCTCTCTTTCTCTTCATCCTTCTCTTATTCATCTCTCTCTCTTTCTCTTTGTTCATATTTCTCTTCATCTTTCTCTCCACCTCTCTCTCGCTCTATCATTCTCAACTTCCCCCTCCTCCCATTCACTCTTCCTCCTTCTCTCGCTCTTTTTTCGTCCCTCTCACTATCCCTATCTCCTTCTCTTTCATTCTATATGTACAGTGTGTCCAGTTTTCGATGCTTTCGCGTGATATCTCAGTTATCTTTGGAGATAAAACCTTGCGGTTTTCACGGTTTCACTTTTTTGTGAAACTCAAGATGGCCTGATTAGATTTTGCATAACTGTTTCCGTTTATGCAATACAGTGCGATTTTGAAAATTTATACTGTTTGGACCCCCTCTATATCTACGAAGTTTCTCAGCGAAAATGTCAAATTAAAATCTGATCCAATAGAAAATTTCACGCAGAATCCAGTGGTGCACTCACTGTTTTTTTTTCTCGGGGTATGGTTTTTGAGACACGACTCAAACTAATGATTTTTAAAATGGGACAACCTGTATTTTATCAGCTCATTAAATTATTGATAATTAATCTTCATCTCCCTCTCTCTTTCTAATCTTCCCCCTCTCCTTTCACACTCTTTCTCCCACTCACTCTCTTTCCCCTTCTACCTTCTACTCTTCCTTTAAAATGAGAAAGATTATTATAAAGGAGCAAAAAGTAGGGTTAGATAGCAGGATATTGAAAAAAAGTTATTTGAAAAAGTGACTCTGAATTCAATTTCATGCTCACATACAGAGTTTGAAGCAATTATTCACGAAAATTCTAAAATAGCTATTTTTTTTCGAATATTTCCCGATCTCGTTACAATAATCTAATGTCTTTTCGGCACAAGTGCATAATAATTACCGATAATTTTGGAAGAAAGCGTGTTACCTATCAAAAAATTGCAAGAGGTTATTTTCATATTTTGGCGAAGGGGAGCTCGAGTCAGAAGGAGGAGGGCTCTTTTACGAAATAAATTAATGCAAAACTATCTGTCAATTTTCATGCACGAATGCAAATCATTGAAATCTTTCACGAATAAAGAAATTCACGAAGGAATGTTGTTGTTTTCTGAGAAAAATGTGCTATAAGACATTAAGAGTGTATGAAGCAGTCACCAAAACGCGAATTTTTTTGCACTTTTTGAAGTTTATTTGACATTTTATATTTTTTCTGCAACCGACACAAAAGTCGTCCATTTTAATACCAAAATTAGCTCTTTCAGTTTTTTGATGAGTATAAAAAATGTTTATGAAATATCTGGTATTTTGGGTTAGTTTCTGGATGTCAATAAATTAGGAAAATTCTGTATTATAATAGTCTATAATAAGAGGTCTTGAGAAAAAATACATGGGGTTGAAGATTTGGACAATATAAATCCAAGAAATACATGCAAATATTTCAGATATAGACATAATTTTCAAACCCCTTGATCCACCTCATCTCATGTATGATTATTTTCAATAGTTATGCATAGTTAATTCAATGAATGTATATTTCAATATTGACTTTGATAAACATAAAATTCCATTAATTTTTATAAACTAAATTAAACTTTGACTATCAAATATTGCTGTTTTTCTTTCTAACATTTCTAAAATTAAAAAATATAAGATTTGATTATGCCAGTTCTGATTGGTTCTCATCATAATTTTTCTGTAATTCTGTAGCACCTTAGCATGTTTTTTATTTCATATATAAAAACTTTATTTCACAAATAAACAGAACAATAACATTCTTATTAGCATGTGATGAAGTGTTTATTTTACTGTTAGGGTTTTTCTCATTGATTATGTTGGCATTTTTTCTATGATTTCATCCAGCTGTACTTTCTTGGAAATTCTAATTTTGGTTCCAATATTTCACCTTCAACTTTATTCAAAGAACTAATTGTAAAGTTGGAGATATATTTCAGTTATTTTTTATTTATTTTCATATAAAAGAACTGAAATAATTGTATATTGGATGGGTAAAAAAAATCAACTTCACAATTTGAAATTGAAAGAATATACAGTTTTAGGACCTATTCTATTTTTAATTTACATTGATGATATATTGAAAACAGAGATAAAAGGAAATTTATTTTCTTATGCTGATGATACATTGTATATAGGTAGTGGAAATACTTGGGAAGAAACAGTATCAAATGCTGAATTTGATTTATCAATTATAAAAAACAATGTTGATCATGATTTACTGACTCTAAATTTTAAAAAATCGAATTTTATGACATTTGCATTTAATGAGAATATGCAACCAAAAAGAATTGATGAATTGAAGATACATACTATTCCATGTTTAAAAAATGAAAAGCAATGTAATTGTACCGAATATATTACCAAAATTGATGTAGTAAAGTATTTGGGAATTCACTTAGATTGCAAGCTCAAATGGCATAAACAAATGAATGATTTGATACAAAAACTAAGGAGAACACTATTAATTCAGGTTACTGAGAAACATTGTCAGTAGGAATTTGATTATCAGATTCTATTATAGTATTTTCCAATCTATTAAGGCTTACGGCATAATAGGCTGGGAAGGTCTATATAAACAAGTGTTGAAACCACTTATATCAATTCAAAAATATACCTTGAAAATTATCTTCAAAAAACCATTTGATTATTCTTCCAAAATCCTCTTTGAACATTATAACATGTTATCTGTTGATCAATTGTTTTTATAAAACACCAAAAATATACATAAGAAAGCATGTACAAAATTATAATCATGTAAAACATAGATATGACAGGAAAAATAAAATTGATTGGTTGGATATCAACTGAGAAATTCTCTTCAACTTTAATGTAGCAACTTGCCATTTATGTAGGTAAAAAAATTGACAATAATTACCCCCTTCTTAAAAGAAATCAGTTTTTTTTTATAAAAAAAAATTGAACCATGGTTGATTGAGAATTCAGAAATTTTGGAAATTTGATTATATGAAAAAATACTTATGTGCAACATATCATGTTTTTTATAGTTATTTTTAGATAATATAAAAATATATTCATTATGTTAATTGTACTCACTGAGAAAATGAATTTTAATTAGTCAGTGGAAGGAAAAAATATTACATGATCATGAACAAGTTTTAAACTTTGCTGATCATGTTTATATTATAAAAAAATGTATATTATTATTAATATAGTATGCTGATATCCATGTTATTTTAAAAATGAATAAAAAAATATCTACAATGTATTAGGATAAAATTCAATGATTACCTGCATAGGACTCATAGCCTGCTCTTTGCACAACATCATGTAATGCTTGCATAGCAACTGAAGTACAACGTTCAGCTGCATGATAGATAATATGAAGTAGTTCCACAAGTAAGGGACTAGACACTGGTATCCTCCTTAGCAAACCATGTTGGCTGCTGCCAATATCACTTTCAATGGAACTCCTAATGCTATCTGAGTTGTTATTGAAGCCTTGTGTTACTAACCTAAAATAAGCAACTTAAACCTACCCATCCAAAGAGCAGTCAAGTCTTTGAGCTCACCTAGATATCCCCCTACAAGTATGTTCCACCCCTTGTGGCATAACATTAGACAATTGCTGATTGTAAATGAATATTAGAGCAGTAGCCAACCTCTGTCTGTTTTGGGCATTAATACATTCAACTTGCGGCAAGGGCCCCCAGCTGACAAGCTTGGTATTGCACTCCTCCCACCTTCTCAGAGAATTCTCTGCAATGAAGGCTGGTTCAAGGCTTGAGGAGTCATGGAATATGGAGGATTGTGCTATACTGGGGACTCTGAAGGATAGGGTACGTGGCTGACCCTTGGCATCTATCACCTAGAAAGGGGGGCTTGAGATGGCTGTCTGTGTAACTGTGTAGAACCCACCTCAAGATTGTACAAGCTAACCAATAAGGTTTGGACAGCTGAATAGGATTTATCAGACAGGTGTAAGAAAACAAGAGCTGGAATGAACTGTACAGTGAACCTCCTCAAATGAGATTCACCAGAACGGTAAAAGTTCAATAATTGTTGGCAAACACCATCTACTAGCTAAAATTGAAAAAGAAAACCTTGAAATTAATTACTATACTTGTATGTGGACAAGTAGTGACAAAGTGCAACAAGTGTTATTTCAAGAAAAAATAATATATTCAACTTACATGATCAGATTTGCACTTTTGGGGTTCTGATAGGACATTATACAAGGCTATCATAACTTCGTGATTATGCTCTTGTTCGTTGGAATACGTATGTATTTCACTCTCAGTGAGTGACTCGAATTCGTCTAACCATTCTAGCACCAGAAGATCTGCCATTATTCTCTCCTATTTTTAAAAAAATCACCTGTGAATGATGGTCTGTAATGGGTATTATTGAGGTTAGGTTTCTCGATGACCTGTCGATTCCGCGATGAGGACTAGCAGCACATAATTTCGAACATTTTGTGTCAATTTTGGATCAATTAAGCATTAGAAAACATTATTTTGGCGGCCGTGTAATGATTTTAATCCTAAGTAATAACATGAACGTCAAAACAAATAACAAATTAAACTGTTGACAGTGTCACAGCTGTGTTGCCACTGTTGCCTGCCAAGTGCCAATGTTGACAAATTGCAATTCTGTCACCGTGTCACCTGTCATTTTTGTGAGTGCCGCCAACATGCCAACAATGAAATTCAACTTCAGTGTTGCCAACAATGTCTAGTCACTACCCCCACAGTAAAATACCAATTATGCAAAATTTAAGTTAGCTACGTTTCGAAGAAATTGTAAATATACTAGGTGATTTTTCGCAGGAAAAGATGCTTCCATATTGTATCTTTGTTTATACATAATTTTCTGGTCATCGTACCCCAATTACAAAGATCATACCCAAAAACGTTAAAAAAAATGAATCAACAATGGTCAAAATCCAAAATAATAATTAGACTTGCACAATCATAAATTCTCATCTACTCACCTTCGTTGGGAAACTTTTAAGATCACTATTATTATATCTTCATCCATCAAATCAAAAACGATTGTCAAATTTGGAAAATTATCTTTATTAGAGTAATATTTTCACTTACCTATAGAATGCAGATGATTCTCAATGAGGTAAATATGTGATGCATTGAACATTTAAAGCCAATTACCTATACGTATTATTGTCAATAGATCAATAGCAATATGAAAATCACGAACAATGTAAATGTTCAATGATCATTTCCTATGAAGAGTAGGTATTATTTATGTGAAGATTTATGTGGCGATTCATATATTGCATCATCCACACATTAATTCATAAATATCAAATTCCAATCTGAGAGATATCCAATATTTCATGTTACAAAACATATATTCTCCTTTGTCCATGAGTTGCAGATGACGAATGCACATATAAAAAGTTGTATGATAACATTCGAATCGGAGCTTGTACCTATAACTAGAAGGATTATAGATGCCAAATTCTAGAGTAAGCTAATGGAAACAGACCACTGGTCGTGAAATTGGTGCATCATCTTTATTGCATTCAACTGTACTCCTCTTATCCGACAAATCCGTTGTCATCGGGCCTGCGTACCAAGGTAGAGATATTGGAGCACGTTTGACTATATCTGCATGATCCCGCCTTGTCTGGTAAATCCGTTATCGTCCGGCCTGGTTGAAGATATAAAGTGTCCTGATGTTCAATCTGGTACCCAAGAAACTTCATACTTCCATTAAAGCTTTGACTTTGTGTGCTCTTTTATAAATTGATCTTCATATACCAATTCTCAACAAACCGTGCGTAAAACTTCAAATTCCTTATTATGGTCTGCTGGGGAAGCGATGATTGATTCACCGCACCAAGAAATATAGTATCAACGGGAAAAACGTTGGAACTGTTCCAATCAACAATTATACAGGGTGAGTCAGAATAATACCGACAAACTTCGTACACGGATTCCTCACCTCGTTTTGAGGTAAAAAGTTACTATCAACGTATGCCCTAAAATGCATCCTCACTGAGATACAAGTTTCTCCAGAACCAGATTAATCAGGCTCATCACAGATTTTTCATTTCTTGATTTTGTCAACCAGTATGGCCTATATAGTAAAAGGGGTCGTATATCGCCACATTTTTCTTCTTATTTTTCCTTAGACAGATGAATTGTTAAATTGGTGTATGAAATCAGTTAGTCTTATCAATACCAAGCCTATTATGCATGCCCAAGTGTAGAGGTTCCCAAGATATTTGCAAAAATCTAAAGATATGTCTTGAGGTTGAGACCCAATCCGCTTATATTGAAGTTGCAACCTATTTGAGATACTATTTAGTTTTCGGTGTTGATCATTACATTTTTTTCATTCGTTATACTCAGTTGCAAAATTGAGGCGCGCAGCATATATACCGGGTATGTCACGACGAGCTTTTACACTATCTCTATATCGAGAATCAGTCGGGAGAAATCCATGAAAATATTCGTGCTTATATTTTAGAATACGCTCTCTTCATTTAAAATATTCTCAGCAATGCAGTGTTGCGGCTTCTATCAAAAAGTAGCAACAACTTTGTTATTTCAAATGGAACACCCTGTCTTTTATTGCATTTTTAGATTCTCCCTGAAGAGCTGATTTCATCGAATTATCACAATTGGGGTCTATCGGAAATGATTTCAGAGATAAAGGGTGTTCAAAATCGAGATTATTCAACTTTAGGATTTGTTCGTGTCGAAACTATTCATTATCGGCCAAAACGACTCACATGTCCCTATCTCAACTTTTGATTTACTATTTACTTATATTTTTCATGGATTTCTCCCGACTGATTCTCGATATAAAGATAGTGTAAGCTCGCGTCGTGACATACCCTGTATAAAATCAATAGAATTATGTTACTAGATCAATTAAATACTTAACTGTTCGTGATTTTCTTTGATTATATGACTTGTACTTCTGATACCAAGAGGAATTCGCGTATAAAAAAGATTTATCACACAACAGGTCATTGAATTACCTAATTTGCCAACAATTCCAAGTCACTATACCCCAATCTGTCATCCACGAAAATCATATGACAATCATAAAGATGACAGTAATGAGGTTATGCAATATTTAAATTTTTGTCAGCGTACTTTTGAAAAATTGATCTCTATTCACGATTGAAGAAATTGTAAATATGCCGAGTGATTTTTTGAAGCAAAACAGCATCTATTGTATCTTTGTTTATATTCTTATGGTCATTTGTACCACCCACTTGAGATGATCATAATATACCACTGAACTATATACATTTAGATACTTACCCTAAAACGTTGAAAGAAATGAACTCATCAACAACGGTCGAAATCCAAAATAATAGACTTGCTTAATCATAAATTCTCGTAAATTCTCATTCACTTACCCTAGTTGGGAAACTGTTTTCCAGTTTGAATAGTCTCCTAAGATCAATATCTTCATCCATTAAACAATTTTCAAATTTGATAAATAATCTTTAGGGAGTTATTGTCACTCAAATATATCAACCATGAATATCAAACCATTCATCGTTATACGCGTAGGTAGAGAAATTTATGAAATATTCAAAACATTTGATCAATACACCGAATGGATGACTATGAATGAGACAGTGATGCATTAAACATTTAAAACCAACGTTTGTTTTCAATAGATCAATACAGCAATAACAGCGATACATGATTTATGATTATACTGAGAAGATAAAGACTATCCCACTTTCAATGCTTTCCCCTTTTAATCTCAATTATCAAACGTTACAATTTATAATTTTTCGGAGGACAATAATGAATGGAAAACGCAGCCGATTGATGCCAAATAACATTAAAAACATCTCTGATACATAACAAATATATTTTCCCCCGTTTTCATTCGATGTTGCAAACATTTGTAGAGTCCAGAGTAACATTCCACACATTAGGTTAGGTTGGTATATTTCGAGCGGAAGACAAGATCCACCTATCATTTTCAAAAATACAGAAAAAGAATTGCCCTGCTCTGAAAATGTGAAATTGTTAGGAATCACTTTCGGTAGGCAACTGTTATGGACGGAGCATGTTGGCCAATCATGCAAAAAACTACGTAGTGCTTGCTACAGCATCAAATATATGAAAAATCACTGCAGTAAACAAATACTGGTAACTTCATATTATGCCCACTTTCACTACAATATAAGATATGGAATACTTTGGTGGGGCAATAGTGCCACAGCAACAGAGTATTATTTTACAAAAATATGTGTTACCTATTATTGAAAACACTGACATGAGGACTAGCTGTAGAGAACTTTATTTTTTCAAAGCCTCCTTGATGGTGGTGGAATAACTCGAACCATGATTTATTCTTAATTTTTGACTCACCCTGTGTGTTAATTGAGTAATGGCATAGAAAGTGCTTGCACCCTATACGAAAGAGGCTTCTTTTGCGAGCATTTTGTTTTTTTATTCATTGATTTTTCTCTAAAATTTTCCGAATTACAGCTTTTTTTGCTGAATCCTTGCAGATTCCCAACTTTCTGAATTTATCGAGAAACAATTTTCTAATGAAATAAACTGATACCAATAATTTTGAAGAACATTTTTATTTAACACAAAATTATAAATTGGGATGACTGCTTAATACCGTGTATTGCCGCCTCTAGCAACTCTAAGAACTTCTAATCTACGAGGCATACTGGAAATTAAGTTGCTTATCGTTTCCATTGGTATACGATCCCATTCTTCCACTAATGCATCTGCCATTTCTGCGGGACTTTCCGGAGATCTCTCGCGAGAACGTACCCTTCTCCCTAATTCATTCCACTAATGTTCTATAGGATTCATATCGGGGCTTCTCGCAGGCCATTGTAATGTGGTAATACCAGTAGCTTCTAAGAAGTTTCACACTATTGCTGCGGTGTGTGGTCGGGCATTATCCTGCATCAATATAAAATTATTGCCCACTAACTCTGCATAAGACATACTGCTCTAAAATGTCAATGTAAATTTGGGCATTCATCGACTGCCTCACCGGAAAATATAAAGGGGTGTCTTTCCATTCATTGAAATCCCTCCCCACACCATAATGGACCCACCATTAAAACTTTCGCTTCCTTTTATTGAATTTTGATTAAACCGTCCACACTCTTTTTCTTCCATCCACCATGTTAAGGCAAAACCTTGACTCAACCGTAAACAAGACATTCGACCATTCAGGAATATTCTACTGTCCATAATTTTCAACAAAATTTCTTCTAGCAGCACGATGTTCGGGCAATAATTTGGGACCTTTTGCAGGTCTCCTAGCTTTTAAATTAACTTCTTTCAGACGTCTACATACCGTCTGCTTACTTACTGCAACATCACGAATTTGGCGAAGATCTTGCTGAACATTTACCGCAGTATTTGATCGAATCCGTAAAATCCGCAATCTCAAGAAGCGATCATCTCTTGGAGAAGTTTTTCGGGGGCGACCAGAACCGACCCTCCGAGCGGTGCTTCCTGTTTGTTCGTACTTGCGGATTGCTCTACGAGCAGTTGCTTCATGAACTCCCACTGCACAAACGGCGTAACGTTTACTACGCCCATCGTTTACTAACGCAACTAATCTTGCTACTTGTTCAGGATTTATTTGAGGCATTTTATGTAATTTTTGTCAATAAAACAAGACACTCAATTAATGACACAACGACAAATGGTCAAATATGGAGGCATGCAACTAATTAGTTGCTATGGCAACGGCTTCGTTTTTCAAAAGCAATGTCATCCTACCAGAGTACTACCCAATCAATTTTGAGTACTCTGATCCTTCAATAAATTTAATTTGTGGGATAAGCGTAAGGTATCAGCAAAAAAGCTGTAATTCGGAAAATTTTAGAGATAAATCAATGAATGAAAAAAAAAATGCTCGCAAAAGAAGCCTCTTTCGTATAGGTTGTAAGCACTTTGTATACCATTACTCAATTAACACACAGGGTGAGTTAAAAATCAAGAATAAATCATGGTTCGAGTTATTCCACCCCCATCAAGGAGGCTTTGAAAAAATTTTCACCTCTCTATTTTTTTTTTAAAGAAAAATGCATTACCTACCAACAAATAAAAAAAAAATCGGCCTACTATTTTTTTTTTCAAGAAGATAGGTCAAATATCAAGTGCGTCACTTTTTTTGGAACTGAGTGTATATTGGAAGTATGTATATATTTCTATAAATTGAATAGCATTCCGACTTGCCCACCAAAGCACGATCAACACTCGCTACTGCAATTTTCAACAACCCAACTCTCACTCCACTACACTTTATCAAAAGAGTTTTTATTTCATCGGGAGCAAATTATATAATGAATTGAATAATGAAATCAAATCCGCACATTTTCAGAAAAAGATTCATGAGTTTTAATTGAAAAATGCTGTTATTCACTAGACGAATTTTGTTGTTGAATTATTATACTTCATTTTGTATTGTTATTTATATTCTTTGAATTGACTCAACTGTTACTTGATGGAAATCCATGGCAAATGAAAAAACTTCAAAAACGATAAGATTTCCACAAAATTCTCATTCACACGACATGTTTTGCTAACACAGTAGCTTCATCAGATGAAATACTGGAACAATGAACTAAAGTAACCTCGGCTTGCCCAACTTTTACATATCCTACTTTCCCAACCTGAAGGATTAGCAATTACCTGTGGAAATGTTCGATAAACCTTCATTTTCGGAAAATAGGCACAATATCTACATTAAAATGCCGTGTACTGGATCAATTTGAAAGAGTTGATAGCAAATACATATTATCACCTACTAAGAAAACAAATTCAACAGGTGTGAACAATTGAGGTCTCGTTGATCGTAAAGTAAAATGTCAGAATTTTTGAGATTGTTGATTTCTAATGATTCAAAATGATTTGAGTTAAATTCCTTCATTTTCTAGGTGTAGAATTTCGAAATTGTCATCAATACTATGGTTTTCTTCCAATATATGATTGGCGTATGTTAAATTTGTTTTCTTTTCAAAAAAATTCATCTTATGTTCATGCATACGGTGATTAAACGTACGACCTGTCTGACCGATATATACCAACTGTGGATCTTGTGGAAATAACATGTACTCGTTCATTTCAAGAAATACGAGTATATGTGCTCGATTGGCACTTTATTTCACATAGACGATAAAAACTAGTAATTCGTTGTTCGGGTAGTGGAAAACAATACATCGATCCTCGTACAAAACATGTTTTATTTTTCATATTCACAAAAACCGTGAATAACAGAGGATTCCATCATATCCTCTCCTTCCTCTTTGTTCTGAATACTTGGAATGACCTAATAAATAAATTAATAACCTGTTAAAATCTTCAATTTTCTAGAGGTGGGATGATCCCTATGATATCCTCGCACTTCCTTCACCACATAGCCACAAACATATCCTGTCCACTAAAAACGAGAAGAAGAAGTCTGCGAAAAGGACTTGCAGCAAAATTATTCGAAACTGAAAACAAAATGATAATAGTAATGTCTAGTTCACATCGAAGAGAGAATTCTACTCACATCTGGAGGGAAATCGATTATTTCGAACTGCTCTGATAGTTCAGGCACAATTCCTAACGTCAAAGCTAGAACTACTCCTCCCGAGCCCATTATACTGTACAACAAAGCTTTATTTTGCCTCAGACTCTCCATAAATGGATTCCCCTGAAAAATATTCATCAACAGTAGATATAGATAAGGATAAAGCATGAAGGGGGGGGATTTCAGTTACCGTTTCTTCGAAACGAAACGTTGTACGGAGATTTTGTGAACGCCTTCTTGTAGAGTTAAAAAACTGGCAATGAGACAGTGCTTCTGTTTTTTTCGACACTTCTCAAATAACTTCAGACAAAAATAGAAACCAAATCGCCGAATTCGTTTTTTTCTTCGAATATCCCGGACGTAGAAACATTTTTGGGATATCTCAACATCTGTTTATTGTTAATACAAAATCAATTGTCTCAAAATGTCCCCCTATGATTTGTGGCTTATTGCTCATAATACAATTTTGTAACAGTTATTTAACCAACTAGTGTATTAATGAGGGCGATTAATTATCGAGATATTTCAACGTGCGAGCGAAGCGAGCGCGTTAATGTTGGAGATCATTAATCGCCTTTTAATATACAAGTTGGTTACAAAATTTGTCCGTCGACTATATTTCTCATTTCTCCTGCAAAGAAGAAAACTCGCGAATTCATCATTCATCCGGAAACTGCTAAGAATCACCCAGTAGCCTTGTTACTGACATTAGTGACATTTGACATTTGTCGAAATGATCTCAACATAAAAAATAAATTCCTTGTTTTAGAAAACAGGGATTAAAATCGTGTTAGAAACTTGGAAGGGCGAACCCGTTAACGGAAAATCTTCGAGATGAAATTAATATTTTCGATTTAAATGCAGATTCCGTAAGTTATAGCATAAACAATGAATGCACGCGGTGTATGTTTGGTTGCCTATAAAACAATCGTGCATTAATAGACAAATCGTTCATTAATAGGGGTCATTAATGAACGATTTCATATACATTAAACTTAGTCGTTAATACGAGGTCGACGGAAAATAATAATAATATCAACTCACACTAGAGGACATTTGAAACGGTGCACGAATTGTGGGTGTGGTCTTGTCAGTTCTCAGCATTAGGCAGAATGTTGCAAAGTCACCAACATTTACGTGATATTTTGTTATGGAGTATAAGACATATTTGGACATTCTGGTTGCTCGAAAACGTCAAGAATGAACTATGATATCATGGGTTTCTCCTACTATGTTTTATTCAACGACAGGACCCTTACATCTTTTTGATGATAACTGGGAATGGAAGATAATCTGATCAATAATGAAACAGCATAAAAACTGACGTCACCATTCATTCGACGTATCGCCAAATGGCGACGATGGCGGTACTTCTGAAATTCAACAGTTTTGAACAACGTATATAGACTCAAAATTTACATGAAAAAAGTTTGAGAAGTATTTTAAAAATTAATTTAGGTCCCTAAGGACACATTGGAGTAATTGAGTGAGAATAATGCATTATCAGTCCATTCGCCCATTGACCATATTTTCAAGTGTTAGACATTTCACATTGTGAAGTTGGCTACTGTTGTGTAAAATGTCAAACGTGAATGAAATCGGCACCACTGTCAAAATCATTGTTTTCCAATAGGACCAGGAACCGTTGAATTGTTCATTATTAAAGCATAGATCATAATTGCTGCCAATAGAAAGCACTTAATGTATAACTCCTTCTGAATGGAATATGGTCAATTGCGCAACTTTTGACCCACTTGACATACTGTGTAACTCTTACGGTAACTGAGATCCCCATGCTATTCATCCTTATCTTGGGACACTGTATTATTATAGGTCTGCTATGCAATGTACTTTATTTCAACCAGAAGAAGAGCAAAAACCTTAACGAAAAGTGTTTGAAATTTGTTGATCTTGTTGTTTTTTCGGCAAAAATATATTTCTTTTTCTCCTTACTGGTTCAACCTGTGGTTCAAACAAATGCATTCTTCCTTCCAACACTCATTTCATTTCTGAGTGTTGACTCATCCATAAATAGTTGAAATGAAGAATCCAGGTTTGAGTTAGGTTTTTCTAGTATTGTTCTATTTCCTTTGATTGAAATGAAGGACTTCAGAAAACAGTATACAACTTGAAAATGATATTTGAGGAAATCAGTGATTCAACATTTCTAAAATACTCACCCTATAGTTGATGGCGAACGTTGCAATTTGCAGGGACATAGAAATTATATAAACAGTACTGTTTACTATGTTTGGCTTGAACAACTTATCCTTTTCTTCCTCAGATATTTCGATTGCATTGTCAGTCGCATTGGCATTAAGTGGGTCATCTCTAAACAAAAAAACAACTCAAAACAAACAGCGTAAAGGTTGGCCATGTAGTCACTCTCTTTTTATATCTCTCTTCTCTCTCTCGCTCTATTCGTCATTTGTCATGGAATAGGCCTTTTCATCTAGATATATTTTCAAGGCGCATGCGCTCGTTTTTAGATCCAAAAATTTATTGGGTAATGCGAAGGTGAAGACTCATTGGCTATAGTTCCAACACAAAATGCTGATTGGTCATTTCGAATATGGCGGGTATTATTGACGTTCTGTCAAATGTCAGTGTCAACCACCATGGGCATTCGTCATTGAGAAACAACAATAACAAAATAGTATTTTTGTTTTTATATTCCTGGTGTGTATTAATTGTATTATAATAATTCAATTCCAAATAACGTTACTCATTCGTTACTGAGGAGTGTGGTACTGTGGTTGTAAGTCTTTCGGTGAAAATAGCCGCCACTGTCGTTGGATGCGAGATGTGAACAGAGATAGTCATTTGTCATCTAAATGAAAAGGCCTATTCAAACATACCCGGCGGTCCGAATTGAACTCATTGTTTTGATAGCGCTAGTGTTAGACACTGCTGGTCCGAATTGATTAGCAGTAGTTTGCACGCTTTGACGACTATTGATTTGGTCAGAATTTTGAGCGCGCTTATGAAATCCATTACATAACCTCACATGCAACTTTATTTCTTCACCAACAAAAATCATATAGTCCATGCAAAAATGGAAGAACTTTAGAGTGAATATTTCTCTCAATAGGTTTTTTCTCGTTCGAAAAATAAACAGTCTGAAACCAACATGAGCATGCGCAGTTTCATAGATCCATTGAAATTGTTCACGTTCCGTGAAACTGCGCATGCTTCCGATGTTTCCGGACTGTTTATTTTTCGAACCACAACAAACCTATTATTGACGATAGCGTTATCGAAATAATATTTCTTCGTCAAGTACTGATGATGAGGAAGCTGATGCAGCAGTTCTATAATATAACGCCTTCGTTCAATTTCATACATATAGAGATTAATTGATTTTAATACCTTGTAGTTGTCTCTGTATTCTATAGAACAGTACATTTATCAGGACTTTTTTCCCCATGTTTACTTTTTCAAGTTTTGAGTGACAGTAGTGACACTATTGGCAGCAGCGGTTTGACCGTTCCACCTCTGAACTGTCAGCACTCTGAGCGCGAGGAGTGACGTCATAATGAGAAAAAATTGTTCTTATCCATCATTCGGTTGCCCCCTTACGAGCAACCCTCAAAAGTCTTCAAGAGACTTGTGCGAGCAAGGAATGACGGGATTCTTACCTTTAAACGTGTGATCCCAAACACTTTCTTATGCCATCAGAAATATTTCTGCGGTCGTGGTGGGAATCGAACCCACCTACCGGCAACCCTACGTGGATATAGTCGGGACATTTTGGGAAGGCAAAGTCTACCATAAAACGTTGGTGAGAAGAAATGTATATGTTCATTTCATTTCAACTTCAACTGCTTGATGGTGATAAGAATGAGATGAGTGACAGTTGTCCGACCAGCCCTAATTACACTAAGACTAAATTAGTCTTGTCTTTGAGAATGCAGGTGGGGTGGCAAGATTACTATAGTGCAGGTATGTCCGTACTCAATTTTGTCGAAATGTGAACAGCCAGGATCGGATTTGGAGTTATTAACAGATTAAGCTTTTGTGATCTGGGTATGGTAGAATCGATAGAATTTGTTAACATGAGTAAATAGGTATTAAGAAGTATAGGATTATTAAACTACAATAACTGTATTCAAAATGAAACTATATTATAGCTTTATCAGGAACATATTCCAACAGTCATCAATTTCTCATTGGTCTGCGTCTGATGCGGATGATGAATCTTCATTTATATTAATTATAATGGCTGATATTTGACAATCTTCAATTTCGAGTCCTTCTCTGTTAATCACAAGTGGAAATCGTTTGGACCTATATGTTGTGTCTCACCAACGTTTCATGGCGGATTTCGCCTTCCGAAAATGTCCCGACTTTAAAATACTGACGCTTCAACCACGAGGCTACGCTGGCCATCAACGATGAATATTTACAAACGTTCTAAGCGTCAATCGGACCAATCATAGCGCGATCAAAGCGATTTGAGTGCGATTCGGACCGCGGTGATAATCTCTATTAGACAAAAAGTGTACAAGACATCAAAAACCACACTTACACAGGAGCTCTCAGTTTGGCTTGTTGAACGAGGAAGATGAGACAGACAAAGTGCACTACGAATTGCGTGCACACCGTCAGAATGGTATACCAATTGAAGATGTTCGGCAGCGGCCTCTGTTTAGACAATACTTTCAGTGGCTGAAAATACCAGAATAAAAAAAAAAACATTCGCCGGTATCAGTTATTTATCTACCAAGGACGAAAAACTGTCTATTATAGTCTAGCCTGGAAATTGTGACTAGCAAGCAGGCAAGAGTATAGATAGTTTTTGCCGAAGTGCATATTGAATTTTTTCATCGACCTATATTCACATAACGGTCTAATTCACACGTCAAATCGATAGGATTTCGTGAATAATTAATTCGACAACAGCAAATGACAGTTGACTGCTGTCAACTCAATCACCGCTCAAGTACAATGCCATATCATAGTGACCACAGCGGTATGAAAGAGTTTGCGGACAAAAAAGTACGTGAAATGTTATTTTTTGTAGAAGAAATCTTTTTCATCATACACTGATTTATCGAATATTATCTTTCGAGCGGGGCGAAATATCCTTGGAAATATTAGGGCTCTGCCACTAACTTAGATCAGTAGATCGTAGACCGATTCTATTCTATCACTATTATCTCTTCTCTATCTAACTCTTTTTTCATTTTCTACTAGATATTCATATCATATTGACAATTCCCATACAATGTTATTTGTCGAAGTGGAAATGACGTATTATTATTATTAAAGGGGACATTATCTCCTTTTATTTGCTTTTTGTTTCAACACGTTATCACATGACGGAAGTATGTATCCGAAATAATGACAGCAAATAATTCACTGTGCTGTGAATTTGACTCAGATTAAGGCGTGGCACAGGTAGGTTTTTGAAATCTACCATTCAATTTTTATCAGATGACACAATTCTTATCTCGTTATCAATTCGCGAAATTAAGCGCAAATTACCGCACAGGGAAGTGCAATTTTTCAATCCTTCTGCCCATCACAATGATTGGCACAGGTGCCTCGATAAAAAACGTTTTTACATGCCTTTGGGATATAATAGGCTTGTTCGTTTGTCATGCTCACCCTGCTAAAAAGTGATATGAGCAATATTTGATGTTCGTTTGTTCCAAGCAATTGATGATAGAGTGTTCGTTTGATTGGAGCAAGTTGCTATAGATCACTTGAAGCAGGATTTATTTGCTCCGCGAATTTTCAGGTAACAGAAAAATCAAATCTGTTTGATCAAGTTGAATGACAAATGAAAACAAAAGAAAATGGCGAAAAATGCCACAATAATGTATGAATATGGCAAAAAGAACGTGATGAATTGGAACTATTTTGTATAGTGAAATTAAATTATAGGTCAATGACATCAACTACACTTTTTCAATGTCTTAATCCAAATGTCTCTTTATTTTTCTACTGAGTGATACTATAACCAAATTTAGGCAAATATTACGAAATATTTAACATTCTCCACATCGTGGCTCATGCTGTGGCCCGTACATATCTTCTCTACTTCGAGAATCTTATAATTGGAATCATTTGTAGCTTTTTTGTTGTTCGGCCAAAGAATGCTGCATCTGCTTTTCTTTCTACTTCATCCTCTGGACAGAATTTTACGATATCTATCTGTTTGGGCCAGGGATCTTCTGATTTTCTTAGGAATTCAGGTCCTCGAATTCATAAATCTTGCACATATCAGCACTATTCATATCACTTGGTACACATCTCCATTGTTCAGGTTTTGTAAGTTCTTGTATTTCGCCTACTCGGTGTGATACACACTGTTTATAGTTTCTACCATCTCCATTGATCCAATGTAAAATGGTTTTCGAGTCTGAACATAAGTAGAATGTCCAATGATAACACTTTTTTGATAGTCGCTAGTAGTACCCTTAACTGCTGCTTGCAATTCCAATCGTGGTATTGAAAGTGGTTTAAGAGAACATACTCTGGCTTTCGAGGAAATCAAAACGACTTGTATTTCATCTTCAGAAATACTTCTCAAATATGCTGCACGAGCAAACGCCTCTTCGCTGGCATCGCAGGAAACATGTATCTCTAGAAACGTAGCATCCGGGAGTGACGGTGAATAACACCTTGGAATTTGTATCCCTGAGATATGTTTCAAGTCTCCTAGCTATGATAGCCATATTTCAAAAACACTCCCAGGTATACAAACGTCCCAACTAATCCCAGTTCTACAAATCTGCTGGAGGATCATTCTACTTTGAACCACTAGATTAGTTAGAAAACCAAGTGGATCGATTACCGACATAACGAGTCTGAGAACTTCTCTTTTTGTTGGTGTTTTTTGGCCCATCAGTATGTCATCAGAAACATTATGAAATTTCAACTTGAAGATGTAATTATCTGTGGTCACATTCCACCAAACACCCAGTACACGGTCAGTTACAGACTTGTTCAAATTCCTCTCATCTGTCTTCAACTCGGCACATCGATCCATAACTAACTTGGAGTTAGATGTCCAGCTGACTTCTTCGAATCCCATTGACCGATAATTTCATTTTACCATACAAAATAGTTCCAATTTATCACATGGTCCTCCGAGCCGGATTTAGGCAAATATTACGAAATATTTAACAAAGAGTATAGAAATGTTAACATTGCCGAGGTAATAAACGTGAATTCGGACATCATCCTCGAATAATGCCAACGGTTATATCATTTTAATCACTTATTCTTATCTCTCGATCAACATCAACGATCAAAACTTCCAATCGAAACCAAATCAAAACACATTTGGGAATTACTGAGATTAGGCTTTGTTCGAAAATGATTCGTGCCACTGCTTTGTGTTTGTTTGAGTTGAGCAAAAGATTGATGCTCCTGGATCATAAAAATCAAATCAATGACGTCAGATTACGTGATCTTCATGATTTTTTGAGCATTTTGAGCTTCTCAAACGAAGTTGCATAATATCATTTCATTATCAGATGACGGTCGAAATTTGCAGCCGGCTCTGCTACGAATATGCTAATAGATTTTACGTGTGAATAAGACCGTGTGTGTGAGTATAAGTGTGTAAAAATGTAATATGCACCTTGGCAAAAAAACTGACCATTGTCTCGCCTGCTTGCTAGCCTCGGCCATCAATTTACAGGCTCGACTATAATAGACAGTTTTTCGTCTTTAGTACATAAATACCTATTTCACACACACCTTGGACCTCGAGATGAACAAGAAACACGCGGCCAATAGGAGCCCTTGCAACGTCGCTTGTAGATCCCTGAATTTGATGCCGTCCAAGTAGAGAACCGACTGGGTGTACGCCAAAATCAGGGCGTTCAACGCGAGGATCTTGAACATTTGTAGAGTGGTGACGAGTGTGCATCTGCCTTGCTTGATTATATGACACACTACAAGGGAAAAAGAAATTCAAGGTACAAGTCTTGATTATTATATTACACTAACAAGATAATCCACCTCCATGTAAAATGTTGAAGCCAAATTTGGCCTTTGTTCTTAGCTGGTTCGTAGGCGGCGTTAGCTAGAGGCACTGGATGGTATTATTTAGATAAGAGTTTCGACACAGCTGAACTTTCGTCCTCTTCTAATTTCTGCTCTTCGTCTTTTCAATATGTTCTGTCAAATCAATCATAGCCGTCGATCGAAAATAGAAATGGGGTATCAACACCCACTTCAATTTATAGCGATATACGGCACTTTTCGCAAAACAACAGATACAAGAATGAAAAGAATGCATGTAACATTGTAATATGACAAAATAGACACATATGAATATACTTAAAGCTAGTTCGGTCGATATTGAAAACGCGATTCAATGAAATAGAACGAGTCCAATCTATTTCACCTTAGTTATATGCCAATCTAACAGCTCAACAAATGAATACCACATAAATACCTATGTGCTCAATCGCCCTATGCTATTGCGGCGATAATTTTCATAACTTTTTTCACAGAGCATATACTTAACTGTTGAACTGAAACAACTGAGATTGAATCAGCATGTTCATTCTAGTTCAATGATAAATCAGACGTGTAAGTTATACTAATAAGGACAAAAGAACGCAAATGCTGAATACTAAAGTATAAAAGGCACATGTAGGTACATACTTTTCAATCAGATAAGCCTAGTATGTCTTAGTTTTGAGAGATGGGCCGTTTTTCCCTAGTAAATGACCCATGAAGTGCATTTAAGCCCTTATTTAAAACTCTATTTTCCGTTTCTAAAATATGAAGATAGTTCCAAAAACCACTAGGGATGTAAGAGGAGCATGTGAATAAAATACTAAGATCAATATCACATAATAGACGAATTTTGCACTTAGGCCTTTTTGTGCTTATGACGGTAGTATGGTGCTCTTGTCACAATGCAAGGTGTGTAACTTAATAAATCCAAACATTCAAAAACACTAACATGTCACACATTGTCATTACTGTGTCCGAACTCTAATCTAGCGCTAGCGAGATTCAGCAAAATATGGTGGATTTGTCTATATTCTCGAAATCTAGTTCATCTGCAAGTTGCTGAACTGTCTAGGAATATCCTTCTTTCTGAAGCAGGAAAATCACTAACTTTGATGCTTTTGGGTGTATGATAAATAGACATTCATCATACAGGGCGTGGAAAGAAATTCTGAATTGAGACTCTATCACGAATCTGCGATTAGAAGTCTATAAAAATCACAAGTTTCCATCGTTCAAGTTTGAACCCCCTGATTGGGTATAAAAGTGTTGAAAAGGAATATTCTCAGATAAATTATGAACATACAAAAATGGATATATATATTTATATAAAGCAATACATTGAGAATTCGCATTCTCTATGTGATGAGAATATTTACTCTTTCTCAGTTGATTCAATAGAAAACAACTACTTTCCTGGCTATATGCCACGACGAACATTGAATTATATCTATTGAACACACACGATAAGAGTTTGAAAATAAAATATAAAAACTTCTGAAATTGAGAATTTGCATTCTCCTTCAGATAAAAATATGTATATGCACACATCATTCTGAATATTCAACAAAAAGTAGTTCACCTTTTCGCTCATAGATACCGCCCCCATACTGAATAGAATTTTTGGTTTCATTGCTTTCATAGGGATGGTTCATTTTGTTAGTGTAAATAATAGATGGTACAAGTTGGAAAACTCAGGAACAATTCATAATAAAATCATGGAAAACTGAACTGTCAAACAGGATACTGACCACACATAATAGATGACAGTTTACTGGTAAAAGGCGATGCAATACTGGCATCTCCCAACTTCACGATCTGGGCCCGGTCAGCTTCCTCAATTTCTTTCATCATCTTGTCAACTTTCGACTAAAATGAAGAAAAATATATTATCATTAATATGGAACTGATTGCAACCAATCAGTGTATGCAAATTATTGATAACACTTTATTTTCACAAAGGAATTCAGACCTTCGAAAATCCGATATTTCTGTGATTACCAACTATACACGAGTTGGTAATCACAAGCAACTTTCGGTATCATCATTAGATATATTAATCGGTCGGAACGGTAACGTTAGCGGAGTTGTATAGCTCTTTTCAAGATCTAATAAACTGACCTGACCTGAGATGGGATAATGATATGCGATAAAGCCATGAAAGTATTAGCCATGACAGGTTCGTATTTATTTTGTCGTTGGCCCGACACATTCTGGAATACTGTTAGTTATCAAGTTCTGCAGTGATAGTGTGTTTGTGTTTGAAGATGTCCAAAGCAAAAGCCGTTTCAGGCAGTAGCCGAAATTGTTTTCATCAGGTATAATCAGGTCAGTTTCTTAGTTCTTTTAAAATACACACTAGTCGTAGGGTCCCTTGATGGAAATTGACGTAAAAGTCACCTTAACAGGGTACGGACAGATCATAGCTGCATTCTTTTTTAATGATCTAGAGACTTTAGTTTTGTCTACTGGCATCCCTGAAATTGCTGTCACGTCATTATCATGGGCGTTACAAAAATCATTCAAAATTTTAAAAATAGGTATGTACAGGGTATTTACAAGTATTTACTTGTTGGGGAAGATCAGATGGCGAACGAGTTTTGTAATTATGATCAGATTCTATTCAAAATTAGAAGGTATCTGGGGTTTTCCGGGTATGGAGATAATGATTGTTTCATCAAACTTGGAAAATTCAAGATGGCGGATTCAATATAGAGCGAAATAAATTCCTAATTATGATCTGCTTCTATTTAAGATTGGTATCTGGGGGTTTTCGGGGTAGGAGATAATGATTGTTTTGTCAAAATTCGAAAATTCGAGAAGACGGATCCAATATGGCGAAATACATTAGTTTATATAATTATTACTCTACCACAAATACAAAATATGTAGGATGCAAGAGTGAAACTGACGTGTCTGTAAGTTATACTGCGTATACCTACTTCTCTGTTACTTTCATCAATAAATGATTCGAAAATGACTTTTTATTCAGGGGAGACGGAAAAATAATATGTATAACATTGGGGTAAAGCATATTGTATCATTTATTTTCCTGCACATTTTACGTATTACTTTTCATCAGCCTTGAGCCTACTTTTCGTCCCAGATGAAGTATCATTCATAGTGTCATATTAGTCACTCCATATAAATTCTTCTCAGAATTGTATTTCCGAAAATATATTTAGCACACATGACATGAATACAGTATTTCAGATACCCACATCGAGGTTTCCACCATTTCTCAATCATAAGGCTCAGCTCATTCAGCTCATAGATAAACTTCTGCTCAGCTTGAAGTCAGAATTCATCAAGGCAATCAGTCAACCCTGATTTACAGTCTAAGAACAGTCTCTTATGCTGAAATATATTAAGCTTTCAGTACAATTTATATGATTCCTACCTTGCAAAGATTATGCTGGAGTAATAGACTCTAAAACTAGAGGATTGTTTATCTATATCTTGGTATAGTCATTGAGTATTGAATCAGGAATTCCATATGGAAATTACGTATAATACGCCAGTGACCTCAATATAACCTAAAAAACAACGAATGTCAAAAATCTAGTGTTTATCCCCAGGATTGAATAAGGATGGAACTATATAACTGTCTTACAAACAGTTTAGAGTGAGAGGAGACGAGGATCTGTCCGTACCCTGTTAAGATGACTTTAATGTCAATTTCCATCAAGGGACCCTAACTAGTCGAATTTACGCCACATACCTATTTTAAATTGATCATTCCGTGTTTATTGTTTATTGAAAAACTAGCTTCCAGTCAGAAATAAAATTGTGGTATGAGGAAGTTGATTACAATTTTTTCTTCTTCCAATAATTAGGTAGGACCACACAACATTTCGACGCTGCCAGATTTGTAATTAGTAATTACCTTATGAGATTCAATATGTATAGTATTCACATACACAGAAGACAATAGTTCGACCTAGTCCTAATAATCACCTTTTCGCCATAGAAAATAATCGTACACCACCTATCGGAGTTCTTGAAAGCTGTCAGAGCGACAGCTTATTGATCATATCATCAAAGCAATCCGCTCAGGAGTGTTGAAGTTGCTGCCGTCAGGTGGGGAAACGTGTTATTTTCTATCGTGAATTGAATACTTATATGTATACTTGCAAGATGCTTCAGTGTCAGTCATAATATCCTAATGATGCGGTAAAGTCGACGCGTCGACGGTCACAAACAGCATTGTTTTTTTATTTATGGTCGTTTGCCGTTTTGTCCTACAAGTAAGGTTATCTTTGGGTTTTCTGTAGTAATGTCAAAGTTATAATTTATTAATTATTTATTGTATTCAAAATAATAGTGTGTACCTACCTACCCAAGTTTTTGGCTGAAATTTGAAGTTTTAATTGTGATTTTGTAATTATATTATGACAGCATCGACAGTCTTCTGGCAAGTCATTATTATTTTTTGTTTCATAAACTGCCAATGAGGAAGCGAAATACAAAATCGAGAAAACATCCATGTAGGTATCCAGTAGCCAATCAACAGCCGAAATACAAAAACGAAAACATCATCATCAACACAGACATTTCAACCAATCAAAAGTGCGTATTTTATAATGAGTGAAATAATCAATAAAACAGCCATCTAGTTGTGTAAAACCGGCTCAGCCAATGCTTTGTATTTTTGACAACCTATGCTATGACAACTTTTAACATTTGGTGAACAATCGAAATATTTTCACTTGTCTTCTCGGATGATTACGTCACACGTTTTTCATGTTATGAAATATCGTGGATTTCAATAGCTATTTGAAAAAGTTACAGAGCTTTCAGGAAAGAGCCATTAGCAACAGTGAACTGACTTGATAACAATAAATGTATATTTAAGTGTTGTGATTATACAGTGTGTATCAGCCAAACGAAATAAATGCAATAATGAATAGACGTGTTAGAAACAACGCTCTGCATTCGAAAAAACAAAGTTGCTGGAATTTCCTGAAAAACCGGGAGTCCGCCATATTGGATTGTAATGTGACCAAATCCGCAATTGTTGCTTATGTAACTGCACCAAGTTTCAGAAAAATCCGCTTTCGACTGCAGAAGCTACAGGGGTGGCCCGATAGCGATTTTACTAAATATACTGTGCGCTAGCACAAACCACGCCCACCGTAATATCTTATCTTCGAAGTACTTAGGCAAAACTCAGAGACTATTTATCCTTAACGAACTAACCTATCCCTGATTGCAATATTTTTGAGGAAGGAAAACCGAATGGAGTGTAGAAACACATTGATTAATAATATATTTCAAAAGTTGAGCTCTTCAACAAAATTGAATAAAACGAGACTGTTTATCCTAAACGCACTAACCTATTTGACTTCAAATATTTTATGAAAAAGGAAAACCAGAATGAAGTAAAAAAACATTGGTGAAAAAGAAAGTTGCAAAAAAAAGTTCAAGTTCACAGCGATTCGAACCATGGACCTTCAGACTGAAAGTCGACAGCGCTAACCAGTAGACCATTTGGGTATATGAATTTACTGCGTACAAGAGATTGACAACGAGAGAGCTTCAGTCGAATTCGTGTCAAAATCATAAAAAGTGTATTCTTGCGTTGGAGCACAGTATATTAAGTGCGATGTGCTGACTCCGAGTATATCGGTAATGTTTGGAGATATGACGTATTATGATGGGCGTGGTTTGTGCTAGCGTGCAATATATTTAGTAAAATCGCGGCCCGATACCCGGTATTTCATTATGTGTGTTCGTGAGGATGTGTGTTTTTGTGTTTTGTTGTGGAAAACAAACATTCTCAAGCATTGAAAGAGGTTAAAAAAAAACCGTCTCACCTGCATCCGATCTCTCTGCTCCATCATTCCTCGCACGTGATTCGCCCTGTTGCCAGCCCTCCTCTCCGCCTCCCTCCTCTCCGCCTCCCGCAACTCCCTTTGCACCCTCTCGCGCTCCCTTTCCGCTTGCTCCCTCTGTACCCTGACGTCGGGCAGGCGTTCGGGGGCGTTCGCTAAGATGGCGACGCCGACGTCGGCGTGCTTCAGCGCCCCCACGTCGTTCGTGCCGTCGCCGCACATTAAGGTTGTGTAGCCCAGAGACTGGAAGATTAGTCTTAGTTGGCGAAATTCATGTTTTTTTTCATTCATTATAATTTTTTTTGGATACTCAACTATACAGGGTGTATCTAAAATCATGAGCTGAAATCAGTATCGGAAGTTAAAGATCTCGGGGTAATAATGGACTCCAAATGGACATTCAAATCGCACATAGAAAAAAAATCAATTCAACAAATCTTCATACAGTGTGTCCCACTTACCATGCTCACCATGGGTATCTTTTTAACGGTGAGAGATACGAGGTCGGTTAAATGACACCAAATGTGGAGTTTGTCAAGGCCAACTATAATGTGAAAAAATATTCTGATGAAATCTATTCGTTTTTGTTTTATACGCAAAAGACAGATTTTGGTCATTTTCATGTCTCCTCCGTAACTTCTTCATTTATGAAAATATTCAAATTGGTATTTCACATTCTCATGGCAGTATTTTGATTTCGAAAAAAATATGAAATTTATACCAACTCTTCTAGAATTTGAGATATCAGCACCAACTTTAGTTTTTCAAATGTAGGTCATACCTCACTATGACTTAGTTACAAATAACTTTTTTTTCTCTTTCAGATGATATGTCGCAGTAATAGTTTTGTGTTGATAACAACGGAGTTATCGTCATTTATACAAAAACAAAAAATTATTTGGATGCCGCCATCTTGAATTTATAAATTTTAACAAAAAAATCATGATCTCCGACCTCTACAACCCTCACTTACCAATTTTGAATGGAATCGGACCAAATCTTGTCCGCCATCTTGGAGCAGCCATTTTTTTTTGATTTCAACAAAAATTCCATAATATATTTCCACCGAAATGTTCGTAAATCCAGTGACAATACATTATGGAACTTTTGTTGAAATTAGAAAAAATGGCTGCTCCAAGATGGCGGACAAGATTTGGTCCGATTCCATTCAAAATTGGTGAGTGGGGGTTTTTGAGGTCGGAGATCATGATTTTTTTGTTAAATTTTATAAATTCAAGATGGTGGCCTCCAAATAATTTTTTGTTTTTGTATAAATGATGATAACTCCGTTGTTATCAACACAAAACTATTACTGCGACATATCATCTGAAAGTGAAAAAAAGTTATTTGTAACTAAGTCATAGTGAGCTATGACCTACATTTGAAAAACTAAAGTTGGTGCTGATATCTCAAATTCTGGAAGAGTTGGTATAAATTTCATATTTTTTTCGAAATCACTCAGAAAAACTGCCATGAGAATGTGAAATTCCTATTTGAAAATTTTCATAAATGAAGAAGTTACGGAGGAGACATGAAAATGATCAAAATCTGTTTTTTGCGTATAAAACAAAAACGAATAGTTTTGATCAAAATATTTTTTCACATTATAGTTGGCCTTGAAAGACTCCACATTTGGTGTCATTTACCCGACCTCGTATCTCTCACTGTTAAAAAGATACCCATGGTGAGCATGGTAAGTGGGACACACTGTATACAGAGGAATGCACAAAAAACGGCCGGGATTGTAACTTTTGAATTAGTCTAGATAGGGTTTTGACAATTGGTGAGTAGCAAGTATACCAAACTGCTCATTAATTGACGAAACAATTTTTCTTCTATCACTTCCAGTTTCACCGGAAACGACCCCAACTTTTGATTTTCAAATGGGACCCTGTATTGTCTATAATCGGTTAGGGATTATCATGACGAATTCAACGATACTGGGTTTGATAGGGTTATTTCAAACGATTACAAAGATATTTGCATTCGAAGTTTCCATATGCTCAAGACGTCGCAATATCAAAACTTCCTTCTCTTACAATCATTGAGCATATGGAAACTTAGAACGCGAATATCTGCGTAATCCTTTGTAATAACCCTAGCAAACCCGGTATTGAAGAATTTGTTATGACAATCCCTAACCGATTATGGAATACACTACAGGGTGTCCCATTGAAAAATCAAAAGTTGGGGTCGTTTCCAGTAAAACCGGAAGTGATAGAATTAAAATTGTTTCATCAATTAATGAGCAATTTGATATACTAGCTGCCTACCAATTTTCAAAACCGTATCTCGAATGATTCAAAAGTTACAGTCCTGGCTGTTTTTTGTGCACTTCTCTTTATGTATATTTCCAAAAGATCAGTTAATATTTCGAATAATGCTATTATGACTGTAAAAACCAATAAGTACTTGGGAGTAATGATTGGATGGAAAATTGAATATGAATGCACACTGTGATTATATAAAGAAAAATATTGCAAAGAAAACCCACTTTTTGTACAGGCTCAATGGTAAAGTTTCTTTTTTTTTTTTAGTTGACTATTTACAAGTCTATAATAGCACCTCACTTCGATTATTGTGGAACCCTTTTATTTTTTCTCAATAATGACCAGTTGAATATAATTTAAAAAACACAAAATCGTGCCATGAGAGCTATACTCATGTATAACAAACGTACTCCATTCATGAATCTAAACATTCAAAAACACTAATAGTTGTCATTTCTGTGTCCGAACTCTTATCTAACTAATAGCATAAAATGACTCTAGTGTCAGTCACCTCAGAAACCGCAAAGAACCGTTACCACCGATAAAAAACGGCCAGCAGACTCTGACGTAAACAGCTCGTGACGTCGCATACTCAGGCCATCTTCCAAGGCATTCGCGTCGATCGATCGTCAGTTTGTTTTTGTTTAAGAACGGTGGCGTGGGTAAATCGCGTGTGCTCCATGTGTGCTCGAATTCTCTTGTTGTTTATTCATTAAAATAATTGGCGGAGAAATTACTGTTTTGTGAAATATTTCGTGTTGTGATAGGCGAAATAACAATGCCTTACAAGTGTTGTGTTCCCTTTTGTCGGGGGAATTATGTGGGTGGTCCAAAAGTTTATGCTTTTAGTTTCCCGTTGTACAAGGAACTATCGAAAAAGTGGGTACATGCAATTCACCGCATGGATTTTACGACTCCATCTAAGTACAGTAAAGTATGTGAATTACATTTTACTAAAGATTATATTATTACTTCATCTACTGCAACCGATTCAAAAACTGGCAAAACTGTAACAATAGATTTGAAAATTCCTAGGCTCAAACGAGATGTTATTCCCACTCAATTTCCCAACTGTCCATCTTATTTATCGAAAGATGTAAAATTACGCACAAGTCGTGATGAAAAACTTGAGATACAAGAGACTTTGGCACAAGCACTTACCAAAAGTAAAACTGAATTCGAAAATTACCAAAAATCATTTTGCTACACAGAATTTCAAGAATTTCTAGTTGTATTAGAGTCTTTTCAGTTGCCCGAAAAGTGGTTCAAAATTATCGATTTGCAAAAAGTCACATTATTCAAATTGTCTTATTCTCCAGGGCCCGTAATTACATATTCGGTTGTGATTGATTTTGTTTTGAATGTGGATAAAGATAAATATAGGTAATTAGGTATAACAAACGGCATGTCTATCAAACTAAAATACATTGTCCCCAATTTTCTTTCGATCAATCTCATGATAAGTTTATGTTCTGCGGACCCTGTATAAGTAGGTGTGAAGTTTACCTCTAATGAGATTGAATCACTACAATTTTTGCCAATATATTTAATTCGAATGGGTTGCTGTAGGTGGGTATTTGTGTTTTATTCTGGTTTTTGCTTTGAAACTTCGTTTTTCCATAATAAAATCGAATGGGATGCGAAGAAGGGCTCAGTTGACGGCTGGCATCCTCTTTCAACCGGAAGCCCTTAAAAAAAAAGCAAAATCGGCTCAATAATGATCTAAAACTAAAATCGAAATACGCGGTCGCCTTATAGCGCTATAAGCGCTTGTCGTTTCGAGCCGCTGGTTAGGCCTGACTAAGTGACGTCACCCACGGAGCATGCAGGCCTTGTTTTATCGGTGGTAACGAAAGAACACTGAAAGGAAGCCATCTTCGGTATGTTCTGCTCGTCATCGATATAATCCCGTACCGCGACCGCAACCTCTACCGCCATATCCATGTATCTTCGGCATGTACCCTTATTGTTGTCCTATTTCAAAATAGCCTAACTAGTAACTTGTATTCGCCATGTTTACCTTGAGCTTGACGATGACGAACTCCTTCTGTTTGGGGGCGAAGCGAGCGAAGACGGCCACGTGGGGCAGGATGAGGTTGAGAAAGGCGTGGTAGTTGTCGCGCAGGTGGTTCAGACCGTCGCCGGTGACGCACAGATCGTGCTCTTCGACGAGCCTCTTGTAGTCATAGTCCAAAGGCAGCGTACGGGTCTCGTCTAAACAGATTAAACATGTCGCCAATTACTTGACGAGGCGGCAATCCTGTAACTGGCGAAAGTGGACTGAGCGAGACGTGACAGCGCAGGTGTGAACGGAGATCGTATGAGAGGAGAATTTGTACCAATATTTGTCCTTTTACTTGGGTAATTGAAAAATTCCTTTCTCCGAAGGCTTCTTGGTGGAACATTAAATTGTAATTGTGACAGTAATTCTTGCGAGTCAGTTTGGTTTTTAATGATTTTGGTTAAAAATAATACATCACTGAGAGATCTTCTATCAGCCAGTCGGAGAATATTGAATTTTTTCCTGATGCCGTCGTAGTTGCTATCTTTTACAGGGGAATTAATTTTGTATCCCAAGAATCTTAAAAATTTGTTTTGGATTTTTTCCAGTCTGTTGATATATACTGCATATATCGGATTCCAGATGATAGAGCAAAAACTTAATTTACTGTGGATATATGCATTATATAATAGAATCAATCCAGAGAGGACTTGATTCAGGAAATTATGTGGTAGCTGTTTTCATTGATCTCAAAAAGGCTTTTGACACAGTTGATCATACAACACTTTTAGAAAACTTAGAAACAATGGGACTCAGAGGCACTGTGAGAAATATTTTGAATTCATATCTTGAAAATAGGACAATCAATACAAAATCAACCAACTCTGTGTCAAATAAACTCTTAATCAATAAGGGTGTCCCACAGGGCTCTGTTTTAGGACCTATATTATATTTACTTTATGTTCAAAATATCAGTGAAATTGGTCTCACGAGTAAATATACCATGTATGCAGATGATACAGTACTTTTATATGAAAGCAAGAATCCTTCAAATTTAGAAAATATGATAAATGAAGACTTGAAAATATTTGAAAAATGGCTCCACTCTAACCTTTTATCGATAAATACTAAAAAAACAGAATATTTGATTTTTCACCAAAAAAATAAACAAAAAATTTTCCTCAACCTTAAAATGAAAAATGAACTCTTAAAACAAACTGACCAGATAAAATATCTTGGAATTTGGTTTGATGACAGGTTGAAGTGGGACAAACATATTGATGTTCTGACAAAAAAAATATCTCCAATTATTGGTGCATTGAGAAGATGTCCCAAACTTGATATTAAAATTGCAAACATGATTCTCTACTCTCATATACTGAGTCGTATCAACTATTTAATAAATGTTTGGGGAACTTGTTCAAAGAACAATTTCAATAAAATATCAACATTATATAGAAAATCGTTAAAAGTATTGTATCGTCTCCCATTTGATACACCAACCAATCAATTGTTTGAAATAACAAATACGTATTCTTTAGATGAAATATATAGAATTGAAACTCTCAAAATATCATATAATATCATAAATAAAAAATTGAAGTCGAATTTTATGTTGATACGGAATTCTGAAATTCATAATCATGAAACAAGACAATATAACTTGTTTCATCTTGACGCCGCTAGCTCCATTATCGGACAAAAAAGATTCACTCATTCAGCCTTAACTGAATTCAATAAACTACCTGACAATATAAAAAATTGCAGAAACATAGGTTCATTCAAAAATGAAGTGAAAAAATTGATTATTTCTGAGCGAACTGGATAAAATTGAACATGCCATTTTTTTTTTTTTTTTTTTTTTTTTTTTTTTTTTTTTTTTTTTTTTTTTTTTTTTTTACAAATATTATTCTTTGTTTGTCAATTTACAGTTGTTGATATATTTTGTATAATGATATGTTCTAGCCTATTCTGTCTGGAAGTTATTTGTTCAATAAATAAATAAATAAATAAATAAATAAATAATGAAATTAATGTTTTAGGATTTTTAAAATCTTTGCTGTTCCTTATGATAAATCCCATAATTTTGTTTGTTTCGTTTGCAATTTTATTTATGTGGGCTTTGAAATTGAGTTTATCGTCTATTATGATCCCCAAATCTTTTATCTCGCTAACCTTCTGAATTGATTTCTGCTTGATTGTATATAAGTAATTTATTTTATTTTTATTATTATTCGTAAAGCTTATGTGATAGCATTTTTCCAGATTGAGAGAAAGTGCATTAGTATCACAGAACACAGAAAATTTATTCAAGTCTTCCTGGAGGGCTCTGCAGTCACTCTGATCCCTTATCCTGTGAAAAATTTTAAGGTCATCTGCATATACTACAAATTTTGAATTTTTGAAGCATTTGATTACGTCGTTTATATATATGATAAACAGTAGGGGACCCAAGTGGCTACCTTGAGGTACTCCAGAAGGGCACGAAAACGACCTAGATTCAAATCCATTTATTGTGACTTTTTGTTTACGATCTGTTATATATGACTGAATCCACTTGGATATATTTTCGCTTACCCCAACTTCAGTAAGTTTATTCATTAGGGTATGGTGATCTACTTTGTCAAACGCTTTACTGAAGTCGGTGTATATCGCATCAATCTGTGTTCCATTGTCCATATTCTCTCTTATATATTCAGAATAAACAGTTAAATTGGTTTCTATGGATCTTTTGGGAAAAAAACCATGTTGCTGTTTAATAATAACATTGTTTACTTCATATAATAAAAGATCATAAATTATTTTTTCTAGAAGTTTTCCGAATATAGATAACTTGCTGATGGGCCTATAGTTTTTGACATTTGATTTGTCTCCTGATTTGTGAATAGGGGCGACATGAGCTGTTTTCCACAATTTAGGAAATGTAGATGAGAGTGATAGATTGTAGATAATTGTAAGGGGCTTGCTCAGGTGCAATGCGCATTTTTTTATAAATGATGGAGGAATATTATCTGGCCCTGGACATTTAGTGACATCCAGTGTGTTGATTAAGTTAAGTACTTGGTTTTGGGTAACTTTTGTCACTTGTGTGAGATTCGTGAGAGCATTAGATAAGGTTGGTGTAAAAGTTTTTGGTTGAGTGTATACGGATTCAAAAAAATCTGCGAATAGATTACACATATCATTGCCATTGCATAAAAATATTTTACTTTATTTTTGAATTGTATAATATTTGGTCAGTTTTTGATATCATCTGGTAAATTATTGAATTTTTTTGTCCAAGTTTAGAATTTGCAGCTTCAAGATGGAATAAGTTATATTGTCTAGTGTGATGAATTTGGGAATTCCTAATTAATATAAAATGTCATTCAAGCTTTTTGTTGATGATATAATAGTACATTTTGAGAGTATTGATTAGATTATGATATCAATCATTCACGTAGATGGAAACTGCTGTAATCATCCGAGTCATTGTATATCTAAATGAAAGCCTAATTAGTAAGCAGGAGGTATAATATCGTCTGTTCATTGACAAAACATTTGTCTGCCTGTCAATGGCCAATGCTAGCTTATTTCAATAGAATATTTGCCAAAATGGACGATTTTAGGTTGAAGTTTCCAAAACTTCACTTAAGACAAATTACAATAATTCTGATTCGATTGTTTAATTTCAAATCAGTTGTATTTGATTTTGGTGTTCCATTTTGCACTTTTACAAGAGGTGGTGGTATTACATAACCTTTATTAGTTATGATGCAAACTTCAAGGATTACACTGTATATAAAATTAATTTTTCAATCTCCATTATCTTCGATGTCATTAGTCAGAGATAAACTTCTTGCTAGCAAATTATTCGGTTAGAAGAATGATGTAACCGATTAGTCATTAGGGTAGTGAATCAAACATCAGGCCCCGCAGCACGCAGTCTTGTATTAGATTTCATCGCATAAGGTCGATTTGGGTAATAAAAAAACTCGTATTATTTACAGAATTTATAATTTGGTTGGGTTATTATTTGAGTGTGTGTGTGTGTTTTGGTGTTTTGCTGTCTCTCTGTCGAAAATTGGAATTGAAAAGGCTGGGATGGATTGTTGATGTCATTTTTCAAGATGGTAAGTGTTTTCTCACTATTTTCTTCCTATGGTTATATCGAGAGATTGCATAGATTTCAATCCAATAAATTGCAAAACTAATTGCCATTCAGTAAAGAAAGATAAGGAACTCGAAGTAAATATTCCCGTATGTCAGTATGACATGTCATATCGATAAACGCAACACCAACTCACCTATGCTGCGCCAATGGAAGGTGTCCTCGTTCTCGGTGAGTATGAGCGTGGACTTCGACGTGAACTTCAACTCCTTGGCCACGTGACACGCCGTCAGGGGATTGTCGCCCGTTATCATGACCGACTTGTGCGACGCGTGCTGCAGCTCCTTGATGACCGATTTCGAGTCGGCCTTGAGGGGACAGGAGATGATGACAAAGCCGGCGAACTTGAGGTCTTTCTCGGCTTCTTCTCGCGTCGCATCGCGAAGCTCTTGCGTCGACAGTTTGCCCATCTCCTTATAACCTACATAAATTGGGTTAGAGTACCGGCAAAGTGTTGGGAATTCAAAGAAACAGAGGAGTTTATAAAATGTAGTAACGTTAATCACTAACATAACCTGCTATCTAGGCCGCTAATGCCATTAGCTCATCCATTCACGAGATCGAATTGTATTTTATAGAGCATGCTCTTAGTTCCTCTCTTATATCTTACTCTTAGGGCCAAAATAATTGTTAAGGCACTCATTTTTCCGAACATCAAGTGACAAGTCAATGTCAAATTTTAGTTCGGATTAGGAATGCAGTAGAGCAAATCTGAAAACGTCCGAGATGTCCCAAAATGTATCCAACTGTGACTGATTTTTCATCAGCAATAATGTGGTCTATTTATACAAAGAGAAAAACTCAAGTTATTGTTAGACTTGAGCAGAATTTCGTTTTTCACTCTCAATGGCGTCGACAGTTTGCCCATCTCCTTATAACCTACAGAAAGTGTTGGGAATTCAAAGAAACGGAGGAATTTATAAAATGTAGTAAAGTTAATCACTAAAATAACCTGCTATCTCGACCGCTAATGCCATTACCTCATCCATTCACGAGATCGAATTAAATCTCATGGAGCATGTGCTTAGTTCCTCTCTTATATCACTCTTAGGGCCAGTTTATCAATCATGAGCCAAAAGTGTATGCTAGCTGACTGACAGCTCATTGTCATTGTTAAGGCACTCATCTTTCCGAACACCAAGTGACAAGTCAATGTCAAATTATAATTCGGATTTGGGATTTAGGAGAGCAAAACTGAAAACGCCGTGAGATGTCTCAATGTATCCAAATGTGACTGATTTTTCAACAGCATTGATGTAGTCTATTAATACAAATAGAAAAACTCGAGTTCTTGATAAGACTTGAGTAGTATTGCGTTTTTTACTCTCAATGTGGAACTTTACACGCAATTTTTACTTTAAAATGGAAGAGGGTATCATACAAAGAGGCCAAATGATAGAAACAAAAGAAGTATATTTATCAGTATTAAACAAGTTTGACGTCATGTCTCAGTAGCGCGATCTGGTGGAAAACCAAAATATGTTAGCCCTCATTTACTGAAAAACTGAAAATCTTGGTGTGTAATGACAAGTAAAAGTAAAAAATAAATGAATTAATATTATTCAAACACGCTAAACCGACTGAAAGACGTTGATCGCGATGGAACAAATCGAAAAGGCAGCTCAAGAAGCTGAAGGCCAATTATTACCAAGAAAATCTGGAGAACAATATAAAAAACAGTTATCTGAGTTTATCAAATGGTGCAAAGAATGGAACGTAGAAAAATGTACAGAAGAAAAGGTACTGCTAGCATATTTCTTGGAAAAGTCAAAAAAGCTTAAAGCATCGTCATTGTGGAGCGTATATTCGATGATAAAAGCCACAATTGCAACAGACATTTTGAAAATACATTTCTAAATTTAGCTTTTATTGCAAAGAAATTTACTAAAGGTAGAGTCCCTGTATGTATAATTCCCTGTATATATTTGTCAGTTTTGTTGTAATAAGAGTACGGACACTATGACAAGCAGTGACGGAAGGCATAACCCCAAATTCTCAAAATGACTTTTGAACAAAGACATGGATATGCTTTTCCATGCACTTCCGATCTTCTATCCTCTACTGCCACGGCGAAGGGTACATCCATATATCTTTCTCTGTCTTTATTTTCATAAAGAAGTGGCGTCTCATCTCACTGGCGAAAAGGGGTCATAGTTTGTAAATCAATTTGTTGAAAGTATTTCTCGATATACTTAACAAAGGGTATATGTACTTGTTGGTTAGAATGGGGGAAATGGAATAAATGAAAGGACTCGCTTCCATTTTTGCAATTCTCCACTACACAATTAGACATTTCAATTTTTGAAAACCTGAATTTTCAAATAATTTAATGTCATGTACGTTCATGAACTGTCAGTGCCCGCCAAATTGTTCATGTCATTTCAAATTTTTTAGGGTTATGCCTTCTGTCACTGCTTGTCATAGTGTCCTTACTCTTATTACAGCAAAAGTGTCAAATACATACAGGGACTCTAACTAAAGGTACCCTTCAAACCCTTGAAGTGCATAAAAAATATTACCTCCCGTAGGAGGTAAAATGAATTAGCTTCAGCTTGCTTCCTTGGTAAGAGATAACACCTGTGCTACCCAAGAACTTAATTCTGCATCACAACTATAAAATAAATAACAATTTCCTTCTTGAACATTATAGGGATTCCCTTTCGTGCGCGATTTTCGTTCAGATTCAAATACTGTCCGTAACCTTAGATCATGTAACACATTGATTTAGATCAAGATTCGAGAGATATGAAGCACAATTTTAAGAACGACGCTATCAAATCTTTGCCTTCGTGGATAAAATGCCCTCCGCTCTCCGCTACGCGTGGGGCATGAAACTTGACACGCGGGAGGAAATGAATACCATCCTCCCTCGATATATAAATAGCTATTACTGACCTAGTGCTAGTACTCTCGCCCCTCTGCGGGACAATTCCAGATACACTTCGTCGTACTTTTCCGGTGTTTGCGCGAACATGGACTTCAGTACTTCCGGAGCGCCTTTGGCTGTGCAGAGGTAAACGGTGTCGGTGGATCCCATCGGATTGTACCCGGCTATGACGGACATTCTCTTCAACACGGACGAAAAGTGGAATCTGTTGAAGTATTATTGGCGTTACCTTGTAAAATAGCGAAGTTTCAAACCAAATTTATTGGCATCATGACACATTCATTTGAGTTCACATTTTTATTTTCCCAGACTACGTTCAGCGGCAGGTCGGACCATGGTCAATTCGTCTCAATCCGTTCAGACCGTAGTCAGACTATGGACCAGACCGTGGTCCACGTAGTCTCATTTAAAATTAGGCCCAGCATGGTCCAAATCGTTCAGTCCATTGTTTCCGTCAGTAAACGTCAGTTATATTTGACATGAATTTATGACATGCAAATAAATTTGAATTTGAACGAATTTCTTCGCGGGTGAGATAACATGATGGCCAGCAAGTTCAAGAGATAATGCATTGTGCCGCAGTTTAAACAGTATGAAGATACACAGAGTATCGATTCACAGCTTTTCAACCAGATGCAGAATCATACAAAATGTGGCAGAAACATATCAAAAAATGGTAGCCCATTCCCAAATAATGTACATCTGTCTGAAGCATATATATTTCTTACAGATTATAAAGGTAATTTCTTCTATTTTTTCATCTATTCAGTGTTTTATATAATGTTCTTAACTTTCAGGGGAAATCGATTCCACTGATTATACATTGCACCAAAATGTGAAACCTGTGATTAATGGATCTGAAAGAAACGTGGTCTTTTTGGAACAAAACATGAAAATGTCTTCAATCATTCTCCAATCTATATCAACTAACTTATTGCCAGTAACAGGAATGAATCTGATAATAACATAGATGCTACCTATAGTCTATAGACCCGCCTCACCAGTTTTGATGAAACTTCCACCAGGACTGATCTCTATTGTTGTGAACATGCCAATGAATTTTCATACTTGTTCAGTAATGATAAATAATACAACTATTACATTCTGTTTTTTTTTCAACATAATCTAAAATATGATTAACACTATAAATAATTTGAAACTTCATTTCATTCATTCTTAATATCATTATATATCATGAATATTTGTAAATTCTTCATCAAGATCGATGCTGTTGTGAAAAGGAGTGTGTTGCAGAGGAATACAATTTACACAATGAATATCTTAGGTACTTTATTGCTGATGATATAGATGATGGGTTAGCTGGAAAACAATTAATATCAATTACTAGTGAAAGTTAGAAATTATATAATCAGACTCAACCCCAGACGCAATCATGTCCAATCGTTCACTGGAAGGCTTCAATTTCAGAGCAGCAGAAATTTGTAGAACCTGCCCAATGATCTAAAGTTTCTGTTTCTGTACACTTTTTGCTCAACACTTATTACATTTCCAGGCTGGTATAGCTGTTCATCATCCATCATCGGCCGATATCTATCATCAATATATTTGAGAATGTCGACCGAATTGATTTCAAGGAGCATCGTCGTTCTTAAATCACTCTAGTCACTAAAATTCCAAATCACATCAAATATCAAATGGGTTGTCTTATGACAACTTTGACAGATACTATATACACTATACAGATACAAATCCATGGACCGATATCGTTCAGAACTCATATGCTTGTTGTGGTCCGACAACGGTGGTCCAGACCTGCCGCTGAACGTAGCCCCAATTTTTTGTTTAAATGGAAACGGTGCGTCATATTTTCGACTTTAAATGGTGAATTCATGAATGACAGGAAGTCTTAACTCAGGAAAACCCTGAGATATCTATTTGCTCACTTTTGGTACATAAAATAAAACGAATGTCAGTCCATGAAAAGCACAATATACTCACGCAACTAATAATATAATATAATAAACTAGGAATGCTCTTAATTCATGATATTTCTATTTGAAATTTGAACAAAACCTTGAATATGCCGAAAACACCCAAAACATGACACTTGTGACAGATATGTCAAGATAATGATGGAAATAAGTAGATGGTGCGCGTACTAGGCCATTTTTACGTATTGAAAACTTAAGAAAAATCACATCGAGCGAGACGTTGATTTTACTTTTTCCGCTAGATGGTGATGCTGCTATTGCTGCTGTGGCCGTCTCGACCAATAAACGTCCACGGAAGCAAACTCTGGTGCCGCGTCAGGACTTTGTAGGATAAGTACGAGCTGGCAACGTGGCAACTGGCAACAATGCTGAGGACTTGGCAACGTATGGTGAACAGGTGAAATGTAGTGACAGACAAATGACGGTTCTGTGAAAGATGTCTAGGTGCTGTCGTTGATTGACATATAAAGTGTTGTCTGTGACTCTAGGACTGATGTGAAGAAAAAAGCTCTCTCTCTCTCTCTCTAACGAGGAATGTTAGCGCGTCATGACGCTCAATCTTTTGTAACAAAAAGTATCAGATATCAGTTATTAGTTTGCTCAAATTTATTCTTGTATTGTTAAAATGGCAAATGGCATTTTAGGTACGCGGAACATATGTAACAATGAAAAATTAAGTCAGGGCGTACCATTTTCTTTCAAGATTCAAAATTTCAACAAAAATGAAAAAAATCCACTGACCCCGATGGAAAATCTTCATTCGTGACCGCCCCTTCTTCGGCACCACGGCGGTGACGTCCCACTCGACCGCCGTCAGCGTCGCCTTCTCGACTTCTCAAGACTTCGGGGGCGTACCACCTTTTCTTTCGATCGGGGATCAAAAATAAAAATTGACGAAATTTCATCGATTCTATCTAAGCCGTCGTCATATTGGGCGAGCGAGTGGCACGTGGCAAGCACCTGGACTCCAGGGGCGTACACATTTTTTTCGAAGGGGGTTCCAAAATAAAAATGTACGCAATTTCGAAATTTCTTCGACTCTATCCGAAGAAAAATAAAGAATCAAGACTTCAGGGGCGTACCAATTTTTTGCGAAGGGGGTCAAAATAAAAATTGACGGCATTTCGAAGTTTCTTCGACTCTACCCGAAGAAAAACCAAAATCAAGACTTCAGGGGCGCACCACTTTTTTTTTTCGAAGGGGACCAAAAATGAAAATTGACAAAATTCCATCAATTCTATCGGAAGGAAAATTAAAAAACCAAGACTTTATGGGCGTCCCAATATTTTTATCAAAGGGATCAACACTGCGAACAAATTTTAAAAAATCCACACTCACCGGTGACAAATTTTCATCCCCGGCGACCGCCTCTTCTTCGGCACCACGACGTCCGCTTTTGGTGATGCCCCACTAAACCATTGTCCAATTGGGCGAGCGAGTGGCACGTGGACTCCAGGGGCGTACACATTTTTTTCGAAAGGGGTTCCAAAATAAAAATGTACGCAATTTCGAGATTTATTCGACTCTATCCGAAGAAAAATAAAGAATCAAGACTTCAGGGGCGTACCAATTTTATGCGAACGGGGTCAAAATAAAAATTGACGAAATTTCAAGGTTTCTTCGACTCAATCCGAAGGAAAACAAAAAATCAAGACTTCAGGGGAGTACCACTTTTTTTTTCGAAGTGGACCAAAATGAAAATTGACGAAATTTCATCGATTCTATCGGCAGGAAAAATAAAAAATCAAGACTTCATGGGCGTCCCACTATTTTTTCCAAGAGGATCAACACTGAAACAAAAAATTAGAAAATTCCACAGACTCACCGATGGAAAATCTTCATCCCCGGCGACCGCCCCTTCTTCGGCACTACGGCGTCCGCTTTGGTGACGCCCCACTCGACCGCCGTCAGCGTCGCCTTCTCCAGGGGATCCCCCACTAAACCGTCGTCCAATTGGGCGAGCGAGTGGCACGTGGCGAGCACGTGGACGGTGTCGAGCGGCAGGTCGGCTACGGGCGTCACTCGGGCGTCGTTTTGGGCCAGAGCGACGCCTTCGACGACGAGGTCGTCGCTGGTGAGAGTGCCCGTTTTGTCGAAGCAGCAGATGTCGACTTTGCCGGCGAACGGGATGCGGAAGGGTTCCGTGCAGAACACGCCTGCGCGATCGATCATGGGTTCAGAGTTGAAAAAAATCACAATTTTTTGAAACAAAAAATCAAAAGACCCAATTTTTGCGATTAAATTGTGATAATTTGGATTTATACTGAATTTTTCCTCAAATATGGAAATAATGAACTTCAAAATCACTTATTTTCATAATTATTTCTACGACGGCTCTGATCTACCATCCTACCATTTTTTTTTACACGGCTGAAGACGTTGTTCCTGTATAATTTACAGTTGCAACTGTAAATTAGTAGTAACTTACATCCCTACACATCTCCCTATTCACAGATGCCACTGTAAATTAGGAGATGTGTAAAAGAATAATCTGCAAAATTTGCAACTATGAATTAGCCCTAATTTACATTTGCAACTGTTAGACATAATCTACAATCGCAACTATAAATTAGATGTGTTTCATCTAATAATTTACAGTTGCAACTGTAGATTAGGGTTGATTTACGGTTGGACCTGTAAATTATGGCTGATTTACAGTTGCAAATATAAATTTGGCGGATTATTTTTTTACACATCTCCTAATTTACAGTTGCAACGGTAAATTGGGTTGATCGAACTTGCAACTGTAAATGAGTTCTAATTTATATTCCTACACATCTACTTATTTACAGTTGCAACTGTAAATTAGGAGATGTAGATTAGGAGAGATGCAGAAAGATATCTGCCAAATTATATTTGTGAAACAGTAGATTAGTCCTAATTTACAGTTGCAAAATTTACATCTCCTAATTTACAGTTGCAATTGTAAATCAGGTTGATTGAACTTGCAACTGTAAATGAGTTCTAATTTACATTCCTACACATCTACTTATTTACAGTTGCAACTGTAAATTAGGAGATGTAAATTAGGAGAGATGCGGAAAGATATCTGCCAAATTATATTTGTAAAACAGTAGATTAGTCGTAATTCAGTTGCAAAATTCACATCTCCTAATTTACAGTTGCAATTGTAAATCAGGTTGATTGAACTTGCAACTGTAAATGAGTTCTAATTTACATTCCTACACATCTACTCATTTACAGTTGCAACTGTAAATTAGGAGATGATGTTGATTAGGAGGTGCGGAAAGATATCTGCCAAATTATATTTGTAACAGTAGATTAGTCCTAATTTACAGTTGCAACCGTTAATAAGACCTAATCTGAGATTGCAACTATAAATTAGGAGGTGTAGAAGAAAAAAGTTTTATCTGCCTAATTAACATTTGCAACTGTGAATTAGGCTAATGAAACTTTTTCTCCTACAAGTCGCCTTACTCACAGTTGCAACTGTAAATTAGGAGAAGTGTTAATTTATATTTGAAACTGTAATTTAGCACTAGAAACACCATGTATATATACAGTATGATATCTTCTACTTTCTGTTTTTCATTACAACTTTCGCGGTCACAGAAAAATAATTTTTGTTCAATGGATTAGTGATCACTCAATCAATTTGTGAATGTATTCTCTAACGTCAAATATATTCTCATTCTTAGCTAATACATATCATTGTTTTAGGTGCATAGCCTTGTACAATGTACATGGTATCTCCATATATTATGACCCCTACCTACAGCTTCAACTATACGAGGTGGACAAAAAATTCAGTAATTGTAGGGTTTCATCTGTACTATCGTTTGGTTCTCCTTAAATAAACAAATGCAAATCGCAAAATAGAAAAAAAAGTCCGGATCAGATTTTTTAAATAAAACACCCTGTACACTCTCCACTCAAGTGATTTTCTCCTGTTCACAAATATACACATCGGTTTGAAGCGCATGCAGAAGAAAAATTCGAGTATTTCCCTAGGGTTTGGATCAGATATGTCGACGATATATTTGCTATTGTTGATACAAAAATCACAGATATAGATAAATTCATTTCAAAATTGAATAATTGCTTCCACTATAAAAAATTTACTATTGAATGCGAAAATAACGGCCAATTACCATTCTTATATTGTCTTGTGATCAAAAATTGCGAAAACAACTTAGAATTCAATGGTTTTAGAAAAAAAACTAACACACTTAGATACATAACTGATGACTCTGTTTTCAACAGAAAATGGCAATTTCAAATTTTCTAGTATATAGACTAGTTTCATTTCCTCTGAGCAAAGAGAGATTTGATGTTGGAAGAAGTTTTGTTTATAAAGTGGCTGGCGTCAATGGTTATGATTTCAAAATAGTAGACAAATTAATACTTAGGTTAACACTTCGAAATTCTAGGACCTTTCAAGCGGATAAAAACAATTCGAGAAGAATCCCAGTCCCGCTCAATCCCAAGTACACGAACGGACTTGATAAGGATTTCAAAGACTTAGGTATTGAAAGAGTTTACCAGTCTGGGTCAAAATTAGGCAATTTATTAGGTAATCCAAAATATGAGGTGGCAACACTTGAAAAGTCAGGAATATATGAAACAAGTTGTAATGATTGTGATAAAGCATATATACGCCAAACCAGACGACATGGTAGGTAATTATTATTATTATTATTATATAATTGAAAAAAATATAGGGTGCTTCAAGATTCAGAATTCTGATCACCCTGTATCTGTTCCAATTAAATGTCAGTAAATCGAAAGTTAAGATAGAGACATGTAAGCCGTTCTGATCGATAATGAATAGTTTCGACACAAAAAAATCCTAAAATGGAAAAATCTCGATTTTGAACACCCTATATCTCTGTAATCATTCCTGATAGACCCCAAGTGTGATACATTGATGAAATCGGCTCTTCAGTAAGAATCTTAAAATGCAATAAAATACAGGGTGTTTCGTTTGAAATAACGAAGTTGGGGTCCACTTCCGGTACAACCAGAAGTGCCACAATCTTCAAAATATTTCAGGTGAACTACCAAATTTTCAAATCCGGCCCACCTATGGTTTTCTATATATTGATCGATGCATTATGTTCATGAATTCAATAGAAAGAAATATTTTTTTTGAAGAAAACCTTATATCATCATTATTAACCAGAATAAACTCTGCAGAACCGTGTAATGTACGAGGTAACATTGAGAAAAGTTATGTTAACAATCCAAGTGACCCATCCAAGAATCAGTGTGTTCAACTCGAACACCGAAAAATTGCCCAAAACGACGAATTTTCCGCAAACAATAACGAACAGAACCCAAATTTCTCTTTACTCACCTAGCTTGGACAACGCGACCAACGAAGTATTCACCGCCAGAGACAGCTCTATCGGCAGCTCCGGTGGTATGACCGAGGTGAGAATCAAAGTACACTCCAAAAACAGCTTGTACCTGTTCCTATTGGGGTCCTCGGATCCCTTGGTCCACACGTACCAAGCAGCAGCAATAGCGAAGATCAGAAGAAACATTATGAATCTAGAGGAAATAATTCAAGGTATTTATTTCGACCACGCAAATAATCGTGAAACAAAAACCATGGACACTGAACAATAAATGATAGAGCTCGTCGAGACCTATCATTTGATATGAGACACGATATAATTATCTCTACGTGTGAAAGAGATATACATCCAGGTCACGTTGACAGGTGTCACCTGTCATGTTGAAAATGGAGACACGGCGCCGAAATTTGATATCGGAGGGCTTTGGGCGTTGACGATCACGAATAAATAGGTCGTTTTTCGATATCCGGTTTAAAATCCGAAATAAACAAGCAATAATCAATCTACACTCACCGGCAAAAAAACCAGGCCAGGCAAAAAGCTAGTTAAATCGAACGCCCTGTAACTTTTTTAATTCTTGTTCGATTTTGGTGAATTTTTGACCAAATCGTAGGTTCATGTTTCGGAATGTACTTAGTAAAAATTAGCTTCATTATGTTTGGGATTGAAGTGTGATCCCATCTTAACCAATGGTTCCTGATTCACGTCAAAATCTTCTTTTCAAGTGAGGGTATAAAGCATCTTCGAGATGAACCCCAGAAGCGCATTCATTTTCGTCTGGCCTTGCAAGAGAGAGATTCTTCATGAGCTACGATTCACCCTTCAAGAAGAATTTGAGACAATTCCTCAAAACTACTTGAGATATTTGATCAAGTTGACGCCACAGCGGTTGAATGCTGTAATTCAAGGTCAAGGAGGCCACACTCGTTATTGATTATACACACACTCGCACAATGGGGAAGACTACTGAGGGAAGAAATCCGTGCAAACCTCTTTCAATCGACGAATCATGATTTACATTTTATGTACAATCCATATTATGAGTTGAAGTTGAAGGGAATCGAATCTATATCGTTTTGAAATCAGCATATTTCATTCGATATGTCAAACAGCCAAATATGATGGTGGAGTCGTGACGTATTAGTCCCGAACTGTAGCTACCTCTCTCTGATACCTCGTCATTCTGCAGTGTTGCATAGTAATTGGTCAGTTCAAGGACAATAGGCGTGATGGGACCAAGACGTCGCACCAGTCACACCAATGAATTGATGAAATTTCAAATGGCGCAGGAATTGTGTGTTTCGAAATGGACATATACTTATTTATTTTTTTCATCGTCTTAGCATGAATGAAAAAATTCAAAATTAATTCACTGGTAGTTTTTCAGTATTGAGTTCACGATGATGTCGTTGCAAAAAATCAGTGGTCTTCCCCATTAGGGGAACGGGTAAAATTTACACTAAGTTTGACATCAATTTTCTTTCGAACCGATCACTCGATTCAAATTTGTTTTTCACGAATTGTAGCTTCATTCTTCACAAATACATCTGAGAAATAACCACCTCCAAACGATTCGTCTTTATATCATTTACAGGGGTGTAAAGAAAGTACGGATTTTTCGGTATTCTTTAAGATATCCTGTGGAGTGAACCACTGATAATTGAAACGATTTTCCAACACCAAATTATAGCCCATTCTATCCCGAATATTTTCGTTTTTTATTCATCTTGAAATCCCAATTATCCAGGAAAATATAGAGTTTCAAAGAAGAGGTGGATATTGGTATTAATTTTACCACCTCGAAACTCGAACTGGGGAGAACGTGTCGTTTTTCAACTTGTTTCTGTGAGGATTTTTACTTCAAGATGAGAATTTTTCACAGTTTTACCTATCGGTTTACTGTTTAAAGACACATATACGAATACTCTCATGAATATGCAGGGGTGATAAAAGTTGCTCCAATGTTCTTTTGATGAAATGCTATTTTTGTTAATCAACGTTGGCTATTTTGTTAATGTCATTAATTATTGTCAAAGTCAAGCGATTCACAATTCATGAATTTGATTAATGAAAATTCAACATGAGAGATTTGACTCCTACTGATGTGGCGAGGGCTGTAGCATTAATTGAAAATGACCAGTGGGCCAATGTTCTTTTAACATATGAGAGCCGCATCTGCACCAATTCAATAGATGGCAGAGGTTTAGTCATGGTTAGGTTAGGTTAGTCAAGAAACGACACATTTTCAGATCCAATTTGAGTTTTGAGGTGTAAAATTGATACCAATATCCACCTTTCCTTTGAAACTCTGTATTTTCTTGAATAATTGAGATATCAAGATGAATAAAAACCGAAAATATTCGGAATAGATTGGGCTCCAATTTGGTGTTGAGAAATCGTTTCAATTATCAGTGGTTCAGTCCACAGGATGTCTAAAAAGATACCGAACTTTCTTTACCCTGTATATGAGGGAAAGACTCATCGTTTGAAGGTAATTATTTCTCAGATGTATTCGTGAAGAATGAAGCTACATTTCGTGAAGAAAAAAATTTGTATGGAGCGATCGGTTCGAAAGAAAATTGATGTCAAACTTAGTGTAAATTTTGCCCGTTCCCCTAATTGAGCCAGTGTGTGTATCTAGGTCTGCTTTCTGTTTGTTTTATTGACGGTTAGTGTTGAAATCAATATTATTAGTATTACTATCATCATTGTTATCATGTGAAAATTCTTAGTAGCACTTTACTTGAACCATCCTATATAGTATAATATTCGAATATATCAAGATTTATTAGTCAGGATTGTTATATAAATGTAATCGTTGAAGAATGTGAATCAGATTGCAGAAGTGACACAGTTGTTTGCGATACCTGTTTGAGTGTGGATCAATAGATATTAAGTAAATCATTCGTGTTTAAATAGTTATCCTAAGAATTCAGAAGTGGAATATCCTCCCATGTGTTGTTAGATCAGCATCAAAAAGTGCTTTCAACATATAGTGAATGAATAATAGAAAAAAGAATCCACAGGAATGGTCAATGGAGATCCAAGACGCGTAGTTATCACTACACTTCTAACTGCTTCTAAGGTGAGTAACTCGATTTGCGATAGAAAATAAGCGTACTCCACCTATCGGAGTTCTTGAAAGCTGTCAAAGCTGCCTGTATACTTTGTTTTCATTGGTTCACATTTGTTTTTTGTTTGTGTTTATTGGTCATATGATCAAAACAAACCGTTTAGAAGTGTTCAAGTTGTTGCCGTCAGGTGGGGCGAAGTGTTATGTTTCATCTTGAATACATTAAACCTATATTTTTATACAGGGTATCCATTAATGATCGTAGCATCGTATAGGGTCTCTTGATGGAAATTGACGTTAAAGTCATCTTAACTAGGGTCCCTTGATGGAAATTGACGTTAAAGTCATCTTAACAGGGTACGGACAGACCCTCGTCTCCTCTCACTCTAAAGTGTTTGTGAAACAGTTATATAGTTCTATCCTTATTTAATTCTGGGGATAAACACTAGATGTTTGACATTTGTTGTTTTTTAGGTTATATTGAGGTCACTGGCGTATCATACGTAGTTTTCATATAGAATTCCTAATTCAACTATACCGAAATATAGATGAACAATCCTCTAGTTTCAGAGTTGACTACTCAAGCATAATTTTTGCTCAATATATTCCACCAAAAGAGACTGTTCTTAGACTGTATGCAAGGATTGCCTGAATTGACTGAATGAATTCTGATTTCAAACTGAGCAGTAGTTTATCTATGATAGCTGAATGAGCTAAGCCCTATGATTGAGAAATGGTGAAAACCTCGATGTGAGTATCAAAACTACTGTACTCATGTAATGTGTGCTCAATATATTTTCGGAAATCCAACTCGAAGAAGGATTTATGAAGTGACTAATATCACACTATGTATATATAACTCCGTCTAGGACGAAAAGTAGGCTGATAAAAAGTAATTCGTAAAATGTGCAGGGAAATAAAGAATAGAATAAACTTCATCCCCATGTTATACATGAAATATGATTCTTTCGTCTCCCTGAAATGATAAGTCATTTTCAAATAATGTATTGATGAAAGTAACAAACCAGTAGGTATACGCAGTATAACTCATAGGTGCGTTATTTTCACTCTTGCATCCTATATATTTTCTATTTGTGGTAGAGTAATAATTATATAAACTAATGTCTTTCGCCATATTGGATCCGTCATCTTAGATTTTCCAATTTTAACGAGACATTCATTATCTCCTACCCCGAAAACCCCCAGATATCAATTTTCAATAGAATCGGATCTTCATTACAAAACTTGTTCGCCATATGATCTTCCTCAACAAGTAAATACCCTGTACATACCTATTATTGAAATTTTGAATGATTTTCTGTAGCGCCCATGGATGTGACGTGACAGCAATGTCAGGGATGCCAGTAGACAAAACTAAAATCTCTAGATCATTAAAAAAGAATGCAGCTATGATCTGTCCGTACCCTGTTAAGATGACTTTAACGTCAATTTCCATCAAGGGACCCTAATCTTAACAGGGTACGGACAGATCATAGCTGCATTCTTTTTTAATGATCTAGAGACTTTAGTTTTGTCTACTGGCATCCCTGACATTGCTGTCACGTCAAATCCATGGGCGCTACAGAAAATCATTCAAAATTTTAATAATAGGTATGTACAGGGTATTTATTTGTTGAGGAAGATCATATGGCGAACGAGTTTTGTAATTATGGTCTGATTCTATTTAAGATTGGTATCTGGGGGTTTTTCGGTATCGAAGTTCATGAATCCTTCATCAAAATTAGGAAATTAAAGATGGTGGATTCAATATGGCTGACGAGTTTTGTAATTATGATCCGATTCTATTCAAAATTGAAAGGTATCTGGGGTTTTCCGGGGTTGTAGATAATGATTGTTTCGTCAAACAAGAAATTTTCTAATTATGATCTGATTCTATTTAAGATTGGCATCTGAGGGTTTTCGGGGTCGAACTTTATGATTATTTGTCATAATTGGATAATTTAAAATAGCGGATCCAATATGGCGAACGAATTTTGTAATTATGATCCGATTCTATTCAAAAATCAAAATTGGTATCTGGGGTTTTCCGGGGTCGGAGATTATGATTATTTCGTCAAAATTGGAATATTCAAGAAGGCGGATACAATATGGCGAGACATTAGTTTATATAATTATTACTCTACCACAAATAGAAAATATGTAGGATGCAAGAGTGAAAATAACGTGCCTATAAGTTATACTACGTACTACGTATACCTACTTGCTTGTTACTTTCATCAATAAATTATTTGAAAATGACTTTTCATTAAAGGGAGACGGAAGAATAATATGTGGGTAAAGTATATTCTATTCTTTATTTTCCTGCACAATCTACGCATTACTTTTCATCAGCCTACTTTCCGTCCTAGACGAAGTTTTATACATAGTGTGATATTAGTCACTCCATAAATTCTTCTTCGAGTTGGATTTCCGAGAATATATTTAGCACACATTACATGAGTACAGTATTTTAGATACTCACATCGAGGTTTTCACCATTTCTCAATCATAAGGCTCAGCTCATCAGCTCATAGATAAACTACTGCTCAGCTTGAAATCAGAATTCAGTCAATTCAGTCAACCCTGGTATACAGTCTAAGAACAGTCTCTTTTGGTGAACTATATTGAGCTTTCAGTATAATTTATATGTTCCCTACCTCGGAAAGATTATGCTGGAGTAGTAAACTCTAAAACTAGAGGATTGTTCATCTATATAGTTGAATCAGAAATTCCATATGGAACTTACGTATGAGACGCCAGTGACCTCAATATAACCTAAAAAACAACAAATGTCGAAAATCTAGTGTTTATCTCCAGAATTGAATAAGGATGGAACTATATAACTGTTTCACAAACACTTTTAGAGTGAGAGGAGACGAGGATCTGTCCGTACCCTGTAAAGATGACTTTAACGTCAATTTCCATCAAGGGACCCTAGCATCGTAGTGACCGATGAAATATTTTACTGATTTGCCGCTTTCCACTTATTGAGATCAAAATATAATACATTCGGTACCTTCAATGTCTGTAAATGACATAAGCAAAGACCGGCAAATAGAAAAACTAACTAATACCATCAAGTGACTCTAACTTCTACCAACCTTGATATGGCTGGTTATATTTTTGCCGGTGAGTGTATGAATGAACAGATCATTTCTCAAAGAGTGCAAACAGCCTAGTTCCATGAACTAACGTGGTTTTTGATCGCTCGCAGAAATACGAACCCGAATGTCTCCTTGTTGTTGGCGGTGACACGCTTGACTCCGAACAGGATGGTGCGCAGCAGCTTTCCCTGGGAGGTGTTGAAGCCGGTCCTCAAGACATACGCGACGCATCCGTTATCTTGGGGACGCAACCCTGTGGTGGCCTTGGTGGGTGGGGTGTGTTGCACCACCTTGGTACCTGGAACACATGCACTGAGCAATAAGGATCTCGGCTGCCTTTCAAATTCAAAGGGTCCATGACACTTCGCCGTATGGACAAGTGGCCGAATTTTCGGCCAAAACAACTGAAATGAACAACTATCTAGACCAGGGGTGATCAAACAGTCGATCGTGAGAGCTTTTGGTCAGGCCCCTCTACTTCACTGGGCACACTGGGCACGTGCCCAGGGCCCCGCGAGGATTGGGGCCCCCTAGTCCCGATAGCTACTCTACTCTCGCCTGAAAATCAGGCTTACCGAATACAGCATGTTCAATAAATTTCAATATAATTTTTCATTTTAATTGCATTCCGCAATAATAATCTAAACTACTCAACACTAATTTCGTCGCACACCAAAATGTTGCTCCTGTTATAATGTGAATAACTTTTTTCAGTTTAAAACAATTTGAATTTGGTACACACTGTTCGATAGCCCAGTCCTTCAGCTATAATCTGGTACTTCATTGAAACATAAGGGTATTCACATGAAATCTCTACATGGTGTTTTCCGACACTGTGCAAAATTTTGGAATATTCAAAACGCACTCAAATGGTGAAAATTTTTTTTTCTCAACTTCGACAACAGGCATGAAGATGATCTCATTATCTCGAGATATTTCGCGAATCAACTTCCTATCTCTCTTATTTACGGAGTAATCTCAAAAAATCAACTTTCTGGTTTTGCAGCCATAACTTTTTTCCACGTCAACCGATTTTGGAAATCTTAGGCTCATTTTGAAGATAAAACTTCAGATGAAGAGATCTGAATATCATAATTGACTCAAGATGGCTATCAAAGATCTAGAGTTTTCTTGAAAGTGACCCAAATCTGGAACGCCCTCCGAATCTCGGTTGGGAGGAGAATTCAATGAAAATCCACTTGTTCTCAGAAAAACAATTCATTCTGGATGTGTCCATATTTTCCTCGCTCTCAGTACTCAAGAATGTGCGTGAGAAAACACAATTTAACCATGTTCTTGCAGAAACATCAGACCATTTCTCCTCTGTAATGCATGGCCCGTAACCAACGTTACAAGAATCACAGTAAGTGAGTGACAAGTCAGGTTAGACGTCGTTTTAGAATCATAAACAGATTTTGATAGTTTCGATGCCGCATCTAAACACGACAGTCCGATCCGTTCAAAGGGCTTATCTCCGACACGAATTGTTTGGTTATTACTGTCGATTCGTTCGGCGCATTATTGCGACTGAAAACTTTACGTAATTGGCAAACTGTTTTCGTGAAACTTTCACCATTTTTGAAATGCGTTTTTACAATAAATAAACGTTGTTTGCTTGAATACTTCTCCATATTCTTAAATCGCATGTTATGTACGTGACAACTGTTAAAAAAATCACTTTATTGAAAAAATTAAAATCCGATGCTCTTGTTGGTACACCATGTATGATGAGCCTCAGCTGGTCGGGTTTGTCAGTCACTCATTGTGATTCTTGTAACGTTGGTTACGGCGGGCCATGCATTACAGAGGAGAAATGATCTAATGTTTTTGCAAGAACATGTTTCAATTGTGTTTTCTCACGCACAATTCTTGACTACTGAGAGCGAGGAAAATATGGACACATCCAGAATGAATTGTTTTTCCGAGAACAAGTTGATTTTCATTCAATTCTCCTCCCAACCAAGATTCGAAGGGCGTTCCAGATTTGGGTTACTTTCAAGAAAACTCTAGGTCTTTGATAGCCATCTTGACTCAATTATGATATTCAGATCTCTTCATCTGAAGTTTTATCTTCAAAATGAGTATAAGATTTCCAAAATCGGTTGACGTGGAAAAAAGTTATGGCTGCAAAACCAAAAAGTTGATTTTTTGAGATCACTCTGTGAATAAAAGAGAAAGGAAGTTGATTCGCGAAATATCTCGAGGTAATGAGATCATCTTCATGCCTCTGTTGTCGAAGTTGAGGAAATAATTTTTTTCACCATTTGAGAGCCTTTTGAATATTCCGAAATTTCGCACAGTGTCGGAAAACACCATGTAGAGATTTTATGTGAATACCCTTATGTTTCAATGAAGTACGAGATTATAGCTGAAGGACTGGGCTATCGAACAGTGTGAACCAAATTCGAATTGTTCTAAACTGAAAAAAGTTATTCACATTATAACAGGGGCGACATTTTGGTATGCGACGAAATTAGTGTTGAGTAGTTTACTTAAAAAAAGTGAAAAAAATAATAGAAGTTTGGTTTATAGTTTCGCTTGAAAATTCCTGAATCCCGAAGAGTTGAGACAAAGTTGCAAAGAATTTGCTGAAATCGACTATACAGAGTTCATGCACATTGATCAGAAGCGTTTCCAGACAGCAATTTGGATGCGAGTTTCAGGATACATAGATATGACTTATGATATGGTACCCTCTAGAGCATTTACGAGACTCATCCCCAATTTCTTAAATGGAAAGAGAGGTCGAATGATATCTTATTTTGAAGGTATTTTCACCTAGATTATAATCTCTGGATTTTACATCGCTACTATCTACGTAGCCCATTCAGTGGCCCACCAAAAGTACTAAACCAGCTTAACATAATTTCAACAATGTAATTATAAAAATGTATTTTTTGTGAAAATGAGGGCTAACATTTTCAGTCTCAATAGTTGGCGTTACTATGAGGCGTATTTTAAAGTAAAAACTCTCAAAGTTTTGCCGGATAGCCCTGAAGGCTAAGGCCTATTTTTACGAAAATTTTCTGAATAAATGATTTGGCATATGTAACCAAGTGGAAGAACTAAGGTTATGGTTGGGTCTGGACTCGATCAGTCTTGAGACTTTAAATCTCGATGTGAAACTCGGGGGTTATATCTTTCCATTAAAAAGTTAAGTGGTGAGTTTCACCCCCGCTAGGATTCCGTTCGGGGGGTGAAACTGGCGAAAAAATGTATCTCCTTAAATCAAAAATTGACAGGTGCAAACGTTTTTAACACGCTTATATTCGCTTGATATGTATGTTCGTAACTCGTTCGTTTGTAACGAGATGTTGACCCGCCGGTGTACATAATTCTGCTGACAATGCATCATGACATTTTCTACTAAAAAACAAAATGGCAGCTCCAAAATGGCGGACGAGTTTTATAATTCTTTCGTCAAAATTCAAGATGGTGGGTCCAATATGGCGGACCGATGATTTTTATAATTATCATCAGATTCTATTCAAAATTGGTATCTGGGGGTTTTTGGTGCCGGAGCTTAATTATTTCTTGAAAATTTGGAAATTCTAGATGGCGGATCCAATATGGCGGACGAGTTTTGTAATTATGATCAGATTCAATTCAAAATTGGTATGTGGGGGTTTTCGTGGTCGGAGATTATGATTCTTTCGTCGAAATTGAGATTGCAGATTCAATATGGCGGACGAGCTTTGTAATTATAATCAGAAGATCAGATTCTATTCAAAATTGGTATCTGGGGGTTTTCGGGGTCAGAGATTATGATTCCTTTGCCAAAATTGGGATATTCAAGAGTGCATATCCAATATGGCAGACGATTTTTATAATTAGGATCAGAAGATCAGATTATATTCAAATTTTGACCTGGGGGTTTCGGGGTCGGTAGTTATGATTCTTTCGTCAAAATTGGGAAATTCAAGATTGCAGATCTAATATGGCGGACGAGTTTTGTAATTATGATCCAATTCTAATCAAAATTGGTATCTGGGGGTTTTGGGGTCAGAGATTATGATTCTTTCGTCAAAATATGGTGCTTACAAGAAATATAAAAAATATAAAGAACACGCTTCTTCAGTTAGCCGAACTAAAACAAGAAAATAAAAAGTTGTTTGAAAATCTGAAGAAACACGCTTTTATAAATAGCCAAACTAAAAAGAAGTAGATAATAAATTATAAAAGTGTGTTGATAGATACACAACATATAAAATATTAGCACCTCCCTAATCAGTATATTCAACACACTTTTATCTATTTATTTTCTACTTCTTTTTAGTTTGACTATTCATGAAAGCGTGTTTCTTTATTTTTTCAAACTACTATTCATTTCATAAATGACGTGGGGAGCCCAAAATTAACTCTGTTTCCTTTTCAAATGGCCATCCTGTACAGGTAGCTGTCTAGATAGTAGATATTCCAGTGGTTTCGACCGGAAATTCGACGACCTGTCCATTCGTCAAAGTGTCCGGACTCCAATTCAAACACACCTCCAAAAAGCACATGCAACTTTCCCTCTCCCTCCGGCTCTAGCACGCTATTCTGATCGAAATGCTCAATAGCCTCCTTCATCTGAGGCACGCTCTCCCCAGTCAACATGCTCTCATCCACAATACAACACCCCCTGATCAGCACCACGTCGCACGGTATCAGATTGTCCTTCTGAGACCTGCTTATCGATATGACGTCACCGGGGATCAGCTCCGACGTGGGCACCATCCGCCATTTCCTGTTGCGGTACACCAGGTTGGGGTAGGGCTTGTTGCCCATCTTCCTGATCTCGTCCATGTTGCGCAGCTGCTGCTGCACCAGGGTGCACTCGAAGAGCACCAGCATGACCAGGGTGAAGAGCGAGTAGTACCAGAAGTCGTCCAGACACCACAGGCCGACGCAGAACACTTGGAAGACGAAGAAGGGCGCTGTGGCTCGTTCGAGGAAGAGCTCGAGGAACTCGGGGACCACCATGTCGAGGTCGTTTTTGCCGTAGAGCTGGTCGGCTTCTTTCACGTCCAACTCCTCTTGGAATCCTGTTTTTTTTTTCAGTTCAACAAATAATCATTTAATCTTTATTATCGAGAAAAAACCCAAAGTCGTCTCTACAAATTTAATAATAATCCAGTAACTTTATACATCACAGTATGCGTCAAATCCGGTAGTTCTGATTTTTTGCAGACTTGTTTATGATGTTGACCTAATGAATAATCCAAGTTTGTGACCTTGATCGCCAAACGCAACCTTGTCAAAAATCGAAAAAACTGCGAAAAAATCGTTTTCTTTTCAGTTTTTGGCGATTATAACCCTAAAGGACTAGTTTTTGAAAAAAACTCTTTCAGAACGTTTTTGAATTAGACCAAATTTGCTACAATATGTCTCTGTAGACTCATTAGTTTCCGAGATTGAGCCTTTCAAAGTTTATCATTTTTTTCGAACTTCGCAATTTTTTGCAATCCTGTCGTTCTGATTGAATTTCGACCCTGATTATACAATCGAAGCCCTGTACTCTCATGATGAGATGATAAGAAAGAAAATGAGGAGTGTGAACGAGGATGTTCAAGCTGAGCTACGAATAATGAAATAAAAAAAATAAGTACAGCAAAAGTTAATGAGTTTATTTGTTAGGAAATAGTGTAATCTTACGTCTGGTAGGCAAACAAACAAGTGACTCGTTTGTTTACTTGAGGACTTGGTGGATTTTGGAAACCTTTTAGAGTAGGTATTATTTTATTCAGTTTTGGTTAAATTTATTGTGAATAATGAAAACTCAATATGATTTTAAAGGAAAAATGCGGGTAACGTGTATTGTGGTGGATAATGGAAGCCGTGCAGATCGGGAAAATTTGCTTAGTTTTTTCACACTCCTACTGTGATTCTGTGAAAAACTCTGTGCATTATCCACAGATATAAGATCTATAAAGAATAAAAAGAGAAATGTGGATAGCAGCCATCAAGAGAAAGGATCTATCAACAGAATCAATCATGAGAAACCAAAGGATGTGTAGCAGGTACCTGAGGGAAAACCAATACTTATTATACCGGGTGGCTACGGAAGTATTGCCTACGGAATATCTCAGTTATTGTATTAAGTAGGTTTGTGAAATTTGGAGCGTCGATATAATGACATAAGAGCTAGAATTTGAGCATATTGACATGTCGAAGTTAACTTCCGGTCTGACCGGAAGTAACATCAACTTTCTTATTTTAAATGGGAACCCCTTTTTTTTTTCTTTTCGCTTTATTCAGCATTCAAATCCCTTTCTAATGACATATCACAAGTTGGTATCTAACCAGAAACTAGATCAGAAAAAAATTATTATTGAAATTCACTGAGTAGGCCGTGGAAGCAAAATGAAAGCCAAAAATTGAAAAGTTGGCTATGGAAACCATACGTCACTTGATAACAATTGATACTACTGTGATATTTTATTTTTATTCGTCGGCGTTATAAAAAGCCCCAAAAAAAAATATTGGAAAAATTGGGAAAAAACAATACTCTGTAGGTCCATAACTTGAATAGGAACTTACAACTTTTTCTTGCCTGTACTATTCAGCATAACCATTCCTTTCTGATGACATAATAGAAAGTCATTTTTGGCTTTCATTTTGCTTCCACGGCCTACTCGGTGAATTTCAAAAATACATACATACATAGTTTCTGGTTAGATACCAACTTGTGATATGTCATTAGAAAGGGAATTGAATGCTGAATAAAGCGAAGAGAAAAAAAAATAGGGTTCCCATTTAAAATAAGAAAGTTGATGTTACTTCCGGTCAGACCGGAAGTTAACTTCGACATGTCAATATGCTCAAATTCTAGCTCTCATGTCATTATATCGACGCTCCAAATTTCACGAACCTACTTTATACAATAACTGAGATATTCCGTAGGCAATACTTCCGTAGCCACCCGGTATGTGATGGCCCTACATCCAGGCGCCATCTTGCCAGCTAAAAAGTCCCGTGGTTTAGATTGCCTAAAAAGTTTGAAAACGTGCTACAGGTGGGTCGCATTCGTGACTTCACACGAACAGTACTAGCACACTCCGTCGGACGTAAGTGACACTTCATCCCGCTAGAGTATATTCGGGTGACGCCTAAAACAATGCAAAAAATTGCGAAGTCTAGTCCTTCAGGGTTATAACCGCCAAAATTTGAACAAAAATACGATTTCCTCGCGGTTTTTTCGATTTTTGACAAAGTTGCGTTTGGTGCTCGAGGTCACAAACTTGGATCATTCATTAGGCCAACATCATGAACAAGTCTGCAAAAAATCAGAACTACCGGATTTGACGCATACTACCCACATATGTTCAGGCGACAAAGTTACTGGACTATAAGGGAAATGCAGTTAGTTCTGCTTCATTACAGTTTCGTGAGACATGTTTCGACCGTTCAAACGGTCATCATCAGTCAGAGCATCAAAAGTAAATGTGGAATTGGTTATTGCATCATAAAGACGAAAAATTGTGTATGACAATGGTAATTTGTTAAATAAACCTAAGAAACAACCTGTTATAACAGAGATATATAAAACATCGAATTTGAAATGAATCAGATGAAATACCTATTTTATTCATATCATTAGTACCTTTATGTAAATTTATTACTTATTTTGTAAAATGTATTTAAACAGAGCGTGCCAAAATATTATGCAATTTATAATTGTATGTGATTAACTAAAGATTAATAATATCGAAGGTAATTATAATAATAAATAGTTGTGAAAATATTTTTCAGTAGGTTACAAAATGTTTCAGTGGATCTACTGAAAATGAAATTATAACGTAACGTATGTTTTGTTGAGGGCTACGATAAAAATATTTAAAAATGTATAAATATCTTACAAAATATACCGAACATAATTTTATGTGAGTTCATTTGAAGAAAAGAAAAGTAGATATCATATCATATCAAAGGTGCACTTTTCCAGTAGTATTTCAGACAGCGTCAATTGTATTTTAGAATAGTCCCTTGGGTTTTAGAAAGTGTCATTTGTATTTCATAAAATATCATTTGGAATCTATAATAATAATTAAGTTTATTCAAAAACGTTTACAAAATATACATCATGAACATAGAGATAGGTATTTTGAATAAACTGGGAAAAACCTTACGAAGTGAACCATGTAAAAAACAATTGTACATAGATCAATAAATATTTAACAATATTGAATTATCACAAGGGAAAAATTGTCTCATTAAGAAATGAGACATCATGTATTCAATTAGTGTAATGAGCATTTCATTGCAACGGTTTCCGTTGTGAATATTGAATAATTAATAATTTTTTCTCACCCTGTATTACTTTATTTTGCTAATATCAGTATATGGTTAGATAGACAATGAATATACCTTCCGAAACAAAAAATAAAAAGGGGATGTTTCCATTTAAAAAATACTCGATGACGTCACCACATCTACGCGGATGACGTTACAAACTCTGTATGTATATCAAGAGGTGTCAATTTGTAAATAAAAATCGACCTGTCTCAGGATTTTTCTTCAAATTTATATGCGTTAGCGTTAGAGATAATGAATTTATTCCATTCAATTCCACCATACTGTATAGGTAAGGAATTAAAAATTTATAATTTCTACGTCCAATTGACTTGTTTGTTTTATATTTCAATGTTATGGTATTTTCATTTCTTATGTCATAGATATGTTCTTTGAACTGAATATCCTTTTTATTTTTGTAAATATGAATCAGTAAATTGTATATACTAAAAGTCTGTGTCACCCGGTATTTAAATTTTTACAAACTTCACAATGAGATGGGAACAGAGAACATCAATATTGGAAACTTCCCTATTTGATCATAATAAGATGATGTCAAAATCATACCTTTGCAGGACATGTATTCCGCGAAGGTTTTGTTGATGGGGAATTCCAGGCCTCTGAACGTTTTTTTGTCCGAGTCCCATATGTACTTCGTTTTTTGGAAGATGAACCAAATTGCAGTACCCCTTTCATTCTGAAAATGTATTCTCATTGACATAAATAGCGTGGGATTGGAAATTATGTTGACGTTTCACAAAAAGAGAGAAACTCAAAGTCATTACCACAATAGTTTATAAAAGGAACGAAAATGATAGACGTGAGAAAAACAACTACTTTCCTGGCGATATGCCACGCAGAACATTGGATTACATCCTCCCGAAATCATTGAACATTATACGGATTCCCTTTCGTGCGCTCCAAGCGATAAAAAAAAGACGAATAAAATCGCAAGTATTTCCTTCCTAAACGCCGAGAAAAGGAAGACACATGTTATAAATATGATTTTTCCCCTTCCTCAAATAAGTCATTTTTAAATAATTCATTCATGAAACTAACAAACAAAATTTATTGAAGAACTCAAACTAAGAACTAGGCACAGTATAACTTATAGGCACGTTATTTTCATTCTTGCATCCTATTTTTTTTTCAATTTGTGGTAGTAACTGGAACAGATACAGGGTGATCAGTATTATGAATCTTGAACTACCCTGTATCTGTTCCAATTAAATGTCAGTAAAGTCAAGATAGGGACATGTAAGCCGTTTTGACCAATAATGAATACATTCGGCACAAAAAAGTCCTAATTTTGATACATTTCGTGTTTTTAGCACACCCTGTGCTATATGAAAATATTTTTAAAATGCAGTGCTGATAGGTCCCTATTCATCCGAAAAAAAAAACTGTCAAAAAACCAGATGCTTTAGCCACAAAATATATACGTTGGATAGAGGTAGGCGGAAAAATATTTATTTTACTACCGCGCAAAATAGAGGAATTTGGGTTTTTCCTCACGCTAGTAGAAAAAATAGTGTACCTAACAAGTGCGTTAAGTTACTTTTCCGAACGCGATTGCAGATGGTCGAACGACGCGTTGGTATCACTTTCATCACTTGTCAGCTAAACTACTATACAGGGTGTCCGAAAAGGTCATGTCGTAAATGATATGTCTATCATGCATCGTTACGGAGTTATTGACCTTGAAAGTTAGAATAAACTAAATGAATTTCATGTATATCTTTTCAATGGAGTTTACCTACGGCCACTATAGAAAGTAGGCAAGAACACACGAGATACAGCATCAGTAAGTAGCTCTTTACGCACAGTAAACACATCGCAGTTTTCGTTTATTCCGCCAATCATGATGGCGTAATCGCCGTCAACAGCGGATTACATAACTGTCAAGAATTATAATTCAGACTGTTTGTCCAAACTTTTTTGATGTACTATATGGCAGTAGGTAAAGTATAGTATGTAATGCGTGTTGTAAAGCAATTACGCACTCATGGAATTACGCACTCGCCGCTCCGCGGCTGCATAATTAATTTCTAGTAATTTCTATTCGTGCGTAATATGCTTTTTACAACACATATTACGTAATACACTATTTATCACATATTCATCACCTTTGAAGCGGTTGGGGTGTATGTTTTTAAATGCGATTTTCTCCCTAGATCGGTACAAGATATCGATTGAAATGAAGTATACCATTTTTGTAGAAAGAAGATGAATGGATGAAACGGCGAAAACAAAATGTCAAATTTGTCACCTCTGTCAAAAGAGCCTTCATTAAACGGAAAAGATTCGTCCTATCCTTTATAAAACATTATCGCTGAAAAGCCATTCATGTATGGCAAGTTGCATAAGTAAAATCCATTTTTTTAATTCTATCTTTCAAGGTCAATATCTTGATAACAAAGCGCAACAGACATTTTTTTATATGAAGTAGGTACTAACAATATTTTGGATTAGCACTATCATTTACGATTTGACCCTTTCGGACACCCTGTATATTTCAACCACGTTCACTTTCCACAAACTTTTCATGAATCTTGATAGTATTGACAAAATAATAATTCACTATCAAAATATGCCGTAAAGTAGGATGAAAATTGACCAATTCCACAAAGTCTACAATATCTATGCTTAGTACTCAGCTTAGTATATCTATATCAGTAAACTGTTCCATGGAAAAATCATGTCAGATCCATTGCAACAGCTGCTTCACAAAAACTCACCAACTTCTTGTGATATGCAAAGCACAAATCCGACCATTTATTTTTATCGCTTGGAGCAGACGAAACAGAGTCCCTATGAAGGGGGTCAGCCGGGTTCAGCACCCAAACAAATGTTTATGCACTCAGGAGTTTGTGTCGGTTGCAGAAAATATAAATTTTTGCCTTCAACGCCGAAAAAAGCGAGCATCTCCCATGAATAATAAAGGACACCTAATGGCGGGTACGGCTGGCCGACCATGAAGTAGTGGGGTGGCTTGTTTTGTTACTGAATCGGCATAAAGAGATCATCCATTGTGGTGCATTTAGCCTTTGGTGTGTCGTGTGGTTGAAAATAGTACTATAGTTTATTTTTCAGATTGACTCGACCGTTACTTGATGGAATTCCATGACAAATGTAAAAACTTCACAAACGATAAGATTTCCACAAAATTCTCAAACACACGACATGTTTCGCTAACACAGTTCATTGTACCAGTATATCACCTGACGAAGCTATTGTGTTAGCGAAACATGTCGTGTGTTTGAGAATTTTGTGGAAATCTCATAGTTAGTGAAGTTTTTACATATAGTTTATTTGACTGGTGTGAAGCTAGCAGCCATTTTTTATAGATGTCTTGATAAAGGAAATAAACATTTCCGAAAGCTCGGCTAAATAACAAAGTTCTCTTATTCAAGGCCAAAATTTTAACTGCAACCCCACTAAGGAAGAATTTCTCCAACCCCTTACACATTATTCTAGGGCTCTTTAGTAATGCTTGTACCGAATTTCAACTTGGCTAAACATTTTTGAAGGTATATCATGTTTTTTTATCCCCTGAGGGATGATACCTACCCCTTAGACGGTCTGCCAATCAATCATCCTCGCACACATCATTCTCAGTGCCGGATTTAGGGGGGGGCTATGGGACTATCAGCCCCCGGCGGTGAATTTCAGGAGGCGGTAGAGAAAAAGAGAGAAGAGGAAAAGCAAGCAGCAATACAGTCGTTGACTGGTCGAGATACTGTATTTGTGAAAATCAAAACATGCACTAATCTAGCGTCAGCTGTGTCTTGGTGTTACCATCGATAATCTCGATGGTAACGGTCTTGGACGCTACAATACAAAAGCGGCGGCGGTACATACTTTTATTTGATGATGAGAAGAAAAACCGCATTCTACTCGTCTAACTCAAGAAATGCCCTAAAATACATTCATTTTTTCTAAATTCAAATGAGACAAAATCAGAGCCGATAGAACCGTCTCCGGGAAATTCACGATCTCAAGACAGGAATGGTGAGTTTTATTTATTTTTGAATTCAATACGCGAAAAAGAAGAGTTAGAGTCTCAAAAATAGATGATCAAAATATGAACACGACTAAGCCTTGTTTTAGGGTTAATCACAACAAATTCAGTGAATATTGGCAATTACTGAGCATTTTTTTACCATCCCTGATGATTCGTAATGCCAGTGGTTAAAGGTCATTCTCAACAGAGTGAAAAACTACCTTAGGAATTCCATGGTAGAGGATATATTGAATATCTCATCAATTACAAGTATTAACAGTGAGATGTTATCAAATCTGAATTTAGATGATGCCATTGACGACTTTGCATCAAAAAATTCAAGAAAATTATTTTAGTATTCATCTGAAAAAAATATCTGTTGTTTGTTGTTATGTGTAACGTGTGAAGTAAATATAATTTGATTCGTTGTACATAATGATTTCATGTTATTGTTATATGCTGTCAAAAAAGCAGTGAAAGGGTTATTTGAATTTTGAAACTGACAATTGAAAATTAAATATTTGGCGGCGGCGCATCGGCATCGTAAAAGTTAGCCCCCGGCGTAAGGAAGTATAAATCCGGCACTGATCATTCTAGAGCTCTTTAGTAATGCTTGCTATAAACAAATGTTGTTTCTTGGGAATAAAAAAGTTGATTGATTGATAATATGATTTTTTTAAATATTTTGAGGGGTGATAACTACCCCTTTGACGGCCTGCTCATCAATCATCTTCTCGCACATCATTCTAGAGTTGTTTAGAAACGCTGGTACCTCTGTGAGCTCTCTACTGTGCTGGTACTGAATTACAACATGGCTTGACATTTTTGAACGTCGAATTACTTAGGTAGGCTCATGATTTCTGAGTGGGTCTAAATTAGTCTGAATCATCTCTGTATGTCATTTCTCAAGCACAGAAACATGTATTTTTCATTAACTATCCTCTTTTCATGATAAAGGTGGATTAAAATATATTTTTTCAAACATCCGACGCCACTGGTGGTTTGGCTGCTAGGTGAAAACTGGCCACTAGGAAATAGCTGCTAGCTTCACACCAGTGTTTATTTGGGCTTCAGATTTAGCAGAAAAAATAAAAATAGTCATGGCGAGCATAAGAGCATGTAATAACGGTAATCTGGTGAGCCATTCATTGTAATTTCATCAGAAACAATAAAAAATTAAGTTGTCGTCACTGGTTTCGGACGTCTTTGTCGGACGTTCACAGTGGCACAAAAAGTTCAAAAAATGTTACAATCTTCATTCAGGACAGACTTTTTGCGGGCAACCCTCTATCATTATGTTTGCAATGAAACAGTGCATATTTTCATGTTTAATTCATGGATTGAACACGATTGAACAAGGAGGTGAAGATAACTAGGACCAACATACCTGTTTATTCCTAGAAACCCTATAGTTAGACCAGGAAAAACGTAGGCAACCCTATGTTTGCATATTCTAATAGGCTTTGTAGTTGGTGTAAAACTGTTTCATTAAACATATCAGTAGAAAGTGAAAAAAAAAAGGTTTTTGAATTTTCAATTAATTGTAGCCTGGCCAGGATTTTTTCAGGCAACCCATTTTTTATAATTTTCAACATACTAAATTACTTATGAAATAATTTTCATACATCAACAGATGGGTGAAGGTAGACCTTACTTGGGATCCTCTACTATATCACAAATTTTGAATTAAATATCTGCTACCGATTTACTATACAAGGTGAATCTGTGTTTTTTCAACAGGATATATATCTCTTCAAAATATGTTGTTTGGCAAAAAATTGCTCACATAGACATCACAAGATATTGGAGGTACAGGTATTTAATGGTTTAAAGAAGACTCCAACCATGAAACATTTTGTTTATATTTTCTCAAAAAAAAAAGAAAGCAAAACAAAATGTTATTAGTCCAGCATTAGATACTCTACAGTTGCATTATTTCATCAGAAACATTAATCAAAAACCTTTTTCTACCTTTTCAACCTTTTAATCATCATTTTAAAGAGAACCAAAAAACCTTAGGTAGAGAAATGAAGCATTAGGCCAAACAACTTATTTTGGTGAGATATACACCCAGTTAAATAAAAAACTTCACTTTCAGATTCACCCTGTATATCTGTATACACCTCCATAAGTGAGTTAATGAGTTATTTCTTCCCTCAGTACATTGTGCCCACTGGCTACAAAACCACCTCTGGAAAAATGGAAATGAGAAAATGAATCAAACTGACATCACATTATGTTTACAGCCAAGATTACAATAAAAAAATGCAGGCAATCATAATCATAATCTTGTTTGAACAAAAATAGCATCCTTAAGGTCTTGAGCAAGCCCTCTCCCCCATCTTGTTGCCCCTGGGCCCCTGCCAATGATGAATTCCAGGATGAATTAGGAAGGCAAAAAAATCATTGATTGTGGATTATTGAATAGGTGTCCTTATATTTGAAGATGATATGTGTGGTTTCAGGAAAAAATAGGAAAATCACACATTGGTGGACTCTAAATAAGACAGCATACCTAGGTAGGTAGATATCAAAGAGAAATGTGATGTGAATTCTCTATAATAAATAACTTTTGCTTTCAAGTATCTTCTGTTTATAGATATGTATAAAGTGATTTATGTAAGAAAAAATGATAGGGATCCTTGGTTATTGTTAGAATGAGATCACCTCAGAGATCACTAATCACCAAACACAAGGACTAGAATTTGATTATATTATGAGGTCATAATGGCTTCCATGCAGATCCCCTTCCTAACTAGGTATGATAAATATTTGATCAGGAGATCCTGTAAAAATATATGGTACCCTACAACTTGGCAATTAATACATATTTACATACCTGAAAAGCATACCTAGATACTGTGTGAAATATGTGATTTTAATGTTGAATGCTCCTTTAAATAATGCATTTAATACAAGGAAACGAGTATGAGTACTTGGTGTCTGATAACTCCAACATTGAATATTACCTTGGTATTTCTAAGCCAAACAAGCTCTGAACTTCCATTGTTAGGTGTAGGTATAACTTTAACAACTGTGGCTTTCAAGGGATCTCTTTCCTGAAACACAATTCAGACTGATGAATGCTGGTACAAGTTTTGGGAAACTCACCCTTATACAAGAAAACCAACAATTAACATGAACAGACCAATAACATGCCAGACTGCATAGTATCTGAAGACATCCTATAGCAGCTAGTCCGAGGAAACCCCCTTCATAATATTCATAAAAACCATAAATTCCTAACCACAAGTACAGCCATGCTGAATAAATAACTAGGAATGGTAAGCAGTACAAGTGAAGTAGAGAAGGTATACGAGTATATAGTGTAACTGATTGAATCAGATCATCTAATTTTGGTGTAACACTCATAGTTCCTACTCAGTTATTCATTAGATATTGAATTTTATTTTTTTTTCTGTCGGCAAATTGTGAATTTTTGGAAAAATCTTGAAGTGTAGAGTGTGTGTAGGAGTAGGACAACGTAACGTGAACGTGACACAGTGACACTCGTGATAATGACTGTCACTGTCAGTCTGTCAGTTACAGCAGTGACAGCACAACTGACAAGTAAGAGATGGGGTTCGGAATATCCACCACCATCAAATCACGAAAAGAAAAATAAATATTGGAAAAAAACAGTTGTGATTATCATGACAAATTACTGCGCTTTTTTTTCAACACTGATGATAATTCCAACAATTCGGTTCATCAGATAGTGACGTCATTTCCATCAATGATGATAATGTGTTGTAAAAATGAACATGCCTTATTACTCGATCGGAATGTCAGCATTACTCAATCGTACTGTCATGATTTCTGAATTCACAAGTCACAACAAAAAAAAAAACGTGGAAAGGATTATGTAATGTAATGATAATGATAAACATACTGCCTGTGTGCCTGTAGTGCAGAAAATGTAAGGGGATTCTGTTTTTGTGTATTGCTGACAATAATAAAACGTAAACTGTGATAAAACTGAACTTGCTGTGAACTATGGAAGTGGTCTTCAATTTAATCAACGGGAAGAGATTTTTTAAATATTCATATGAAGAAAAGATAGAATTAAAAAGACAAGGTAGACCATTACCAGATATTTTTATTGAAAAATCTGGTTTAAGTAGAGGGAAAAGTTACACACGTAAATTTAGTAGAGACATTTATTTTAAAAATGACTGGATTTGTGGATGTAACAAAAATAATGCATTATACTGTTTTCCCTGCCTACTCTTTGGTGGTGATAAAGCTTGGACAGAAATAGGAGTCACCGATCTAGAGCACTTGAGTTTGAAGATAAAAAGACATGAAAACTCTAAAAGCCATCTTCATAATTGTATGGAATTTGCATTACTTGGGTCAACTAATATAAGGGCTCAATTAGATTCTGCCTATTGGATAAATGTACAGAGACATAATGAAAATGTGTCAAAGAAAAGGTATGTTTTATCCAAAGTTATTGATTGCATTAAATTTTGTGGAGCTTTTGAATTGGTTCTTCAGGGACATGATGAAAGTGATACTTCCAACAATAATAAGACTTCCAACAATCAGGGGATATTTCCTGAACTAATGGGATTGATCAATTTTTCGGCTGAACTAGATGCAACTCTAAGTGAACACCTCAAGAATTCTTCAATAATATACAAAGCCACCTGTAAAGAAATACAGAATGATCTGCTACAGTGTATGCTTGAGATCTGTCATGAACAAATAATGAAGGAAATTAAAAATTCATCATTTTTGGCAATCATGGCAGATGAAATGATGGATGTTGCTGCAAAATCACATATGGTAGTTGTTTTTAGATATGTTCATGATGGTGAGCCAGTTGAACGTTTTTGGAACTACTTAAATCCTGTTAGGTGTGATGCAGAATCAATCAGTGAAACAATTTTAACTGTTATAGATCCTTTAGTTCAAAATTCACCTAACAAACTAATAGCACAAAGTTATGATGGTGCAGCAGTGATGACCAACCAACATACAGGTGTTCAAGCATTAATTAGAAAAAAGTATCCCTTTGCTCACTATGTGCATTGTTATGCTCACCAGTTAAATTCTATTATGTCTAAAGCTGCTTCTAAAAATAAGCAAATACGTGTATTTTTTGGACATTTACAAGACATTCCCAGCTTTTTTAACAATTCCCCCCAGAGAATAGAAGTGTTGGATAAGATTGTGAAGAGAAGGATACCCCAGGGCACTTCAACCAGTTGGAATTTCAATATAGGGACCATTAATGTTGTGTATGAACATAAAAACTCTCTTATTGAATGTATGGATGAAATAGAAGATCAGTTCACCAACAGCACAGTCTGTAGTGCAGCCGCCTCCATTCGCAGTACATTAAATGATCCGATCTTCAATTTTTGGCTGACTTTCTTCCATCATGTAATGCCTCACGTAGACATCCTTTCTAATCAATTGCAGCAGAGAAATATTGACCCCGCTCAAGTAGAAGATGCTATCAATAATTTTGAACACAACATCATTCAAGTTCAAAGTAGTATTGATAATATTATTAGGGAAGCATCAGATAGGAGCCCTGAGGGCCAAGATCCACCAGAAAATAAACGCAAGCGTTCATATGACAGTATGGAAGATGCTATCAATAATTTTGAACACAATAGCATTCAAGTTCAAAGTAGTATTGATAACATCATTAGCAAAGCATTAGATATGAGCCATGAGGGCGAAGAGCCACCAGAAAATAAACCGAAGGGGTCATGCGGCAACAGTAAATTTGACCATCGGATATCTGCTTTGGAGGTGTGTGATGTCATTATAAATTGTGCAAAAGATAGATTTGATTTCAAAGAGCATCTAGTAGTTGCATCACTTCTTTATTCCGAATACTTTGGAAAGTATTGTGGTAAATTTCCTGAGGATAAACTAACTTCTCTATGTTCCTTTTATCCCACAATTGATAAAGACCGATTACGGACCGAACTGTCTCTCATTTATTCAAGAAATGATTGCAGGACAATGAATGGCGCACTACCTCTTCTAAAATTTGTGATAGCAAACAATCTAGGAGATACCTTGAAAGAGACAAAAAAATTATTAGAAATTGTGGTAACAACTCCCATGGCAACATCAGAGGTCCAGCCACGTTTTTCAACCCTAAAACGGATAGAAACGTTTTTCAGAAATTCAATGCCCGAGGATCGTTTAACAGCTCTTTCCATGCTATCCATTGAAAAAAAACTCATCTCCGAAATAGACAATTTCAATGACAAAGTGATTACAAAATTCGCGAACAAAAAAGAATGTAACATCGACTTGATTTATAAAAAATAGATGTATTTTTTCAAATAAGGGATCGAACACCCAAAAAAAAATTATCATGAGCCGCCTCTGTCTGCCAATACTTATTACCACCAATACCACCACTATTTACTACTGAGTTACTACTTACCTTTGACTGAAAAATCTTTTGTGATGTATTGTAAATCTGAAGAGGTATGAAATTTTAAGAAATAAATAAAAATATCAGAAAATTTATTCATTTTATTATATCCATAAATACCTGATGTTTCCGAAATTAGAGTGAAAAATAAGATGGGATGTTTTATGACATTATAATAAAGCAAGGTAGCTTCCCCTGTATAATTAATAGTAAAAAGTAAAACAAAATTTGGGGGTAGTGAATTATAGTTCAATCGGTTCAATTGACATTTTTTGACATATCTATGATGTTTTCTTCTTCTATCTCTGTCACACCCATTGATTGGAAACTTCCAACGCAAATATCTTCATGACCGATTATGGAATAAAATACAGTGTTCCATTTAAAAATCGAAAGTTGGGGTCGTTTCCGGTCAAACCGAAAGTACGGTAAAGCAACTAGACATTTTAACCATCTTCAATGTCACTTTAAACCTAGGTAAATAATGATAAATTCATAAAGAAATTTCATCGAGGTAGAAAAAACTGTTAATAGGGTCAATGATATTATGCAATATACACATATATACCGATGCGTATGCAACCAACGAAAATGATACTTTCTTGATAATTCTTGAAATAGAAACTGCAAACCTCATGACATGACAACTGAAACACGCTGACAGCAACTTTTGAAGTATGAAAAATGTAATAATCTGATTTTTATTAATTTTACTTGAACTGTCACTGTCATGTGTGGATTAAAAGTAGAATTCAAATAACCATGACTTTAGCAAAGAAGATTAACGCTATAACTCAGTTATTAGTCATGAGATTCCAACCAAATTTGGTGTGGTATGAATAACCATCAATATGATCAGTTTCACAGAGATGCACATTATTTTGGACAGTGCCGTGCGTTTTTATTGAACTAAAAAGGGGTCGATTTTCATAAAATCATATTAGACATTTTTTAGAGGAAATCTAACCTCATATTATTGTTCCTCATGCCTTCGAACCTAAATAGTGACTTCAAATCAACTACGAATTTTGGGACTTTCAATGGCTCCGGTAGGTGGAAAATCATGATTTGGAAGGAAAAACGAGTTATACTTTTTTATGTTGAACTCACCGTTTCCGAGTAAATAATTATTACGTTCCCAAAATGCTGTTTAGATGTACCTGTTTTTCTGAAACCCTTCATAGGCATCTTATGAAAATCCATATATGTATGGGTTTGAAACCATGAAGAACAATATTATGAGGTCAGTTTTTCTGTGAAGAAATGCCTAATATAATTTAATAAAAAACTGACCAATCATTTCAATAAAAATGCACGTCATATTGATGATTATTCATACCGATACAAATTTGGTAAAGATCGCATGGCTGATAGCTGAGATATAGAGGGAGAGCCGTTTGAAATGAGATACGCTGTATATAGCATGGTGCTTCGGACTAATCTGACCTCGTCGAAATAAAGCAAACTCTTGGGTTTTGTTGTTAACCTCTGATCAATGAAACATTTCCGGGCAAACTTCAATAAATTTTTTTTAACAAAAATCGACTTTTATTTCGTTTATTTTCTGCTTCTATAACCCATTTCATTTATCACTCAAATTTTTGAAACATCGTTCTTCCAAAGATCCTGTATATAATTTGAGAGACAGTCTTCAACAAATAGTGAATATTGCATCCATACTTATTCAAGAATCTGCAATGCAACATACAAAACTCTATCATCAGATATACAAGGTGACATTGAAATGAACTTGACTTAAATAAGAGTCATGAAATGAATATAAATATATAATTTAAATCCTGTAAAAGAAAGCTCAAGGAATTCCATCAAACGGCACCAGGCACCATGAAAAAAATAATGTACAAAAAAGCTCAAGGCATTCCATCGAATGGCACCATCATAAAAAAAATGAATATGGATGGAAATTAAATTTGGGACAATACCCCATTTTCTGATATTTTCGGAATTTATGTATTTCTATATTTCAAAATCACCTTGTATATACTTACATAACTCTCGAGATACCTCTTTTATTTCATACTGTTGTAAATATTTACTGTAAAATAGATGTTGGCATATTATACAGGGTGCAAATCAATCAATGGCCGAAAATAATAAACGTGTCAGTTTTTTACATTGTGAAAGTTTCTAACCAATAAAGAGAAAATAACATTTTTAACACCCTCATGGCTCGAAAGTTTTAGTTTTAGGGCATATCATTATGTTCATATGAACTTTCCTTCTTTAAATGAACTAAGGAACCATATCCTATATATTTTCAGCCATCAATTGAATCACAGCCTGTATGAATTTAATAACCTAATATAACAAAATTTGCTACTTAATTCTACATATCACAAAAAAAGATCTTGCGAGACTATACCTATAAATATATGTATAAAAAAGTTGTTCTTTAATGGCATACCAATATTGTTCCTTGTACAAGTTTTCATATTTGAAAATTCCATTCTGATTGGTGACTGAAAAATGTTCGAAATTCACAAACTATATTCATTGTGGTATCTTCAGTACACCCATCTCAAAAGTTGGAGTTTTTTCAAAGATAAAATCGTGCATCTGATTGAGGTAAACCAGGAGACCAGATTTGCAAAGAAAAAAGAATAAGAATTTGAAGAATTAATTGTATTACAAGGAAAAGTAGTTGGGTAGAACGCCAACATGTAGTTCGAAGATCAGAATTTTTGGTTTTTTTCAAGTAGTCCCAAGACGACCTGACTCAACCCCTCAAATATTAGTATATATCATTGAAGAACAACCTGTTTCCTACGAAAGCTCTGGAGTGCCAATGGAAAAAAATTAAAAGTCGAAATTTCGACTTAGGAAGTCGAAATGTCGTCTTACCAACTCGAAATTTCGACTTAGGAAGTCGAAATTTCGTCTTACCAGTTTTGGTTCACTGTTTTCTTAGTTTTTCAACTCAGATCTCTATTATACAGGGTGTCCCGAAACTAGCCTGCCAAACTTCAGCAGCAGCTTCTTTGACCAAAAATAGGAAGAAAAGTTCCAATGAACATGAGTCGAGAAATGTCTCCTAAGGGAAGGGAGCTATGGCCCCCTGAAATGGGGCTCTTGAAGATGATATTTCTTAAATATTTCCGAAACGCCACGTCATAAAATGATGCAATTCGGTACAAGAACTAAACTTTCCATGCCCAATGCGGTGAACATAATATCATTCAAGAGTTTCATTCAGGAGTATAAAATACATGGTGGGACTACATTAAATATTGCTCAAACTTTTTCGTATGCATATTTTTTGACAATTCAGTCTCGGATTATGAAAATCCAGACCATTTCACGAAAATAAGTGCTGTTGTTCCGCATTGATCAGATGTATCATTTTCGAGTGAAATTGATTTAAAAATAATGATGCATTCACATCTTAGTGGCTATAAAAAAAATCAAGTACCTACTTTCTTCTTACCAAACAGTCTCAAAAAAGCGCAAAAAATAGGAAAATGATGATGAAAAAACTACTTCAATTTTTGTGCATTTTTTTCCATTTCCACTATGCCTCATTGCGATGGATGCATAATATCTGAGATGTAAGAATATTCTCAAATTGCTTTAACTCGATAACAATACATCATCTGATCCTCACGGAACAAGAGAACCTTTTTGTCCGTAAAGAGGTGTGAAATTTATTAATCCGAGATTAAATTGTCGAAAAATATGCAAACAAAAAGAGCAATATTTAATATAGTTCCACTCTGTATTATACACTCCTGATTGAAATTTTGAAATGATCTTATTTACACCGCATTGGGCATAGAAATTTCAGTTCTTGTACCAAAGGGCATTTTTTTATTACATGGAGTTTCGGAAATACTCAAGAAATATCATCTTCAAGGGCCCCCTTTCGGGGGGCCATAGCTCCCTCAGGAGGCATTTCTCGTCTCATGTTCATCGACAGTTTTCTTTCTATTTTTGGTAGTAAAAGCCGCTGGTGAAGTTTGGCAGGCTAATTTCGGGAAACTCTGTATACAGAGTGGGCCTTTGAAAACGAAACAGAGGCTCTGTAGGTCGCCAAAACCGGATTACCAAAAAAAACTGAAACAGGTCAGCTACATTTTCGAGGGGGACATCTTTCTAAAATATTTTCAGCCCTGCGGCGTTGCCGCTTCTAAAGAAAAGAAGCAACAACTTTGTTATTTCAAATGGAACACCTTGTATTTTATTGCATTTTTAGATTCTCCCCGAAGAGCTGATTTCATCAATGCATCATACTTAGGGTCTAGCTGCAATGGTTTCAGGGATATAAAGTGTTCAAAATCGAGATTTTTCAACTCTAACATTTTTTTGTGTCGAAACTATCCATTATTGGTCAAAACGGCTCTCATGTCCCGATCTCAACTTGTGATTTACTATCTACTGACATATGATGGAAACAAATACAGGGTGGTTCAAGATTCAGAATTCTGATCACCCTGTATCTGTTCCAGTTAAATGTCAGTAGATAGTAAATCACAAGTTGAGATAGGGACATGAGAGCCGTTTCGACCAATAATGAATAGTTTCGACACAAAAAAATGTCAAAGTTGAAAAATCTCGATTTTGAACACTTTATATCCCTGAAACCATTACAGCTAGACCCCAAGTGTGATGCATTGATGAAATCAGCTCTTCGGGGAGAATCTAAAAATGCGATGAAATACAAGGTGTTCCATTTGAAATAACAAAGTTGTTGCTTCTTTTCGTTAGCAGGGGCAACGCCGCAGGGCTGAAAATATTGTAGGACGATGTCCCCCTCGAAAACGTAGTAAAGGCCCACTCTGTATGAGTGCAAAGATTTTGAAAATGAGGACATATTTTCAACTCGCTCTAAATAATGAAGAGATACTAAGTACACAGAAAACCATTCTGTGGCTGTGAGCTTGAACGAAATTTCCAAATTTCGTCTTA